TATATATATATAGTAGGTTGGCCCTCCCTGGTGGCGCAGCGGGTTAAAGCACTGCACTAAGAAGCTGAAACCACTTCCGCATGAGTTCCATTCTTGCCTGCCTGGGAGGTGACCACATGGTGTGGCAGACCTCTCCTGACGCTGCTCCCCTCAGCAGTGTACTTCGTCGATCTGCCTGTTCTGCTCCCCACTCTGTCTCTGGTGAAGTCTTTCGCCACCCCTGAGTCTCCGGCCTGTACCCCAGTTCTGGATGCATAAATAAATCTTAAAAAAAAAAAAAGCCTGTTCTGAAAATTCACATTTTAGAACCCACTAAGTGTGTTGCATTGACATATTTATACTGTTTGCTGAAGTGAAGACAGTTAATTTATCTAATGAACATTTATTCTTTTCACTTACTTGGTATTCCTCTTATATCTTTTACCTCTTATGTCATTCCTAGAGTAAAGTGATATAAATCCTTAAGAAAAAGTTAATTGAACCAGTTTGTTGAATGAATGACTGAATCAATGAGAGGGGGGAGAAGAAAATGAAAACAAATAATGGAAATGGAGAAAAGACAGGAATAAGTTGTTTTGCTAATACACGATCGTTAATGACTCACTTGGCATTCAGGAGAATGGAAATTGCTTCCATAACAGTCATCACCAAATCTGGGGGCTTTGTAAAAACTCTGATTTCAGATATATCTGCTTTATCTAAGGAGTCCAGTGCTTTATTGGCAGCTTCGAGTGCAGGCAGGGCTTCGTCAAGATCTCTCTGAGCATCATCAGCTATTGCTTGGGTTTCTTCAGCTTTCACTTTTGCTGTTGCTTCATCTTCTTGCACAATGTTACGCACCTAACCATGAAAACATGACTGCTTAAGTGGCCTCAACATTTGAAATTGAGTGTTGAAAAACAGAGCCAACAGCAGTGAGTTCAAATTTTTCCCTTGGATTAGACTAATGATGAAAGATGACTAGTTACAGTATGCAGTGTGCTCTCTTTTGTCCATCTGGTGCCTTTTTCACAGAATAATAGAGTCAAAGTTATTTGAACAAACAGTTTCTATAAGTTAGAGACATTTTGTAGGGGAGGGGGAGGGAGAAGGACCAGGACAGGGATGGGAAGAGCACAAGAGACTACGGTGATGGTGCACAGGTGAGTTGGTGGTGGGGGTTTCACAGGGTGTCACACATTGTACAAAAATGAAGGGTGATGTAATGAATATATTAAACAATAAAAAAGTTCCTTATTAGAATAGTTATGTATTTGTATGTGCTACTTTTTTCTTTCACAATTCTCAGTCCCACTCAAGGATTCATTTATTTTCAAGGAGAGAATGATATTTATTGCAGGGCATTTGACAACATCAAAGCATTGCTATAATTTACCTATAATGATTGATATACAAACTAAAACATACGTCATTGTACATAAGTGATTAGTTGGTGACCAAAGCCATCTCACCCACATTGTCAGGTAATGCAGCATACCTGATCAGCATTTTCTTGATCCACTGCCAATTTGTCCATCAGGGCTTCAACATCTTGTGATTTTTCTAAAAGCACAGGTTCTAAAGCTGAAAGATCTAATTTCATTTTATCTACTAGTTCATTTGTTTCTAACAGTTTGGTGAGACCATTTTTCACCCGGTCACGTGCCTAGATGACAATGAAAATACCGGTTATTGTGAGTATTATAAACCAAAAGACTATTATCTTTTCCTTATGAATTTGATGTTCTCATCTACAGAATTAAGCAAATTAGTTGATAGCACTTAAAATTGTGAATTACAGGGGCCCTCCCTGGTGGCACAGTGGGTTAAAGCACAGTACTAAGAAGCTAAAGCCACTTCAGCATGAATTCCATCCCTGCCCTGGAGATGACCCACATGGCATAGCAGACCTTTCCTGACCCACCTGCTGCTCCCCTCAGCAGTGTACTTCATCAGTCGACCTGTTCGACTCCCCACTCTGTCTCTGGTGAATCCTCTCACTACCCCTGTGCCTCTGGCCTCTACCCCAGCTCTATATGCATAAATAAATAAATCTTTTAAAAAATTGTGAATTATAGAAATTTTCAGATAACAGAACTCTAGAAAATGGCCATGTCATTCACCATGGTGGGTTCTGAGTCACTGGACTGTGGACTCACTAAGGACTCATGGTGTATTATTTTTATTCCCAGGTTCATCATCATTAATGCTGAGTGAGTGAAGGATAGATTCATTTAGGAATTCCTGGAGCCCACAACAATGGGAGCTTGTTTCTTCAAGAGGGATAAGCAGGACTGGGTATCTCTTGGGAGGCAAAGCCCTGGATACTTTGCTCTGCTTTTTAGGTCCAAACCCTACTTCTCAGTGGTAGGAAACTTGCCTAGAATCAAAGGGGAAGTAGGAAACTTGCCTAGAATCAAAGGGGAAGGTCTGGGAGAGGAGATACCTGATTTTAAAGATGAAGTAGAAAACTTGATTCAAATTGGAAGATTTCAATATTATTTGTTCAAGTTATTTTATAGGGCATGCATTTACCAGGCAAAAATCTTCTGAAAAATATTTAAAATATCTAAATGGAAAATGCTTCCATTTTCATTGTTTTAAAAATGTAGGAAAATTTAGGCCATATTTAGGCCTGATAATGATAACAATTATGTTGATGATGGTGGTAGTAGTGATGGCTGCATCCTTAGAACCGCATATGATTCGGATCATATTTCAATCATTTCTCAATCAGTAGTTTACTTAAATCCCACAAAAATCCAAGCTGTTAATATAGATTTTTTTTAAGATTTATTTTTATTTATGCATGTATGCAGAACCGGGGTACAGGCCAGAGGTGCAGGGGTGGTGAGAGCCTTCATCAGAGACAGAGTAGGGAGTAGAATAGGCTGACTGATGAAGTACACTGCTGAGGGGAGCAGCGGGTATGTCAGGAGAGGTCTGCTGCACCATGTGGTTCACCTCTGGGACAGGCAGGGATCGAACTCATGCTGAAGTGGCTTTAGCTTCTTAGTGCTGTGTTTTAACCCAATGTGCCACCAGGGAGGGCCCAGATACAGACACAGATATTTTTAAGCTTTATTTTCTACTAAGGTTTGACAATATTACAAAATGTGCTCAAGGTTGTGCTGGAAAGAAAAAATTGTACATAGCGTGTCTGACACAGAAGTCCTTCTTCTTTATGGGAATGATGGACACTTGGTAGACTATGAAAACCCTATCTTGATTGTTTACCAAAAAGTATTCCTTCTGCAGAGAGACTGTTTAGCTTTGACACCATTGGAATGTCCACATCATCCTAATAGTCAATGACACTTATATAATTGACAGAAGACAATTCAAGGAAGGGGAGCTGAGAGTATGTGGCAGTATAGTTTTTCCCCTGTTGTAGGCTGTCAAGAGACTATGTCAGGATGGAGAATGCTCCCTCCACTAGGTAAGATGATGCACAGATCTGCCACTCGTTCTGACGAAAGTTTTGAGTTCAAGCAAAAAATTTAAAAATTGTTAATATTACACTTACTGAAACCAACTGCTTCTTCTTTTCACTCAGCATGTATAGGTAGAGATTGATGAGTTCCAAGTAGGAGGTGGGTGTCGTGTAGTAACGTCTCCGGAGCTCTGTGTAGTAGCGTTCTGCCATGGTGGAAACACTTAAGTGCACGTTCACACACATCTGGGAAAGCTTTTCCTTCAGCTCTTCATTTTCAATGTCAACATTTGAGAAAAATGTCTTTGATACAGAAAGAAGTGCTTCTTTGGGCCACTGTAAGTGAAGACATAATTTGGAACTTCTGTTATCACTTCCATAACATACAATTGAACAATTAAGAAAGAATGTGCTTCTCTGAAACATCCTTGCTTTGATTTCTGAATAAAATAAATATTTGATTGAATGAATAAATGATAGGGTGTCTCTAAAAGAATTCAATGAATAAAGTCACATATGTTTCAAGAAACTTATGTCCTCAACTGTTTATTATGCAGGTTGGACTTCAGCTTCATTATTGTAATCACTGTCTTCTTCACTTCACCTTTTTGCTCTTCCCTTATTTCTCTTATTATCTGAGCTCACCTGAACCTTAGTCAAATGCAACTCTTACACCTGCCACTGTGCTGCTGAGCATAGCTGGAGAAAAACATGCAACCCTGCAGACTGGTCTCACTTTAAATCTATGAGCAGTAGGTTCAGTAGGTCCTTAGTGCGGTCCAAAATGCTTCTCTATTTCCTAACACTTTCCTTCTGTACTCTTCTAGTGAGCATTTCAAACTCTACACTATTTCCTCATACAGCTCAAACTTCCCCTGGCCTCTTCATTCTCAGCTGCTGATCTTGCTTCCCACATCCCTAAAAAATAAAAGCAAGGAGGGCCCTCCCCGGTGGCGCAGCGGGTTAAAGCACTGCACTGAGAAGCTTAAGCCACTTCCACAATGAGTTCGATCCCCACCTGCCCCGGAGGAGATCCACATGGCGCGGCAGATCTCTCCTGACCCGCCCACTGCTCCCCTCAGCAGTGTACTTTGTCGATCTGCCTGTTCTGCACCCCACTCTGTCTCTGGTGAATCCTCTCACCCTCCGCATTTCTGCGCCTGTACCCCAGTTCTGTATGAATAAATAAATAAATCTTTAAAAAAAAATAAAAGCAAGGAAAAAAGAATTCAATGAACTCTCACCCCACATCTCCCTCCACTCTGCCTTTGTGTTCATATACTCTGCATCCCCTCCTGTTACTCTGGGGTCAGTTGGGCATGCTCCCTGCCCAGGTCGACCTTGTCAGTCATAATTCATCACATCCCTTCCTGCTTACTCAATGATATTGGTTCAATAACGCCCACATCTGCTGTTGCACCATCAAAACATCTCTTTTCTAGATCATTTCCATCAGCACATACATTATTTGTTCTCACTTAAAAATACTGCTCTCTTGATGTCACATAACTCTCTAGCTCAGTGTTCTTTTGAGGCAAAGCTCTGAAATAGTTGTCCATATTCATTCTTTTTGATTCCTCTCCCTGCTTCTCTCTTGAACGTTCTTCCTTATCATCCACTGAAGCTATGTCAATATTAGCAATAACTTCCACATTGCTAAATTTAATATTCTTCTCTTACAGTTTGGTTTTGACTTTGTTCAATGAATATAATTGTAATACCTTGTATATGCGTGAATTCCTAGAGGGCTTTAAAGTTAATGCATGTGTCAAACCTTTAAAGTCAAGCAAGTCCAACTTCCCACACAGATAGCCGAGGATTCACCAACCTGAACAAACCAATCAATGGTACAGCAGTTCACCAGGGATGGAAACATCCGGCATCGGGATCGAAAAGCCTCCCCAACTGGGCTCATGCAGAGAACAATGTGCAGCTTCTGACGAACTCTACTGATAAAGTATTGAAACACCTGATAAAAAGATATTTTTCAATTTAAAAGGAAAAAGAAATAATGGTTAAAGTAGGCTTGGCTAATGCACTAGAGCCTATCAACATCTACAAATGAATACTACCATGTGCGAATTGTTTTGTTCAACATCCATTCCAGCCCTTTTCTTTTTTTTTTTTTTCAGTCTGGAAAGATTAAAAACAGACTCCATTGTGATTAGGGTTGTGGATGTGATATGGGTTCTCCTCAGCAGTGTATTTAAAAGAACCTCTGAACAAAGCAGAGACTCATACCCATACAAGGTTTTGCTTTGGAGTAAAACACTGGGAGACAGGATGAAGGGACATCAGATTTGAGTTGTGGAATCTGGCAGAAGTGGCTTGGATCTGGAACTACAGTCGTCAGATATGGTTTCTTATCCAGTTGCTTCCTGACGTGGTTGGGGGGACTCATGGTTTTGGAGCTGGGCTAAAGCAGCGTGTTGACTAGTTTAATGGCTTCCTGGTTCAGCAGGATGAACTTTGACCAGTGACTTCTACATGTGCAATTTATATTGTTCAAGGGAAACATCCTGGGATTCCTTTTTTTTTGGACTTTCTAACGGCCTTCCAATAAATGCATGTCTGTTTACACTAGCTGAAACAGACCCTGCTGTCTTCCCTATAAGTCCTGAATAAATGTAGAGGAAATTTTCATAGATTATACCAGTACAAATGGCCAAAAAAATTAAATAAGTTGCAGAAAGAAGGGAAAGGATTGGGTAGAAAAAATAACTTCATATGTAATCTAGCACAGTGCTGGAAAAATAAAGTGGACAGAAGCAACTGTCTGTGTACGTGTGTGTGTGTCTGTCTATGTGTGTGTGTCTGTCTGCACATGTAGGTTATGTTTCTGTTTTAGTGGTGCCACAGGTACTGAACTCCTTAGACAGGGCACCACAGGAGAGTGACTACAATTGTTTTCAAAGGAGGATAAGAGAAGATGTTGGTTTAAGCACATCTATGATCGCCATAGGTAACAGGATATTGTTTTCTACTTTCCGTGGATTTCTTTTGAAGCTGAAACAATACTTTAAATGTAAGAAATAAAACACATAGCATTATAAAGGAAAACAATTATATTTTTAAAAAGTTCTATCTATGAACTCTTTAAGTGGATCTTAGGACCATTAAAAAAAACACAACAGCTTTTTTTCTTTCTTTTTTTTTTTAATTTAACAAAGTTATGTTATCATCCTGACATGTCCTACCTCATCTCTATTCCCCTCGGAAATTCCCGCTTCTTTTGCTCTTGGCCTGGTTGCTGCTAAGACCTGCTCCAGTTCATCCTTTTCAAATAAATTAGGCACTTCGCCTGAGTTCAGGATGTTATTTATATCTTCTAGGAATTCTTCCACTACAATCTATAGAAGAAAGCAAAATTAAAAAAAAAAGGCAAAGTGATCTCTATCACTCAATCATTTTACATTTATTGGCTGTAAATTGTAAAGCAAATAATTATTTTAAAATTTACATTTAACTAATTTTATTTTATTTTTTTTAAAGATTTTATTTATTCATACAGAATTGGGGTACAGGACAGAGATGTGGAGGGTGAGAGGACTCACCAGAGACAGAGCAGGGAGCAGAAAAGGCAGATCTACGAAGTACACTGCTGAGGGGAGCAGCGGGCGGGTCAGGAGCGGTCTGGCGCGCCATGTGGATTTCCTCCGGGGCAGGTGGGAATGGAACTCATGTGGAAGTGGCTTTAGCTTCTTAGTGCTATGCTTTAACCCGCTGCGCCACCAGGGAGGGCCCTAACTAATTTTATTTTTAAGAGAAGATAATCTTAAAAAAAAAAAATAGAACCTTAGTACTTGAATCCATATTAAGTTGTAGATTTGTTTGTCCACGGGAGGGTTGAGCGTGAGTTCTCCCTACTTTGCCACTTTGGACCTGCCCCCTTTCTCTTTCTTAGTATGCATTCATCATTGTGAAATTCTTACACCTGCTTTTTTGCTTCTCCTAAGTTTTTTGATGTTTATTACCATTTTCATTAGTCTCAACATACTTTTTTTTTTAAAATGATTTATTTATTTATGCATACAGAATGGGGGTACAGGCCAGAGGTGCAGGGGTGATGAGAGGATTCACCAGAGACAGAGTGGGGAGCAGAACAGGCAGATTGACGAAGTACACTGCTGAGGGGAGCAGAGGGCAGGTCAGGAGAGGTCTGGCATGCCATGTGGTCACCTCTGAGGAAGGGGAGGGGGAGTGAACTCACGGGGAAGTGGCTTTAGCTTCTTAGTGCTGTGCTTTAACCAGCTGTGTCACCAGGAAGGGTCCCCCCCTTTGTGTATCAGTAAGGCTAAAATCAAGGCTTTTATAGCAGCACATCATTCATTAAAAAAAGTCTATTTAGTAAATCTGCTTAGCTAGTCTATGTGTTTATTGGAGCCAGTCTATGTGTTTATTTAATTCACTTGTGTCTAAATAATTATTGGTAGGGGAAGGCTTACAATTAACATTTTATGAATTGTTCTATGGTTCTTTTGCTTGTTTCACGGGGACCTTGAATCAGGCAGACACATACCCCACTGAATTTCTTTGATAGACAATGCTACCACCTTGGGCCTGGGGTTATTATTTGGGTGCTGCAGGTAGGAACCTGCAGTGCTAAGATATAAGTGTGACTTGTTGCACCTCCTTCCACCTTGTCCATCACAATCAGATATCTGGTGGATCAAGCTTAGCAGATTACCCCATGATGCCTGTGATGTGAGATCAGAATGGGACTCCCAGGAAGTGACACACAATGTGGGGGGAGCTGAAAGTTCACCCTCCCACTGGAGGAAATGTAACTGGAGGAAATGTAAGCTCGGGGAAGAACTTGCAGTGTGGTATTGCTGCAGCCTGGGGTAGGGCAATGTGACCAGCATGTAGCTGCCATTTACCCTTATGGGGGGGTGGTGGGGGGAGAGCTTCAGCCTGCGTTCTAGGATTTTCTCAGTGGTGTCTTGTTCATGAACACTTACTAGTTATTTTGTGAAGGCAACCAAGTATATCTTGGTAATATTTCTTCATTATTTTGTTCTTTTATTATTTTCCTGATATCATATTATTCATTTGTGTTTTTTGATAGTTCTCTGAGCATCTTTGCTAGGCCAGTGCTTTAAACAGGTAAGCTATGGTACCAACATGCTGTGCATCTTTTGAAAAATTATTTTGAAATTTTTGTGGAGTAATTTTTGGATCTCCATGTTTATGGAGGCAGTTACGGGAGGTTTACTGTCTCCCATTGGTGGGGTCATATTTTCTTGATTTTTTTTTAAAGATTTATTTATTCATATAGAACTGGGGTACAGGCCAGAGATGCGGAGGGTGAGAGGATTCACCAGAGACAGAGTGGGGAGAACAGGTAGATCGACGAAGTACACTGCTGAGGGGAGCAGCGGGCGGGTCAGGAGAGGTCTGCCTTGCCATGTGGACTCCTCTGGGGCAGGCAGGAATCGAACTCATGTGGAAGTGGCTTAAGCTTCTCAGTGGAGTGCTTTAACCCGCTGCGCCACCAGGGAGGGCCCATGTTTTCTTGATTTTTTTATGACCCCTTCAAGACTTTATGGACTGACTCTGGTAAGGAAAGAGTTTTACCAATGAGTGGGGCATGCCATGACCCCAGATCTAATGGTAGCAGTCCAGGGATATTTGATGGCAGCAAGTTCATTCACTTATTCAGACTTTAGCACACATGTAGCAGGTCGGCAGTGAATGCAGAATCTATCATAGTTTCAGTCATGTCTCTAGGCCTAGCAGTCAAAGACCAGTTAGGCACTGTTGAAGAATATCTAGGGATCTTTTTTCATTTGTAAATCTATTTACATCAGATATAAACTCACTATTTGTCACACATAATAAAACTGTTTTTCCTACTGTGAAAACTGCTGAGCTATAAAAAAAAAAAAGAGGTAAAATCATGCCATTTGCAGCAACATGAATGGACTTACATGGTGTTATGCAAAGTGAAAAAAGTTGGATGGAGAAAGACAAGCCATATGATCTCACTGAGATATGGTAGATAACAACAAATGAACAAACAAGACAAAGCAAAATAATGTCTTTGAGGTTTAGACAAGCTTGACCTTGATAAGAATCAAACATGGTTGCCAGACTTAAGGGGGAAGAAGTTGGGAAAACCAGTTACAGGGGGTCATTTGCATGATGGTAGATATTGGTGGTGATTATAACACAATATATACAGATGTTGATCTCAAAGGTTGTACACTTGAAATCTATATAATGTTATTAACCATTTTTACTTCAACAAAAAAGAGCTAGAGGCCCTGGTGGTGCAAAGAGTTAAGACGCAGCACTGCAAGCTGGACCCAGCGCTGCAAACTAGCCACAGCGGCTGTAGTGCGACTTCAGTCTGCGGCTTCTCGGGAGCTGACCCACATGGCGCGGCAGACCTCTCCTGACCTGCCCGCTGCTCCCCTCAGCAGTGCACTTCGTTGATCTGCCTGCTCTCCTCCGCATTCTGTCTCTGATAAAGCCTCTCACCTCCCTGTATCTCTGGCCTGTACCCCAGATCTAAATGCATAAATAGATGAATCTTTAAAAAAAAGAACTAGATAAAAGTGCACCCCTATTTTGAGACATTTATAGACAGTGTTGTAATAAAATGAAGTTCAAAATATTTATGCATTACCCCTTTTTATTCCTTTGCTAAATTCTATTAAGGTTTTATTTTCCCTAAAGTTAAGGTAACCAAATGTAGTGAATGTAGTACATTTTCTACCATAGAACAAATTTAAGATTGGTTAAATTGGTTGTTGTAAACATAGACTTAATCCTATTTTAATTTTTAAAAGTTAATTTGACCCTAAAACACAATTGCTACTTTTCCCTTTTCTTTAGTAAAGCATGTTTCCCTAAATGATCCCACTTAAGGAATTATTTTCTTAAATTTACTCCAATAGAAATAGTTTATTACCTTCTACCCATGGTCTTTTCCTCAAAGAAGAGTTAAAAACCTATCTTGCCCCTTTAGTTGCTTAGAATTTAGACAGAAATAATATGTTGGTAAAACAAATTAAAACATACCATAGAAGTCCTTTACCAGGTTCAAAAGACATATTGTCAGAAGGAATAGTTCCCTGAGCTACCTGCAAACTATTCAAAGCACATTCCTGGTCATAACACTCGTGCTTTTCATGTTCTTACTCTTTGGCTATTTAAACATGTACCTGGGTGTCCGTGAAGAGGAAAACCATACTCTTGTCCTCTATACCAGCCAGTTTGTACAACTTCCTCAGGTCTTCATGAAAACTGTCATAATTATAGCCTCGGCTCAGTTCAATCTGCAAACATTTGTAGCCACATATGTGAGCTGCAAGTCTTGTAAGAGATTGCTTTCCTGTACCTCCTACTCCGACAAGCAAAGCATTGCCTCTTTCCTGACGAATCATGCGGGCAATCCTACAGGGAGCAGAGAGACTTATTTCAAGTGTGCAGACATGGCTCTGATTCAGAGGGCCCACACCAGGGTGGGAGACTGATGCAGTGCAGTGTCAGCCCTCAGCCAAAGGCCACAGGAAAAGCAGGCTGTCTGAGGGTCACAATTGTGAGAAAATTACTGCTGGATTTAGAGTCATCTCTCCACTATTTCCTGTAGTCTATTCGTCTTGCTTGTGCAAAGTTAGAGGAAAGTAAAATCTCTTTCTTCCTCTCACACTGTGGAGGATTTTGTCAGGAAACTTGGGTGTTTGAGTCTTCTCCATATATATGCTGTTAGTTAGGCTGTCAAATCCAGGTCTCCATTTATAAAAATGAGCAGGCAGATAAATCATGGGACCTCAGAAACAACACTGCAGTTCAGAAAGAGGTCACAGGGAGTAGCTGAAATGAATTTTCTATAAGCTATTGACAAAATTTTAATAAATTTCTGATTCATATTAACAAGAAAGATTTTAAAAGGACTAAAATCATAATACAAGAGTGAATATTCAGAAAGAGGCCCAAAAAATCCAAGTTCAGGAAAAACTGAAGATGGAAAATCTGATTACAAAGTTGAAAACCTCAGAGAAAAATGAGCCTTATGTCTCATGATGGAAGTAAAAGACAAACTTGAGGCATTTGCTCTGAACCTATGAAAAAAAGACAATGATATCACAAATGACAATAGAAAAAGAAAAGGACAGAAAAGAGGGTAAATTTAGGAAAAACAAATGGGAACGCAGACACCAATAACAGGAACTACAGAAGGAGAGATGAAAGGAGATAGAACAGATGCAATGGAAACGAAAATAATAGGAGAAACCAAAAGAGCTGAGCCCACAGAGCTGAGGTAGTCACTGAGGGTCAGGAAAGAAAGTCAAAGAAGAGGCACAAAACACTAAGTATTTTCCAGGAGAGGTACAAATATAAAATAAAATGTATGTGTCTGCATGTAACATATATAAAACAAAAGTCTACATTTTAGACACAAATGAAAGATATGGGAGCATCCAAAAGGCAGAGAGATTATTTCCAAAGGAACAAAGAATTTTTGGCTGGCCTCAGACCCTATTTTACAAGATGACAATCTATAAGACAATGGTTCGAGGGGGGAGACAATCATGTTATTGCTCAGAGAGTAAAACCTCTATAAATTCTTTCCCCAGAAGATTCCTTGAAGATATATAGAAAAGTATGACTAAAAATTGTATTTTAAGCAATTCCTCAAAATTCATAATTCAAAGTATCAATAGTTTTTTCTAAATTTTCTGTAATGAATGGGTAGAATGTAATTAGAAATCAAATCAGTATTTTTTAGAGAAAACAAAGTAGATGTGTTACTGTGTTGCAATAAATGTAAAGATGCCTTCCTTATACAACACTTTTGTCATTACAAAGAGCTTGCTAATAGGACTTTTTATAAATGAAGCTATATTTATAGAAAAAAGGAGACAAACACATCCATTAAATATCTTTGAAATTCAGCATTGTTACCAATCATCTCCAGTGAAGTAATCAACTTCTACGGACCTTAGAAGCTGTGAACTAAAGAACTTTGATTAAAGAATTCCCATACACAGCACCTTTGGGGGCAGGGGATAGGAACTGTGTAGTGTGAGCAGAGAACAGGTTGTTCACAAAGACTTAATGGAAAAATTCTCTCCAGAACAAGCATATATCCCAAGGTCCTTATTCAGGATCTTGTGAAATACTTGTCTGTAGTAGGCAAATAATTGGTGTTTACATTTTCACAGAGATCTGTTCTATCCTCCCTGCAATGTAGTGACAACTTTTGGCATGGAAGAGTTAGAAGTTCTTAGTACAAATTGCCCTTTAAAAAAACAGAAGCTCTGAAGTAAAAAGAAAATATACCACTTTTATCCACTTTTCTTGTGTAGTATATACATGTAAATAAAGTCCCCAACAAACAAAAATGGAGAAGTTGCTAAATTACTGAATATTTAGTGATCACTCCATAACTCATGTTCATAACGAAGCTCTTTCATTTGCTAAACAGCAGGTGTTTGAAAGCTCTCACATAAAACAAGCAGAGATTTGTCTCTTCTAATTCCTAACAACTGTTCCTCTTCAGAAAAAAAGAGAATATGTCTACATTGTTATTCACCTGACAGTCCTTTGTGTATCTGAAAATCAAATCTCTTCCATTCTATAAGTGAGTTTTCATTTCCCCTTGTAATACTTTAAACAAACTATGAGTAGCTTGGGAGTTCTCGCACAAAAGTAAGAAAGATTATAAATACAATTAAGCTGACTTTGTCTGTCAGATGGTCTCTTCTCCAGGAAGTGTCTCACACTGGACTACTACCTTTTTTTTTTTTTCTTCTTTATAGGTTTAGGGTCTGTCTGAGCTATGGGAATATGAGTTGTCAAGAGTTAGCATGTGGGTTCATTGGCAGGGGGACAGATGGGAAGCAAATGGTATCTCAGCAACCTATTGTCTAACATTTTAGCTGTGATAAACACAAACACTTGGAGTTAATTAATAATGAAGCTATAGGGAAAGTGAGACTGGATTTGCTTCTGGTATGTAGGAAAAAAAATCCTTTTCTACTCTTTCCTGTCTTGACCAGTTCAAATTCTCAATATGCTTGACAAGGAAAATCAACAAAAGCATTAAAATCTTGCTATGGTAACGGGCCACGGGAATGCTCTCATGTGCATTTGCACTGCTTATTCCACAGAATATTGCAATTAGGTACACCAGGAATGCACTAGGAGTTTATATAGTGAAGTATACAGCTGCTTGGATGAGAATTCTTACCTAGATTTGGGTTAATTCCTGTTCAGTTCCTGACTTTTCAGATAGTTTATCTAATCTCCCTTTGTCTGTTATGCCTTTGACATAGTTATTATTTTTTAAAAAGATTTATTATTTATGCATCTCTGGGGTACAGGCCAGAGATACAGGGGAGGTGAGAGGATTTACTAGAGACAGAGTGGGGAGCAAGGTAGGTAGACTGACAAAGTACACTGCTGAGGGGAGTAGAGGGTGGGTCAGGAGAGGTTTGCCACACAATGTGGGTCAGCTCCCTGGCCAGGATCAAACTCGAGCTGCAGAGGCTGGGGATAGCTTCATAATGTGGTGCTTTAACCTGTTGCACCATTAGGGCGGGCCCGACATAGTTATTTTTAAAGTCCACTGTAGCCTGAATAGTCCTACAGGGCAAAACCCTCATTTAGAATCCATCAGAATGGTCCTTGGGCAGAGACGTTAGGAGTGGGGATGCAGGGGGAGAAATAAACTGTATAAGGGGGAGAGGTGGAGAAGTGTAGTATTAGCTCAAAGCAGGCTACTAAGAAGTGACCTGACCCCGTCAGAGAATACCATATCAAATCTGGGTATGACATTTTAAGTGGGGCACAGAAAACTAGTAAGTGCTCTAGAAAAACCAAAAAACTAGAAAGTGGAAATAATCTCTATTAGGTAGTAGCAAAAGTGTTAGGATCACTATTCCTGGGGAAGATAAGGCCAAGAGGATCCTGGGAACAGTTTTCAAAAATATGGAGGGTTGTTAAGAGTGAATCTGTTTTGGGTGGAAGCACCTGCAGCAGAGTTAGAGTCAAAGCAGGTGATACTGGGCCTGCCACTCACTAGTCAGAGGACATGGTACAATTCACCTACTTCTCTGTTCCAGAGAGAGGCTATGATATTTTTGGCTCACTTGTTCTTTCATCCTATCAGAAGAGTCTGGATCCTTTCTGTGAACCTGGATGGACCTATGTGCCTCATTTGACTAACAGAGTACGGTAGAGTGATGTTTTGTGACTTCCAAGGCTAACGGGTAGAAGGCCACTTGGCTTCTACATGACCTTTGGACTCCTTTGCAACCATGCTAAGAAGCCTGAACAGTCTGATATTGCCATGTGGGAGACAGATGTGGAATCCACCTGGGCAGAAGTGCATCAGGTATCCAAGGGGCAGTCTTGACTACAGCTACATGAGAGACCCCAAGAAATAACCACTGGGAACCACAGAGATTGTAGTAGATGAAGTTATTGAATGTTATGGTGACTTATTCTCAAGGGCCATTTTGACATTTAAAATTGTTGGTGAAGTGGTGGTGGGAAGTCCAAGGGGAATACAATTGAGATGAAAAAATGTACAAAATGAAGAACAATATAAAAATACATATATATAAAGTAAAAAAAAGAAAAAATTAAAAAGGAAAAACAATAAAATTGTCCTTCAGGACTCAGCTGCTGCAAAAGGACTGCAGATATTCAGGCTGGATGTCTATATGTCGGGGGTGCACCTCAAAGGGATACTTAGAATGAAAAAGAGTCAGACCTATAAATAGGTGGAATCTACATTCCCTGGATTTAACTTGTGTTATAATCTTGAATCCTCTCTCCCTTAGACATCCATGGAATCAGCTTTGTTACACTGTGCATGTATCTCTTAAGCCATCTTACACCCTTTTTTTTTTGTAACAAAAAGGGACATTTAAACTAAGCAAAACTATTAATATTTAGTGAACATATTGACCCCTGGAAACACAGAATGTTTATGCCATATGTGTGTATAAGGTATCAAAAATAACTTTTATATTAATATTTGCTGATAAGTCATTGTATCTCTATACAATCTAGTCCCTACCTTTTAATACAAAAGAAATCAGATCAAAGCATTATTGGGGGCACCTTTTAGCACTGTACCTTGACACATGCTCTATAGCATCCTGGAAGAACACCAACTTTACTTCTTTAGGATTTGTAAGATTATAGTCATCAAGGTAATCTTGTAGAACATTTGCAATTTTGCCCATATCAGTCAAGTCTTCATAAGTCTGATCACTCTTATCTGATCCAAACTATAAAGTGATTTATGGGAGAAGAACTAGGTTGAATAAATTTTGATATATAAATAAATAACATGTATATATACATATAAAGCACATATAATGTTAGGAAGGAAACATTTCATCTCTGTTATTTAATCATTTGTTTTTATATATGTTAGCAAGGATTTGTGATCATGGCATCTCCTCTGCCAGGTAAGTATTTTAGCTAGCAAGGATTTGTATACCAAGGAAATGGTACTAAAGAAACTCAGAATAACTGAAAATCCATTTCATTTAATTTCTGCTGATTGGTATAAAGCAAAAGTAATGATCTTAGCAATAAAATACATATAGGAGCTCAAAAATAGGTATTTAATTTTTCTCATTATCTCTTACTTTGGTTACAAATTTTTATTCTTCGGCTGTTGACATCAGAAGAACCAAATGGTTGAAATGATGCAAAGTAGACTATTATGGTTATAGAGAGTCAGGCCAGAATGATGTGTAGCTTTCATATAGCAGTCATCTAATCTGACTAAATGAATTATTGAGAATGAAATGGTATATGATATAGGGAACTAGGATTCTATTTACACTGACTGATGGTGTTTTTTTCTTTGTTGGCACAACTACCCTGAGCACATTTAATTTGGAATCTTTCAAGACTGAATACACACAAGCAGAGCATGCAGAGTCTAGCTATGCTCTTTTCTTTGTTTTAGTCTCTCATTTGATAACAATATTACTAGAAACACAGGAAATATAACTAACACCTGAAAACAAATGTTGAACTTATTTTAATATGTAAATACTTCATACAAGTAAAGTTCTTTATACATACCTACACACACATATGTACCTATATATGTACACAGTTTTTTGTTGTTGTTAGATGTTACCAGAATGATGAGGTATACAGCATACACACAAGACGAGCTCACTCACTTGTTTAAACAGCATTGATTGCTCTGTGCAGGGAGTGAGGAATTAGAGTGTACAAAAGAGACATGCCCCCTGTCCTCCAGGAGACACTGGGAATGTACGTAAACAAGAGCCAACTGAAAACAATGTGTATCTGCCAACATATGTAGGGTTGTTCCATGGAAGACTTATTCTAGGTAGGTCTAGAGAGTAAAATTAGGGCTCCCGTGTAGACGCTGAAGAGCTTACTATAAGGAAAACTTCGCTACTAATTAGAGCTATCCTGAACTGAGCAGCACTGTGAACTAACAAAGGCTGGACAGCTACAAAGAATAAAATAAGAGGGACTCTAATCCTGAAATAGGAGATTAAACTTCTCTATTTCCTTCCAAATGGAATACCTGATAGTTCTTTGATGAAAGATATTATCAAAATGAATGTAGCACTAAGATTCGGAGTCACTTTTTCACTAAAGGGCCAGATATTAAGTATTTCAGGGTGTGCAGGTCAGAGTGTCTCTAGTGCTACTTCTTCACTCTGCCTTGTAATGCAAAGTAATGTTGTAAATAGTACAGAACTCAAGTGGTCATTACTGTGTTCCTAGAGAACTTTAATTTATGAAGCCAGCAGTGGAAAGATTTGGCCTGTAGGCCATAGTTTGCCAAGCCCTTGTTAGATCTTTAATTTTCATACATGCACAATTCTTATAGAATAAACAAGAACAAAAAATACTAAAATTAGTAGGCAACTATAAATCAGAGACATTCTGCAAGGGTTGTGGAGGCAGAGAGGGCAAAACAGGAGAGGGAAGAGCATAAAGACTAAGGTCATGGTGCACGGGTGAATTGGAGGTGGGAACTACACCTGAGAGGAAGAATATAGTTGACAGAAAAGAGCAATGATGTTTTACACACACACACACGCACACACACACTAAAAGAATAGCAATAAAAATGAGAAAATAGTAAAGGCAAATTTACTATTAATCAGGTCAATAAAATATTTTTACCTTAATGAAATCTCCAAATATGATGGGCTTAGTCAAAAAATATTCCATCCCAATTGCAATTCCAAAATGTTTGTCTATTCAAAAACAAAATGAAAATTTAATAAAATGATAAGCATGGATGCAGTATATTAATAAGGTAAACAGAATAATATCATCGTGACTTTACTTACAAGTTCTAATTAGTATAAATGAAAACTGAGAGAAAGTCATGTTAACACTATCCACTTTACTTTGTTTGATAAGCTCCTAGATTTAAGAATGTTGATATTAAGAACCTTATTAAACAGATAATGAATATATATTTAATACAAAAGGAGTACTTTGGAAATGACACTGCTTCTTATCAAGACAAAATGCTGTTTTCCTTGCTTCCCCTCCTCTATTTAAAATTCTATACTGAGCTAAAAATATTCACCTTGCCTGAATTTCAACAGAACAACTTTTTAAGAAGTTTAAAGCAATGCACATTTAGTGTCTCCCGGCAATAAATGTTGTTCCAGGGATGAGGAACTCACATACAATCTGGTTGAAACTCACACACAATCTGAGCTAAGAACCTGAGAGGTTCACCAGACTGCAGTGAAAGCTCCTGTCGGGTCCTCTTTCAAACTCTTGTGATTGTTGGTAAAATTCAAGATTTTAAGGGACTGAGGTTCTTTGTTGGCAATTAGCCAGGGTAACTCTCAACTCCTAAAGACCTCCCATCGAGCTTGACACATGGTCTTCTTACATCTATTTTTACATATTTGAGTCATTGAAGAAAAAACTTTTATTCATGAAAGACAAATTCATTTTGCTTTATCCTATATATGCTCATTTAAAATTTTTCTTTATAAAAAACCAAATTGTTTTTTCACTAATATCATAGAATATTTAAGAAAGATTGGTATTTACTGGCCATTTCTGTCAAAATAGTGTAGAAGTATTGCTTATCTTCATTATTAATCAAACGATCGTGGAAGACTCTTTGACATTCGTGGCAAAAGAGTCTGAACATCTGCATTTCTTCTCTTATTGTTCCTGGATTGCACTGGAGGATACCTGGTTTTTTTTTTTAAGTAAAGGGAAAAAAGGGAAATGCATGATAGTGTAATATCTAGTCTTACTTTTGTTAACCAGAAAATCTTTAAGCCCACTTTAATCTCCACACTACTAGAAATGAGGCGCTTTCCCAGAGAACATACACACATGTGGGATCCCAGGCTTTGAAAGTAAAACAGACACTTTATATGATAAAGCTATTTCTTGTTTTGTTATGTTTCTTTTTTTTTTTTTAAGATTTATTTATTTATTCATACAGAACTGGGGTATAGCGGCCAGAGGTGCAGGGGCGGTGAGAGGATTCACTGGAGACAGAGTGGGGAGCAGAACAGGCAGATTGACAAAGTACACTGCTGAGGGGAGCAGTGGGCGGGTCAGGAGAGGTCTGCGGTGCCATGTGGGTCACCTCTGGGGTGGGGATCGAACTTATGCTGAAGTGGCTTTCGCTTCTTAGTGCTGTGCTTTAACCCACTGTGCCACCAGGAAGGGCCCTGTTATGTTTCATTAGGAGGATATGTGTAGTGGCCAGACTTCACACTATATATAAGCAGTGTTTATTTCATCTCATCTTACCTTACCTCACACCTCACCTCACCCCACCCCATCCCACTCACCTCACCTCACCTCACCTCACCTCACCTCACCTCACCTCATCTCACCCCACCTCATTTCATCAAAATAGGACTAGGGAAGCAATGGGCAAGAATGATAAATAAATGCTTACATTATCCAATGTCTGAACTCCAGGAAGTAAGTTCAAGGATCAATTGAGAGCCTACTCTAAAGAACAAAGTCCTATTCTAATTGATGGTCACAGGATCCAAATCATGCAGAGTCTCAGTCCTACCGCAGGTGATTGGGAAGCAGCCTCAGAAGGGTCTGAATGGGGGACAGTATTGTGTTTTATGAGGGAAGAGTTGAGTTAAAGGTAGTGTAACTGGATAACTTGGAAGTAGGAGACCAAAGAGAGAAAGGCTCTCTGTTAGAAATCCTGGTAAGGATAATGCTCATTTGGGCTATACTGGTAGTATGGATGGAGTGGTGGGATACAGTTAGATTTGGGATCTCTTTTTAAGGTTATGCCATTACGGTTGTTGATGAATTGTATGGGAATCATCAAAGAATGAGAACAATCAAGTACAACCCCAAGGTTTGGGGCCAGAGCAACCATGGGCCCACATGGCTGGGGAGGAGGGATAAAGTAAGAATTCAGTTTCAGACACCAAAAATTAAAGTCCTATTGGTTAAGAAAGGAATTGGTTATACAAATCAGATGCTTAGGTCAGAGTGTGAAGTTGGTGGTAGACAAAGCAGCATCTCTGAATGGATGACATTTAATACCGTTTAACCAACTGAGATTACCTGGGGAGTAAGTAAAGAATAAAAGGAAGACAGAAGACAGAGTCCTGGGGGACCCTAACATTTGGAGGTAAAGAGGAGGAACATCCATCAAAAGAGACTGAGCAGTAGTCAGTAAGGGAGAAGAGAGCCCAGGGCAGCATGTAGCCTGGAGCACCAGAGAGGGAAGGTCCTCTAAAGAAAGTGAGGGGCAAGTAAGTAAAACACTGCTGAGAGGTTAAGCTACAGTCTCAGAACTGACCAGTGGGTTTAGCAAGATGGGGAGTCAAAGAACAGTTTAGTGCAGTGTCAGTAAGGGGTGTTTCTAAAAACAATAGGAAAAGTGTGTGCACTTAAGCTATATTTTTGTGTTACTGGGAATAATCCAATATAAAAGGCAGCAATGATGATGCAAAAGAGAAGTATGAATTACAGGAGCAGGAGAGGATGGGGTTCAGTGCTGGAGGGGTTATCAGCATGCTTTAGGGGCAGAGCCAGCTCAGTAGGCGGGAAGGCAGTTACAGGATGTCTGGGAGATCTGGAAGGTGAGACAGTTCTGGCTCAATTATTTCTTTTTCTTTAGTGAAATAACAAGACAGGGTCATCTGGTTGGAGCTAGAAATAGGAGGGGATCTTGGCGGTCTGAGGGAAGCTCTGAGGTAGTGAGTCTGGGGTGGGGGTCAAGGGTGAGTTGAACAGGGACAAGTAGTGGGATTTCCAGGCAAGTCATAGACACCTGTGTATCTTGATGAAGAAGTCTGAGAGTGAATGGAAATGAAGTGAGGGTGCAGGTCAGAGAATGAGGGTTCCACATACTACCTTGCACACATTTGGACAAGTCCCTCAAATTAAAGACATAATGGGACTTGGCAGGTGTTGGCAGAAGATCGATACTCATTCTGTTGTAAATCTCAACTGCAGCTTCTACAATGTTTGACACAGTATTCTTTATGGCTGGTGGGAAGTCACTCAGGAAGCCATTTAAGATGGCCTAGAACCAGAAACATCATAGGAGAAAGTTAGGGTTTATTTTTACACCAAACTTATCAAATACTCCAGATCTGATGATACCTTTATTAGATGGCTCCTAATAACAACCAGAAAGCTGAATTCTAAATCAAGAATTCCCAAGCACTAAAATTCTTTCACTAATTTCAGAATATATTCTCAAGAATGGGTTACCCCTGTCTTCTGTGATTGGGGACCTGAGCAGTATTCATATCTGACCAGCGAATGTACCATAAACTGACTCTGAGGTAATTTTGAACCCTGCTTGAGGGTCTTTCTAGAGGGCCTGACTCATTTTGAAACGAACTGAAATGCTCCCTGATTTTTTGTTATTTTAATCTCCATATGTATGTAAAATGTGACGTACTTACAACTATGAACTCCCCACCCCTCAGCTTTCCCACCTCAGCATACGGTCCCACTTGCTACTCAGACCAGAAAAGTAGGAGTCTTGTTGGACAGGTTCCATTTTCTGCCCCACACAATTAATCTTTTTATTTTATTAATTCATATGTCTATTTACATTATTGTTTGTTTTAAAACAATGGTTACCCCCCAATTTGCCCATGTGTCATACCACAGTCCCCCATTTTCCTCCCTCCCTCCATCAGATCCCTCTGCCTCCCCCTCCCCTGTAGGATATCTCTGGTTTATAACTGTCAATTTGTTTTTGTTTTGTTGTGTTGTGTTTTGTATTGCGATAAGTAGAGAATGGATCATGCTCAGTGAAATAAGTCAGAAAGAAAAAGAAAAAGAAAAATATCCAATGGTTTCACTTTGTGGAGAAATAGAACTAAATAAAACATAGGGGAAACATTGTATTGTTATTACAATACAAAACACAATTGATCTTGAATACATTCTTGAATGTATTTGCTTTCTATTTTCCCTGATGTCACTCTATTCCAGTCCCTATTCCTTTTTTTTTTTTTTTAATTAGAGCTTTACCAATCCCTCCATCACTCACTGGTCCATAGGTGACTACTGGTAAAATCAGTTTCTCCAACCAGCCACTTGTCTTATTCTGGCTACATGCCTATTTTATTATTTCCTCAGTGACTATGCTTGTTCAAGAACCTTCTGTTCCCAAGATCTGACCCTACTTGTCAACACTCATGCTCCAGGACTCAGCTCATCATCTAGCCTCTTTAAGAAGTCTTTGTTGGGTGGTGATGACAGGCTCCAGTCATGCTGCTTCATTTTCTCCCTTCATTCCATTCAAAATGTCTTACATTCATTGAACACTTCAGTTCAGCACTTACGGTAGGTATGGGTATTCTTCTCATTTAAAGGATGAAGAAGTGACCCCGTAGGGAAGTTTGTATAGGTGGTGGAATATGGGTTTTTTTTTTTTTTTAATTTAGGCACACAACAACTGGGGTATAGGCCAGAGGTGTGGAGTGTGAGAGGATTCACCAGAGACAGAGTGGGGAGCAGAACAGGCAGACTGAAATACACTGCTGAGGAGAGCAGTGGGTGAGACAGGAGAGGCCAGTTGCATTATGTGGGTCACCACCTTGACCAGGCATTGAACTCGTGTTGCAGTGACTACAGACAGCTTCATAGTGTTGCACTTTAACCTGCTGTGCCACCAGGGAAGGCCTGGGTGGTTATTTTTGTTGGAGTGGTGGTAGAAGCACAGGTGATGGGTTAGGTGTATGAATTTGAGTTCCCTAAGCAAGTGGACAGGCAGACCTGGTGGTGAGGTATGACAAGAGTACAGAATCAGGGGCTGGAACAGGATGTGATCTGCTGAGAGAATATTACGAGGCAAGGCCTGGGATATAACCTTCAGTCAAGGTGGGGTTGTGTTTTCACAGTCTTTCTGTTTCCCTAAAACTATCTGTGAGCTTACAAGCACAGATGGCAGTGATGCTAATGCCTATCAGCTACTGTCCAGATGCCTGTTTTCACCTGATTTCTGCTGAGGAAAGGGACAGATGGCTCCCTAGAAACACAACAGACTGTTTACATTGTGGGAGTTTGGGAACAAAAAAATTTTTTTTAATCTCTTGCACAAGTTTAAATCCATACTCACCTGAAAAATATGTTTCAGACTGTGCTCTGAGGGCGTGGGGAGGCACAGCATGCTGAAGTGTCGGATAAAGCGGGGGGTCACAGGGTTTCGGCCACCTCCTGGAGGTGCACACGCTGATACAATTGTTACATCCTGTGTGGTGAGAAATCCACTTGGGTCATCCAGCAAACAAAGAGACTTGCCTGATCAATGTCAAGATCCAGACCACCATTTTTCTAAGACTAATATGCCAACACTATTATGTTTTCCAACATATTATCTGACTTTAATCTTCACTATAACCCCAGGGGATCACTATTGTTACTTCCATTTTGTAGATGACAAAGCCTGGGATGATTAAGTAAGTTGCTCAAGGTCCCTCAGCTAATTCATCTATATTGTACAAATACATCTACATAAAAATTTAATCTTAACAAATAACAAGAATGTGTGTCTTAAAATACATCGAGTCAACAAATACTAGGTGGAGTCAATTCTTGTTATTTGTGGTAACTGCATTCTAGAAAGTCACCAGAAAACTGAATCAAGGAACACTTGAGCCACTGTCCTTGGGAAATCCAAGGTTAGGCTTCTGGAGCCTGTGGTCATATTTTCATCAATTGGTCAACACAGAATGTTGCAGTTGCCTCTAGTCTTGCCTTTCTACCCTCTCCTGTAACCAAGGAGATCTTCCCACAACATTTTCTCAGAGGCCCACCATCACTTAGAGGTAAATCCATGCTCCACATCCTGGCACCATGACCTCCTGGGCTGACTTCTGCATCTCTTGCCATGGTGTCTCACATTCCCTGATACTGCAGTGCAAAATTCTACCTTTTATTGCTTTGTTATGCTTTCCTGCAAAAACCTGTTCCAATATCACCTCCTCTGGAAAGACATCGCTCATCCTCAAGCCAGTACCCAGCCTTATTCCCTCCTTTCTCTTTCCACATATTATCCTGCATTATAAATGCATGTCTACCTACTCTCTGGGAGTAGAGGGGACAGTACCCTCTGGGAGGTGGGGACAGTCTCACATGTTCATCAATCTCTTGAGTCAAGCATGGCAGGAACTCAGTATAGACTGAATGAGTTGAATTACATATAAGATATAACGAAGCCATGTTATGGGCTGAACTATGTACTTCTCCTCTTCCCTTGGCCAATCCTAAATTAAAGTACTATCCCCAGTATCTCAGAATATGGCTAGTTTTGGATATAGCATCTTTAAAGAGGTGATCAAGTCAAATGAGGTCATTGGAGTGGACTTTACTCCACTCTGACTCGTTTCTTATCTGAAGATGAGATTTAGATACTGGTGGGTCCAGAGGGGAGAGCCTGGGGAGGCAAAGGGAGATAACAGTCATCTGCAAGCAGGGTTTCAGACTAAACCAATTCTGCTGACATCTGGATCTTGAACCTCTAGCCTTTAGAACTGTGAGAGAATAAATTTCTGCTCAACCACCCGGTCTGTGTTACTTTGTTTATGGCAATCTAGCAAACCAACACATTACACTTCCTTGTTTAAATTTAAACACGCAAAGTAATTAAAATAAAATAACCTGTATCTCTTTCCAAAACAGTTTGTTTCTGTCATAAAATCCACCAAAATCTTGATATTGTCGAAGTAATTCAATAGGAGGCTGAGAGCCATAGCTATCCAGTCTGGGCATATTTAAATCATCCACAAAAATCACAACTTGCTTGTTAACTGGGGCTCCTAGAGAAATTAGGTGGATTTAAGAATTATAAATTTCCCTTGGAAACCGTAGGACAACGCTTAGGTAAGGCTTGGGATCCAGTAAATACCCTGTACGTCACAGTAAGCTGCTCTTGTGAGTGAGCGTGCTCTAGCTGAGTCTTGCCTTGAGGATTGACCTCCCGGTGGGCCTGTGTGGGCCCCTGCAGGGAGATGTGGCCCCAATGAGGACACTGCATTTTCAAGTGGCCCCCATTCTCACTCTCAGAGATGCAGCATGGTGCCAGCACTCCACTTAGGTCCCCACCTTTATCAACCCCATCTAAACCCACTGTTTTCACCAACTGTGTGGCCTGGTATACAGTGAGGAAAGCCATTTTCTTTTTAACTAGGAAGCAGAGAAACATCAAAAGTTTCCTCTCATAGAAGCCATCTCAGCAGCCTCTGTAAGGAAAACGGTTGGATATACAAAAGCATTCTGATCAGATCAACGTGAAGTTCAGTGCAGCGGAGCTGCACGAAGTCATATTTAACTTAAGGAAAATCAATATCCAGTCACATGACAAAAAAGAATGAGTGACAACGCAGAAAGAGAACAACTTGAACACAGTAGGGGATTATACCCAATTCTGACATCCAGCCCTTATAGTTTTAAGTTTGGAGGCAAATTTAGTGTCTCCACTCCATCGTGTAGCCACTGAAGCTGATCAGTAAGAGAATGGATGGGAAAAAGCTCTGAAAGAATCATCCATTAATATTTGGGGTCCCCACCAGAAGACTGGATCTATTGTCTCTGCCTAACTGAGCAGGGAAAAGAGAATAGAGAGGGCCAAGTGAAGCGACTGGTATCCCCATAACTTGATGCAGCAGGGCCTATTAGGTGATGTACAATGTGGAAGGCAGTTGAACTTGAGTTCTGACTAGCATTCTTCCTTGGAGGTTGTGAGCTGGACAAGAAGACTTCAGCAAGTCGAGGCTCAGTAGAGGTTTGGGAATGTACTTCTTGAGGGTAGGACTGAATGGAGGTGGAGACCCTGATACCCGACATTTGGGAACTTGCTAGTTGGGAGGCCAATGTTTGACAACTGTGAACAGCTCGGGAAGAGTGCTCCTGGAAGCCTGCCATGCAGAGTAGGCGCAGTCATTCAGTGCCAGTCAGAGAGGCCAGGGCACAGTATGCGCAGGATCAATCTAAATGCCAGCTAGGAAGATGACACTGGTCTCTTCAATCTCTTCTTCCAGCCCAAATACATGAGCCTCTAGAGAGAGGGTGTGGAAGCAATAAATAGCACCCAGCTCTCTTCTCAACCTCCACACTCCAGATTTGCAACAGAGGAGGGAAGAGCTTTAAGTTGGGTTTGGAACTGACTTTACATTGGATCATATTCCAAATAAACAGCAGGTTTCCAAAAGTTCTATTCATCTAAGCATTAATGAGGGAAAGTGAGGTGATCTCACAAAGCCTGGCTGAAAGAACTGATTGAAGGAAAAACTCAAAACAATTTTATGCTTATTCTCTACTGATTTCAGATCAATATACCAAATATAAAGAAGAAAGCTGGTTTTAAATCATGATATTTCTTACCTAGAATATTTTTTCTTTTTCTTTCCAGTTTTGACTCAATGATCTCTTGGGTTCGTGCAGATGAAGTTTGAGCAGAAAAATTTAGATAAACAGGGACATAGCCAGCTGATTCTTGAATTTTATTTAGCAGTCCTTTGGCAATAACAGTCTTTAAATTAAAAAATGTTAATTGATTTTACAGTGAATATAATATCTTCCCATTATCCATATCAGTCATAAGGTCAAACAAGGAGTAATAAATAGGAAAAAAGGAGAGGTTAAAACCAGATTGAGGCTCTCCCTGGTGGTGCAGCAGGTTAAAGCACAGCACTAAGAAGCTTAAGCCACTTCCGCATGAGTTTGACTCCCGCCTGCCCCGGAGGTGACCACATGGCGAGGCAGACCTCTCCTGACCCGCCCGCTGCTCCCCTCAGCAGTGTACTTCGTCGATCTGCCTGTTCTGCTCCCCACTCTGTCTCTGGTGAATCCTCTCACCCTCCGTATCTCTGGCCTGTACCCCAGTTCTATATGAATAAATAAATCTTTTTTTTTTTTTTTTTAAAAACAGATTGAAATGCCTACCTTTCTTTTCCTGAGATTCCATTTCACTATATTTGTCAGGTCGAAGAAATATTCTCATCAGCTTTACCACAGCAAAGAGTTTTTATTTTAGTTTAATAACAAAATCCTTCTTGGTTTCTATTCAATTCAATTTAACAGTAACAATCACTTTGACCGAAGGACCCCAACTTTTTTTTAGAAACAGTTTAGAAGGAAAATAATGAATATCTGTTTCTGTGAACTTCCCCAGCCAAGAAGAACAAATAGTCAGCATTTCCCCATCCTCTTCTTTTCTCAGATACCATTACTGTGACAGTCTGTCTGATCTTCACCTGCAGTTCACTGGGACACAGGCCTTGGCCAATTCCCACTCTAACTTGAGCAGTGACCTCCTGACAAATTTCGAGGGGTAAAGAACAAAAACACCCAAATACAAAACATTGATCCACAAGGTTCTCCAGAGTATACAGTGTGGATACCAGGGATTTATGCAGAAATGGGCTAACTTTGGTATAATTCCCAAGGTTGATATTAAATCAGCAGTTACATACTCCTGAGAAAACTGACTAGACTTCAAAAGAATTTCCTCTGAGAAGTAAGGTATTATTTACAGGGTTTACAATTCGATGCCCACCATACCCGCATTTTCGCACCTCCTTGTTTGATGTTTCCTACCTTGCCTACTCCAGTTGTTCCAGTAAACAACACTGAATGACTGACGGCCAGTAGTTTTTCCATTAGATACCCAAAGCGCACTGTGTCCACTGTGGGCACGAGCATTTCAAAAAATGGAACGTTTTGGCTGTACTTGAAGGCGGGTATGATTCGTTCCCAGGGATCCAGTCGTTTGGTGTCAAAGTCCATGTGAATGCTCCACAGGTCACCAGAACTGGGAAGCTGAAATATAAGGAAACCACTTTTTTTTTTTTTTTTTATTATTATTTTTTAAGGACACCACTTTTCATAGGATTGACACAAATATTCCGCACAGAAACAAAGACAGAAAATGTGAATGAATTTAGATTTTTTTGTGGAAAAGTAGCTGTTCAGGGATCAGAATCTAATTTTTAAACACAGCTGTGCAACACAGTGTATGAAAAAAAAAAGTTATGTTGATTGTTTTAAAGCCCCCTATTAACATTATTAAGCACTTTCAATTTAACTCTAATTCAGGGACTTACTCCATCCCAAACACTGTGCTTGGCCCTGAGGGGAAGTGCTGGGTGAGATCCACCCTTTGCCTTCAGTGACCTTGCAATCCATACAGGGGATTTTCATTTTCAGAAAAAGAGAAATAGCATCTTTATTTTACTGAAAAACTTGCTATTCCATATTACCATTTTATTTTTATTTATTTATGTATACAACTACTGACTGGGGTGTAGGTCACAGGTGTGGTGGGTGAGAAAATTCACTGGAGACAAAGTGGGGAGCAGAACAGGCAGAGCTACTGAGATACACTGCTGAGAGGGGCAGTGGGTGAGACAGGAGAGGTTTGCTGCACCTTGTGGGTTAGTGATGCTTAAATTTGCTCAGACTGACTAGTGGGGATACCTTCAAACTGGCTTCTGTGTTCTTTTGATATGTGCCATCATTCTTTCAGATTTTTTTTAGTATCTGACAGTATGTTCTAGGCTAATTTCACATTTTACCTGCCCCAGTTTTCAAATCAGCTATTTCACTAAGGAGTCTTGGTTCTCTTTCATGAGAATGGTAGTTAGCAATAAACACACAAAGTTTGTTCATTTTTGCTTCTCCTAGTTCCTCTCAGCAAAAGAACTAGGAGATTTATGTATGTATGAATACACACACACAAATATGTATATATATATATATAATTTGTAAAAAAACTAAAATCTACGCACACTAAATAATTTCATGTACACTGTACACATACTAAATAAATACTCCCCAATTTGAACCTAACAACAGTGTACATTCTAATCTTTCTCATTCCATCTCTTTCTTCCCTCCTCTAACAACAAGAAACCTGGTTGCCATTATCTCAACAGAAATACTTTCAAAATTGTTAAGCTATAACACTGTGAAAAAGAAACTTAAGAGATTAGAATTCCTTATTAATTTATAGTAGTGAGTTTTTATATACCTTCATACCTTGTTTTCTTCATATAGCTAGAAAACTCCTAAAATTTTTAATACAATAAATGTTATTTCTGGTTTAAAAACATAGATAATTTTAGAAGCCCTTATAGTAAATAATAAGTCTTTTAAAATTTAGTCTTAAAATTTAATTTTAATGATTTGAAGTAATTATGTTAAAATTAACTTTATTTGGGGTCCTCCCTGGTGGTGCAGCAGGTTAAAGCACAGCACTAAGAAGCTAAAGCCACTTCAGCACGAGTTCAATCCCTGCCCCAGAGGTGACTGACCCACATGGTGCGGCAGACCTCTCCTGACCCGCCCACTGCTCCCCTCAGCAGTGTACTTTCACAGTCAGCCTGTCCTGCTCCCCATTCTGTCTCTGGTTAATCCTCTCACCTCTGGCCTGTACACCACTTCTGTATGCATAAAAAAAAATTAAGCTTAAAAAAATAACTTTATTTGGCTCTTACCCTGGCATCAGGATTATCATCAAATTGTGTTCTAATAAACGTGTCAAAAGCATCCCAGTGGATTTCATTTAGATTTCCACCCAAAGACCATAAATAACAGAATATAAAAGTCTGACATAGTAGAGTGTTCAGTTTTGTTTGTTCCTGCAATAACAGAAAGAGAATTTTAATGGCTTCCAAGTAATATAAAAAGAATCCTAAACTACAAACTCTAAGGACTATTTTCTTCGCTTAAGCTCATTGATTTTAGAAAGTGCTTAGTGTATGCTTCTTAGGCTTCACTCAATGGTTCATAGGGTACTTTTAGTACAACATATGATGAGAAACTGAGTGGCAAAGAATATGCAGAACAAAAGTTCAAGGTTGTCTTTCAGTAGACTATGAGAATTTTGTTTCTCCCTGCATGAAGACATTTATTGGGAATATATCTTTGATTGTAAGGGGATTTAAACACTGAGGAGAAGAATACTGAAAGGCTCTTTAACATCCCTCCAGCTTTGGGATTCTCTGGATCCATTCATAGGCATTAGTCTACTAGAAAATAAACCTGAAAATCAAAAGATCATGTTACAGAAATTTAGAGTTACCTATTTGCAAACCAACTTTTTAGTAATCTCATCTTCCTAGCTCTTACAGCACCAAGATAACCCTTCATACCATTGTCAAATTTGCTCCATCTTTCTCAAGTAACAGTGACTTTAATAAACAACAGAGGGTAGTAACTTTGCTGATGTCCACTTGTGGGATTGCTTGGCTGCATTTTTTGTTGACAAAATGTAAACCATCTTCAACATAACGTTGGAAAAGGTTCAAGATATATTCTTGAGTTTCCTCATTCAGCTGAAAGTGAAATAAGTAAATAACTGTTTAGCAAGACCAGGTGAAATACGTAATTAAAATTTAAAGCCAATTTGGTACAATATAATTCTATGACTTTTAGGCTAAAGTGTATGAACATCACAATATATGAAGGAAATAAAGAAAAAAAAAACTTCTATGACTGGAAGGAACACATGGGAGAGATTCTGGTAGCTGATAATAAACTACACATCATGTTCTGGTAATGACAGTACACACTGGTTTATTTTATAGCCAATTGTTAAACTGTCAATATATATGTCATGCAGTCTTCTATGCTGACTATTATTATCTCATAATTAAGAACACTGAAAAAGAAGAAACATAAGGGACCCTTTAAAATTCTACTTAGATAGGCCCTCCCTGGTGGCGCAGCGGGTTAAAGCACAGCACTGAGAATCTGAAGCCACTTCCGCATGAGTTCGATTCCTGCCTGCCCCGGAGGTGACCACATGGCGCGGCAGACCTCTCCTGACCCGCCCACTGCTTCCCTCAGCAGTGTACTTCGTCGATCTGCCTGTTCTGCTCCCCACTCTGTCTCTGGTGAAGCCTCTCACCGCCCCTGAGCCTCTGGCCTGTACCCCAGTTCTGTATGCACAAATAAATAAATAAATTAAAAAAAAAAGAAACTTAAAAAAAAAATTCTACTTAGATAAAAGAAATAATTCCCAAAGTTTTTTTTTTTAAAAGAATGCAGCTCTTCTTACTACTCCTACTCACCATCTCTCTAGATAATACAATAGACAACAAAAGAAATAAAAGGTACATGTTCAATAGTTTGGTAAGGAAGAAAAAAACTACATCATATGACATGATTGTCTGTGTCGAAAATACTCAAGAATTGACAAAAACTCTTGGAACCAGTAAATTATACAAGATTTTAGGCTACAAGTATACAGAAATCAATTACTTCCCTATATATCAGCAATGAGTAATTATAAGATTAAAAGTAAATGCCATTTACATTAGGAGCCCAAAGTGAAATACTTAGGATTAATTCAATATAATGATAATAATAATCAAAGATACTGAATTTAATTAAATAGCAAAATATGTATAAATTCTTCTATGAGGAAAAACACAGCACACCGATGAATGATACTAAAGAAGATCGAAGAGGAGAGGAGAGGAGACTGGAGAGGAGACTCCATCCACAACTTGACGGAACAGAGAGGTTTGGATCACTCTCTCCCCTTAATACAACTACAAAGAAGATAAAACTAGAATAAAATTAGTTCAAAGGAAGAGGCAGAGACTCTTCTTTTGCGATATAGGACTTTCCTGAAGGTTCTGTGCTGAGGTTGGTGGCTTGCTAGGGAAGGAGAGTGAAGATGTGGAGGTGGGGCTGACCAGGGTGGCGGACAGCCTGGGGGTGGGGAATAGCCTTACCTGGCATGGAAAATACCATCTGAGGAACTGTTCAGGAAAGAAGTGGTGCAGACTACCAAACTACCATGGGTGTGGCCGATGGGAGTTCAGAAGCTGCAGGTTTGGTTGAAGGGATGTTGGTGGGCAGGTATGCTGTGCCCCTCCATCCCCGAGGAAAGACCAGACCAAATGCAACATTGGTGGCACTGCTGTGTGACCACAGGCACAGAGCTGACCCAGACTCAAATGTAGAATTTTGGGCAGTGGTAGACCAGGTGAACGCTCACTGCAAAAGGACAAGTGGGTGATGTGCAGACTTAGAGGGCCAGGCCTGCACCTGGCAGCAGAAGCCATTACTGAGCAAATTAGGATAGCCCAAGGCAGGTTCCCCCTCCCCCTCCAGGAGGTGCACCATACTCTGGTGGCTCCTACTCGGAGAATTTCACCTGTGACCATTGGCAAGTGACTTGAGCTTTGTGAACTATATCTCATACTACAGGGAGGAGAGCAAAAGGTGGGGCTGGAATTTAAGATCCCTGAAGCACCAAACTCTGACATAGAGAGAGAAGTGGCAGAGGTTTCTACTGACTTAGAACTGCCTCCTTCCTTGTGAAGCCAGAGATTGTCTTTGAGCCCCAGTTATTCCTCATTTCCCCACCTGCCACCAGGTGTAAACAAAGCTAAACAAAACTAAACCCAGCACCCAAATACAAATCAGGCAATACACATGCTTAGGAGGCACGGAAGCAAAGAATATCTGAATACAAGATGGAAAAAACAGGTTGCCAGGGTTGGCTGGGGGTCTGGCGGAATAGGTGAAGCCCAGACTTAATGCAGTATAACTATCTTGTTTGGTATTATAAGGGTGGGTTATGTTATGCATCTGTCAAAATCCTGAGGATTCTTTAATACAAAGAATGAATTCTAATATAAACTATAGACTTTAGTTAATAATAATATGTCAATTTTGGTTCATCAGCTTTAACAAATATACAATAAAATACAAAATGTTAAAAATAGAGAAAGTCGCTGAGGATCGGTATTATATGATAACACTCTACAATCTGTTAAATTTTTCTAAAACCTAAAACTATAAATGTTGTCTATCATTTTTTTAAAAAGTGAATTTGTAAAGCAGTTCACGATAGATAAATTCTCAATTCCGAGAATTATTTTCTTTAGTAAGGTAATTTGGAATTTGACTACAAAATTCTTAAAATATTGGTGGCAAATAGTGAGGAAAGTGATGGGTTTTTGATTCATCTTTGGAGAGAAAGGCAGAAAGATGATGGTTTCTTTGGAATGGGAATGGATATGAATGAAAAACTTCAAAATATGGCTTGTGAAAGAGAAGTCTAATTTTGGAATAGAGGTGCAGAAGAAAAAATGGAGCTGTGTTATTCTTAATAATAATAAAAAAGCTTTCCTTTACTATGGGTGGGATGGTTAGAACACATCTTGGGTTAGAGGCCTAAGACTGGATGGAAGGTAAAGTGATTTTCTTTTCTCTCTGGCTCTCAGAGGTGTTAGGGGTTCCTAAAATTTAAAAATAATGGCAGTGCCTAGATTTAAATGTTGTTTTCCTACATTGTGATATTCTCTCAATATCCTGAGCCCTATTTAAACTACTTTAAAAAAAACCTAGTCCAGGCTCTCCCTGGTGGTGCAATGCGTTAAGGCATCACATTATGAAGCTCTCCAAAGCCACTGCATCATGAGTTCGATCGCCTGTTCAGGAGGTGACCCACATGGTGTGGCAGACCTCTCCTGACCTGCCCGCTGCTCCCCTCAGCAGTGTATTTCAGTAGCTCTGCCTGTTCTGCTCCCCACTCTGTTTCTGGTGAATCTTCTTGCTTACCACATCTCTGGCCTACATCCCAGTTCTGTGTGCATAAATAAATAAATCTTAAAAAAAAACAACAAAACACCTAGTCTGATCTAGCTGTTTTGGGGGGGTACTCACAGAGGTAGTTTGAGCTTGAACTCTCCAGTCTGTGTTAGATGACAGAGAGGAGGAGGGAACCAGAGTGACTAGCAGGCAGGCAGGTGGAGGCAACAAATAATGACAGATTATGGGCACATGTAAAATTCCTGGAGGATTTCAAGAATTCTTAGAGAAAGGACTAGTTTCCTAAAATTCTCTCATTCAAACACAATGAAGCCGTAACCAATTACTATTTGGGCACTCAGGATCAGCGTGCCCTGACTGATGGGGTTAGGTATGGGGTTAGGTACGTGGTTGCACTTACTTTGTTAGAAATACTGTTCATCCAGGTTTTAACATAAGGCATCCATTTCAGTTCTTCAGGATCCACAAACACCATTCCACACCGACTGACTGTTGCAGGGGAAGCAACCTTTAGATCTTGCACCTAAGATTTTAAAAAGTTGAACAGGAAACAGCTAATATGATACTTTTTATTCTTGTAACTTCAGTGTTTATGAATTACACATTTAACATTTAAATTAACCCTGAAAGGCTATGTAGAATAAAGTGGAAGACCTTTAAGTGATCAGAACTGTGGAAAGGAATTTAACTGAAGCACAAGCTGAAAAACCCCTCTGAAGTCTTTATGGGAAGGAATAGGTAATTTTCCCTCTTTCATTCTTGTAGCCAGACCCCTAGCCTAAACCCTAGTTCTTAGTAGGCACTCACTCAGTGTTGTATAAGTGATTAGAGCAGGGACAGTATCGTCCATAATGTTTTGTAGTTATATTTGATCTATATTCTTCTTCATCAAATGCTCATGCCACAAAGGGTTGCTTTACTTGCTTTATGCATACCATTTTTAAAGCATTTTTTAATCATTTAAAAATCACCGATCAATATATTAACTAGAAAAAGAAACAAATGCAGGTGGTGGGGGTGGGGAGGGCGGTAGGGAGCCAGGATTTACTGCATTTCCTTTCATTAAGACACAGGGAGAGACTTTGGGTGTCAGGACAAGCAATCTACCACAAAAGGACAATTTAGTGAGTATTTAGATTGTTATCAGAATACCATGGTAAGCATTCCAAGTAATAAATATACATCAGGTGTATATTCACCATACAGCATATACATTTACCTCAAAAAGCATGTGGATTTGAGGTGTGAGTTTAATCCTCTCACTGTTAGCCAGGCAAAGCATCTTGTTATCATCTAACACTGTATTCATATTTTCAATCCAAAGAGCATCCACTGGCCCATCACTGATGATCCATTTATGGTCTTCTGAGGTGTCATTCACTGCTGCTCGAACACTCAATGCCATCAAACCATCTTTCCATTCCAAAGTTAAATTGTTAATTTCCCCATATAATTCACCCATTGTAATTGATTTAGGATTAAGAACATATGTTTTAACTGGTTGGTAAAAAGGGTTATCTATTCCAAGTTTTCTCAAATTCCCTAAAGTTTCTGCTAGTATTTGGTAAACTGTGGTCTTGCCGCCTCCTGTCGGCCCCACTAACATAACGCCATGCCTCACAAGCATAGTTTCATAGAACTGTATCACTTTTTTAACCATACACATTTCAGGCTGAAGATTTTGTCCATTCATGACATTTATAATTGTTGACTGTAATATACCATAATCATGTTCTGGAATATGTACTCCAGGAAAAAGGTCAGAGATGATTCCACTGAAAAAATAAAAAGAACAGCAATTAGGAGTCACTGGCCACTGATATTTTCCCACATTTGTTACAATTAACTGATTAAACAGTACAATGCATTTTATTTTTCTCACTGACCTTTTCTTCTAGTAATGCATAGAAATTAATGTCTTATGTGTTATACTGGAATTTATTATTTCTCTGATTTATTGCACAAATTCTTTTTTTTTTTTTACACACAATGCTCTTAAGTATACTGAGAGCCTTGAAGATAGGGATTATTTCTTATTTTTCTGTGTTGCCAACAGTACATGCCATGGTACCAGATGTATAGAAGGTGGTGAATTTATCAGTTTATTTTAGAAATTATACTCGTGTCTCTACTTTTTCCCAAAGCATGTATATATGTTCTAATTGTATACAGATAGTTCAGAAAAATAAGATGGAAATAAAAATTGAAAACTAGTACTAGGGGAGTAAAGAAAAAAAACTTTAAAAAAAGTTTGACTTTTTTTTTTTAAAGACTTATTTATTTATGCATACAGAGCTGGGGTATAGGCCGGAGGTGCAGAGGTAGTGAGAGGATTCACCAGCGACAGAGTAGGGAGCAGAACAGCCACTGAGGGGAGCAGTGGACGAGAAAGGAGAGGTCTACCATGCCATGGGATTATGGTAGGGAATGGAACTCACACTAAAGCGGCTGCCATTAGCTTGCAGTGCTGAGCCCTAAGCCATTGTGCCACCAGGGAAGGCCCAAGTTTGACTTTTTATAGGGAAGTTAATAAGAGATATTGCTATGAGTAAAAGAAGCAAACCCTCTAGTTCAAACTATATACACAAAATACACAGGAGGTACAGCAGAGAGGTTAACATAAAACAGAGACGTATTAGAGAAAATATAAGAGAATGGATTTTGCAACACTGTACAAAGGTCTTTCTAAGAAATCTGCACTTGTAAAAAGTTGGTAAGGTTAAAAAAAAATACAAACAAGCAAAACCCAAACTTCTGTGAGATAAAAGGATAATGAAAGACAGATTTAGAGAAATATTTCCCAAGTTTTATATCAGACATAGGCTATGAGCTGCTACAATTCATATATAAATAAACACAATAGAAAAAAATGCTCTAAGAGTAATAAATATAGATGAATATTAAAAAATGCCCAAAGGTACTAATAATTAAATACATATTAAAATCGGTTATGACATTTGGCCTTTCTTTAAAACATTTAATGGGAAGCAGGCATTTTCATATAAATGAAAAATGGTAAAAATGTCCTTCTTTGAAGGACATCATGGTAGAATCTCTCTAAATTAAATATGTCCATACTCTTATGACTGAGAGAACTTACTTCCTAGAATTTCAACTGTAGAAAACCACAAATGTACACAGAGGAATTTTCAGAATGAAAACAATTGCGGAAATTCTAAATGTCCATACATAAGTCTTTCACATCAAAGTAATTTAATGTATTTACTATATCTCTAAGTACAAACTTTTACCATAGTACTTTAGCAGCAATTAAAAAAAAAAAAGATGTTGGGCCCTCCCTGGTGGCGCAACGGGTAAAAGCACAGCACTAAGAAGCTAAAGCCACTTCCGCATGAGTTTGATTCCCGCCTGCCCCGGAGGTGACCACATGGCGAGGCAGACCTCTCCTGACCCGCCCGCTGCTCCCCTCAGCAGTGTACTTCGTCGATCTGCCTGTTCTGCTACCCACTCTGTCTCTGGCAAATCCTCTCGCCACTCCTGTGCCTCTGGCCTGTACCCCAGCTCTGTATGCATAAATAAATAAATATTTAAAAAAAAAAGATGTTCACAAATCAATAAATGAAACAGCAATGTTTATAAAAAGCAAATGTAATCAACACAATATGAGAAAATATCAAGCAGTTTCTGCTTCCAGGAAGATGGAATAGACTTACTTTTCCCTACTCTTTCCATCAAGCACAACTAAACACACTGTATATCATGCATAAAACAAACACAAGACTGAGAGGTGGAGAGAGCTCTGACTGCCTAGTTACCTTGAGACACAAACAATGACATGACAGAGTCCCTGGTTTCTTTTGCTTTATATCCTGGCAACCCTGAAGTGTCAATAGCACAGATCAAAAAACAAAACCAAATAAACCAAAAAAACCAGGAACTTTTTTTTTTTCTTTATCCAAAGGTACAGGAAAGGGACAACCTAGCAAGACAAAAAAGTTTAGGCAGTAACTGCTTTACCCCAGCAAACCTTGTGGGAGAAAAAACTGTGCCCCTTTTCCCTAACCACACAGCAGAGGCTGAATCGGGAGCCTACTTTACTCTTGCCAACCTGAAATGAGTTTCTCCAACTTCCTCCCTCTACCCCTCCCCAAGGGGTTGGAGGGGATCAAATAGGGTGCCAGGACATTTTTCCTCACTGGGAAGTAACGATACCCTCAGCGGCGGTGATCACATAGGAAAGTGGGACTTCCAACTACACCCAAAATAATGAGGCATCCCTCCCTTTCTCTAATGGGGTGGCATCAGAGGAGGCCTAGTGCAGATCAGGACTTTATGCACTGCCCAGTGATAATGCAGCTTTCACTGTGGTGCCAGTGGAGGTATGTGGGGAATGGCAGAAAGGCACTCTTACACTGTCACACAGGGCATTCCTATTGAAGGCTAGTGGAGAACTGAAACTCCTATCCCTATTTGGAGGTAATGAAGAGAGCCCACAAGCCCCAACAAGTACAGCAGAAGCTAAGTGGGGGTCTTGAATTCTATCATCATCTGGCAGTAACAAGGCTATATTCCTAATGTCTTCTGACAGAGTTACATCAGAAAAGCCAGCTAAAACAAATCTGAGTGAGATCCAGAGTTTTATAACATAATACTTAAAATGAGCATGTTTCAATCAAATACCACTCATCATATCAAGAACCATGATGATCTCAAACTGAAGAGACAATCCATAGATGCCAGTACTGGGATGACAGAGGCATTAAAATTATTTAATTGCACAAGACAGGAAAAAGATATACAAGGAATCCAAATAGGGAAAGAAGGAGTAAAACTGTCTTGATTTGAAGATGATCTGTTAATTTACATGGAAAACCCTAAACTCTCCATAGAGAAACTAATCAAAGCAATCAACCAGTTTAGTAAGGTAGCAGGATATAAAATCAACACACAAAAGTCAGAGGCCTTCCTATACACAAACAACCAATCAGAAGAAATGGAAATAAAAAAAAACTCCTTTTCAATTAAAACAAAAAGAATCAAATACCTGGGAATCAACCTAACAAAAGAGGTAAAAGAGCTATACAAAGAAAACTACAAAATACTATTAAAAGAAATACAAGAAGACACCAAGATATGGAAAGACATCCCCTGCTCATGGAATGGGAGAATCAACATAATCAAAATGGCCATCCTACCAAAAGTGATATACAGATTTAATGCTATCCCAATAAAAGTCTCAATGACATTCTTCAAAGAAATAGAACAACTATTGATGAGATTCATATGGAACCACAAAAGACCTTGAATAACCAAAACTCTCCTGACTAAAAAGAAAGAGAATGGAGGCATCACAATCCCAAACTTCAAGCTATAGTACAAAGCCATAATAATAAAAACTGCATGGTACTGGGACAAGAACAGACACACGGACCAGTGGATTTGAATAGAAAACTCAGATATAAACCCATATGTTTATGGGCAGCAAATCTTTGACAAAGGAGCAAAGAATATACAATGGAACAAAGAAAGTTTGTCCAACAAATGGTGCCAGGAAAACTGGAACCTACATGCAAAAGAAAAAAAAAGAAAAAGAAAAAAAAAAAGAAACTAGATCAATACCTCACACTATGCATAAAAATCAACTTGAAGTAGATTAAAGACCTAGACATAAGAACTGAAACCATAAAATACCTGGAAGCAAAGATTCGGGAGAAACATTACACGACATCCATTCACCTCAGTTACATATTTGAAGATACAGCACCCAGCACAAGGATAGTGAAGGAAAGGATAAATAGATGGGACTACATCAAGTCAAAGAGCTTCTATACAGCAAAAGAGACATTACAAAAAACAGAGATCCCACTCATTGGGGAAAAAACTTCTCACACAAAACTAGTGATAAAGGCGTGATCACAAAGATATACAAGAACTGATGAAACGCCACAAAAATAAACAACCCCATCAAAATATGGGCAGAAGAGCTAAAAAGACACTTCTACAAAGAGGAAATGCAGATGGCCAACAAGCATATGAAAAAATGTTCAACACCACTTGTAATAAGGGAGATGCAAATTAAAACCACAATGAGAGACCACCTCACTCCAGTGAGAATGGCACATCTTAAGACAACTAGCAACAACAAAATGGCGAGGGTGTGGAGAAAAAGGAACTCTCCTGCACTGCTGGTGGGAATGCAAACTAGTACAACCACTATGGAAAAATGTTTGGAGGTTTCTCAAACTGCTAAAAATGGAGTTTCCATATGACCCAGAAATCCCACTCCTAGATATCTACCCAAATGACACAAAAACACTGATTTAAAAAGACACCCATGCTTATTGTTATTTTATTTACACTAGGAAAGACATGCCCCAAAGTAGATGACTGGATTAAAAAGATGTGGTACATAAACACAATGGAATATTACTCAGCAATCAAAAAGATAAACTCTTTGACAAAGGAGTAAAGAATATACAATGGAACAAAGAAAGTTTGCAGCAACATGGATGGAGCTGGGGAAGATCATGCTTAGTGAAAAACCCTCGTAGCAGGAGTATAAAGGACCAGGGGAGAAAATAATAATAATAATGAACCAGAGACATTTTATGAGGGTGGAGTGGGGAATTGGGTCAAAAATGGGGGGGGGAGTGAATGCAATGGATTATGGTGATGGCACATGGGTGATTTGGTGATGGGGAGCTCATGGGGGTTACAACTGAGATGGAAAAAGGCACAAGATGATGTAAAAATAAACTATTATATTATTTTAAAAAATAATAATTTTTTAAAAGAGTAAAAAAAATATTTAATTGCAAATATTTTTAAAAAGGAACACTATAAAATTGTTTCAATAACTAATCACAGACATCCCAGAAACAAAAGAAAAAAGGGAAAGAATACATAAGAACCAAATGGAAAATTTAAAATCAAATGGAAAACCACAGTACAATAACAAAACTAAATTAAAAAATTAGCGAATGACCTCAACTTCAGAATGGAGAGAACAGAGGAAAGAATTTGTGAACCAGATGGATTCTGGAAGAGACAGGGTCAGAGGGATGGCTGTGTCCTCAGCACAGTTACAAAAGCATCCCTGGATGAAGCTGTGCCCCAGGGATAAGGCAACCTGTCTAGATTGGAACCGGAGGACAGAGTGCTCCCGGAGACAGACAATGAATATGTGCGGAGACAGAGACAATGAATATGTGATTGCCCCGCCCCTTAGGGGATTTACACTCTGTCAGAAATTGGAGTTGAGTTAGTGATCGATTTATAGTAAAGTAGAAAAAGGATTAAAAGGGGTTTGTAAAAGACAATAAATGCAGGAAAAATAAAAAAGAAATTAACAAGGGGAACATAGTTCAGATAATATTTATATAACTATAAGAAATTATGGGAACCCCGGATATTTAGCTCATGTTATATTGCACTGTAATGATACAGAGCAGATGGGGAGGGAAGGTCGCATGCTCATAGGATCATTTCCCTCCTAGACACTTTACAGCAAGCACCTCAAGCACCTCAAGTTAATAAGTGGGGAAATGGCATAAACCTGGCCCTAACAAATGTGGAAGGAAAAGTAAAATTAATCAAAATAAAAGAGTTGAAAAATTATTGCCTTTGGTAAGTGGGAGGTGGTGAAGGGCAGGAAACTACTTTCTCCTGAGATTAATTTATGATACTTGTAAAAACTATATACAAGTTATACATGGTCTACTTGGATGAACATACAATAGGATAGACAACAGATATTAAAATAGGAAGAAATAGATAAAAACAATCTGATCTTTGCCAGGTCAGAAAATTCTACTAGGTTAGGAATTTGTAAACAAACACTGATTTATAAAGTACGGTGTTGATGATTAACATATCAAAAAAATAAGTGATTGGATTGATGTTACAATTCTAGTGCATTTATTTTAAACTTTCAATTCTTAAAGTGCCGTAGTAAGTCTCCCCAGAAAAGATGAGAAAGTTAGTTAGAAACAGACATATTGAAATTAAGATTATCTGCACAGTAGTAATGTTTTATTTTGTAATATTTAGAAAGTTACCTGAACAGAACAGCATCATCGGTTAGGAATTTTGGCAAATTGGAGTCTCGTAAGGCTCTTATCAGTACCACATCTTCATTTAGATCTGGGTTCTCTCTTTTTAAAGACCTGAATGCAAGTGAGTAATTAAGATGCTATTTTGAGAACATACCATTGAACATGATTTTCTAAATGTATGGGTCACCTTGAGAAATGGTGTGGAGGTCATGTTTCTGCTGGATATTCCCCTTGCATGCTAAGAACTCAGCTTCATTAGACTGTAAGCCAGGCACTGGCTACATGACCTTGAGGAGAATGACAAGGACATTTTCTCAACTCTTGTCCCCTTCCTCCTGCTCAGTCCACACTTTATCTAACCTGAAGGTCCAATTCCTGAGTGTGCCCTGATGATTCACATCCCTCTGAGCTTTCTCTTGATCCAGAGTGCCCTGCTTTGCTCTTTTGCTGGCTTTTATTGTCCCTCTAAAATCCAGCCCAGTTACTTCCTGCTCTGGAAAGTTCCTCTGCTTCAGTGAGCCCACTGAGTCATGATTGCCTCACTGCATCTTATCCCATATGCTGCTCATTTGTCTGTCTCACCCATAGGGCTATGGTTGTGTTCCTTGAGTGCAGGTATATTAGAAATCCTTAGTATCCCTCTTCCTTGAATGACAATCTAGTGCAAAGAAATACCGGTATCTGGGAAATTAAAAGAAAAAACAGAAGGTAGAAAAGGGCAGGAGTATTTATGCGTGGATATAGGAGCCAGGCACAGGGTCTGGATGTGTGGAGCTCCAGCTGGGGAGTCAGGACTTGAGAAGGACTAGAAAGGAGATTCCCTCAGAGGCTCTGGACAAGTTGGGGGGTGCCAGGTGTACAAGTTTTAAGAGATTATAAAGAAAGAATTAAGGGGTATAAAAGAAGAAAGACACTTGCTTTCTTAGCAACTTAGTGTTGGACCACACTATAAAGAAAGAGGTGAAGATTAGGAGATCACCCTGGATTGAAAATGCTTTGAAGAAACTGGTTTCCTTCAATGCTTCAGACTTGTCAGTGAGAACTTAATTTGATGAATATGAATAATGAACTGTATGTCTTTTAAATCAAGTCATCTTACTTCTGCTAATAAAGGCTTTTGTATACTAAAATCTAATGTAAGTGAGTTCAGGGAAAATGAAAGTTAGTTAGAGCCTGCTTGACTTAGGTTCCATCTAGTGCCACCATGTTGGGTTCCAGAGGAAGAATTTTGCCCCATTTCACTGTGGCAAAGGAATTTCAAGCTATGAGTGATGACAGCAGCAGCAGTTGCTAATATTTATTAATCACTTGCTATGTTGCTTGAAGAGCCATCTGTGAACTACTCATTTAAAGCATTTGATTTCATGGTTTGGAATTTCATGCTTGACCACTTTGTTTCTTACCCAGCCATGACCAGCACAGACTTCACAGCTCTCATGCCAAAGTCATAGTGATCCTGTTGAGAGAGCTGTTCACTGCAAAGTTTATACATCTGAGTCATTTTTCTTGCTAATATCTTACTCGATTCAAATCCTTCAGAATACAGAATCACCTAGAAAAAAGTTGAATGTCATGCCTATCATATTGCATTGATGACACTATGTCAATATAAGAGCAACATATTCAAAATTTACTGTAATCATTACACTTCTCTAGATAGTTATGTCATTTAACAAAGAAAGTAAAGTGTGAAGGAAGAGGATTCTCTGTGCAACAAGAAGGCAGAAGCTGAGATGTATTATGGGGTGCCAAAGGCCTGATTCTGCTTTCTTTCTATAGGTGAAGATGTGGACTTGGTGAGACCTGACTGAAGGAACAGCAGAATCTAGTCTTTGAAAATGTTCACATTATGGAAGTTGGATGGTGTTATAAAGCCTGTCTACAAAAATAAAAATTGATCTTCTTCAGTCTGACAGTATCAGTGACAGTGATGGACTCCCTTTAGGCTTCCTGGAAGTCATGGGAAACTATGAAAAGATTTGCTGCCTTCCTGTGCCCTAGGCAGCCATCTTGCTTCTGATAGTTTTCTGCATTCTTAGTTAGATAAATCAATGATACAGAGGACATGGATGTAAACAATTCCTTGAATCCATAATCTACTGGAGTCACTGCTACTGGCCTCAGTATCAGGACTGAAATGATGCAGATTTCTTACTGTTGTCTGTTTTGTTTACTGCTCAATCATTACCTGTTAGCACAGTGATCTGTACACTGCAGCTGATTAAAAATATTTACTGACAATAGACCCTTATTCAGTCAGTCTGTAATAACTAGTGGAATAGCACTCAGGAGACTAAATTGTTAAATGTATCCAATCAACAGCTGAGTAATATAACAACAGGACAAACCATGAAATATGAACAAAATGTGGATTGAGTTCTAAACCTACTGTTCCAGATACCATTCTGGGTTTTAGGGATACAGCAGTTACACACACACACACACACACACAGACACCCAAAACATTCCATACACTGGCAATCATATTTACACAAAGAAATGTAAGCCTTGCCAGGACACATTCATAAAGGAAACATTCTACCTCAATGGAGTTAGAGGATAAATAAAAAGAAAAATTTAATTTGCTGCTTTAAAAAATGAAGCTCACCTCTGCAATCAAGGCATAATTAGGAACCATCATGGCAAAGGGTCTAAACAGGGCTTTCAAATTATCTGGCAATTCGGTTCTACCTGCATATCCAGGATTCATTGTGATGAAGGCTGCACAAGTCATAACCAATTTTATTTCTCGCCCCTCAAACATGAATCTAGAAAGCTGTTTAAAGGTAAAATATAGATTAACACTTTTCAGACTTTTGTAAATTCTTTCACATACTCCTACTTGAGTATAAAACTCAATGATTCCGACAAAGAAGACTGAAGCTTGTTGATGGACAATGGGGAAAATTTCTGTTGAGTTTTGTCCTACCCATACTGAATGCCCACAGGATCAGTATTTCTTGATCTTTGACTTCCTGCCTCTGCCTTGCCCAACTTATCTCTTCTTCCCTGGATGAATCTTGCAATTTTCTGGCCCCTACATCTTTGTTGAGACTCCCCAGTTCAACCTAAACTTGCTGGTCACTGAAACTTCTCCATCTGCACTTTCCAGAATTCTCCAAGAAATTCTAACTTGTTCCAGTCCCAATGTCACTGTGACTGGAATCAAGCTTTCATCTTTTTTTTAAAAATTAATTTATTTTATTTATGCTTACAGAACTGGCGTACAGGCCAGAGTTGTGGTGGGTGAGAGGATATAACACAGACAGAGTGGGGAACAGAACAGGCAGATCTACTGAAATACACTGCTGAGGGGAGAAGTGGGCAGGCAGGAGAGGTCTACTGCACCATGTGGGTCAGCTCCCTGGCCGGGGATCGAACTCGTACTGCAGTGGCTTCTGAGAACTTCATAGTGCAGTGCTTTAACACATTGCACCACCAGGGAGAGCCCTCAAGCTTTCATCTTTACTCAACAGTAAACATCTATTGAGTATCCACTGTAGGTGAGGCAGCAGATTAGGCCTGGAGGTGGAGAGTAGGAGACTCTCTCCTGAACCCTCAAGAAGTTCCTGGGCTGGCTGTGTGGAGTCAGATTGGAAGCCATGATGCACAGGGCAAGAGACGAGGCAGTGGACGGGTGTGCAAAGTCCACCCAAAGCAAAGCCCATAAAAATAACAAGGGTGACTGCTTTCATCTGGATAAGCACGGACAGCCATCCAAAGGGAGCAGGAACAAGAACCAGCACCGCATGCTCAGAGCATGAACAGCTCTATGTCTCTGCTAGGAGGAAAGTGTGATCTAGGCCATGGCTTACAGAGTATGGCTGAGGAATTTAGATTTTTATCTGATGGGTGGGAAAAAGCAGAGAATTTTGAGCAGTATGATAGGATCAAAGATAGCAATAGAGAGGAGAGACTAGCTATGGTAGGGGTACCAGTAAACAATTGCTACTGGGGAGAAGAGAAGAACCAGAATTTGGAAGCTATCATTGGGGCCAGGAGGCATGTAGCAGATAAAATAAAAAAGATGCGCCAGTGTCTTACATTCTGGAGTTGATAGTACTCGGGAAAGTTCAAGATGGATTCCAGGTTTCCCGCTGGGTTACTGGAGAAAGGCACTATTAACAGTCATAAAGATGTTATCAGAAGGGTCCCCTCCCATTGAGCAATGGGTTAAAATGTAGCACTATGAAGCTGGCTGAAGTTACGGCAGCACGAGTTCGATGCCCGGCCACAGAAGTGACCCACATGGCACAGCAGACCTCTCCTGTCTTGCCTACTGCTCCCCTTCGCAGTGTATTTCAGTCAAGCTGCCTATTTTGTACCCCACTCTGTCTCTGGTGAATCATCTCACCTCCCTGTACTGTACCTCTTGCTTGTACCCCAGTTCTTGTATGCATAAATTTTTTTTTTTTTAAAAAGAACATATTTAAAGAACAGAGTGGAGCTGTGTCATGGCCTGGAAGAAAAAATGCTGAACAGTACGACTGGAGACCACTGAATGTCTGCTTGTATTATTCACATCTGTACATTTCTGCGCTTTAGTTTCTTCATCTATGTGGGGGCATATTTCAACTGTCTCATCTGGCCACTGGCAAACAAGGATTTGTCATTCGCATATATCTTACCATCTTCTCCTTTACCTCACACAGATGTCCCCCAATTGGCAATGCTTTCCTCTTTTTCTCACTCTCTTTTGTTCCTTCTCCCTTTCTCCCCATGCCTTGCCATCAGCTAATTGCTCGGCAAGGGGATAACTTGACTTATAAGTTGTGCCACTTCTGGAGTTCCCTGCATTTAACATAGGCCTCCCCAGGGATGTGAGAAGCTGGAGTGTGTGTATGGAAGGAGCTCAGCTGTAGGGTAACATAAATTTAGATATATTTTGGTTCTCTGGTGTCCTCAGAAATATTTTCTAAACTTCTTTGAAATATTTTCACTTGTAGCAGGAAAAATGTCATCTATTTCATACAGGTTGGGTGTGACGATGCAATAAAGGACAATGATTTGCATAATTAGTAGCTTATTAAAGCCCAATTTCATTTTTTAAAATTTTGTTCTATAATTAGCTTTTTTTTTTTTTTTTTGCAGAGGTAATAATCAAAATATGTAACCACTTTGCATCAGGGACCCTAACAATGAGCATGGACCCTGTTCTTAGAGCAAGAACTGGGTTCAGAGACCCCTTTGTTATGCCTGTATGTGTGAATTCTGAAGAGGCCTGGGGCCCTTTGGGAAGGGGCCTACATAGTGTTGGAGGATGGTCCAGGGCTTGGGATAGTGGCTATTAAATAATAGGGCAATTGGCAAGGCTGTTCCTTACAGGCTGAATGTATCTTATAAGATCAACACAGAAGGATACAAGACTTGGTCTCATTCTTCACTGCCGTCAGCAGCTTCAAAATACAAAACATACTTCTCCAAAAATGTGTTCATATGGGTTACAACAGTATTAGTATCTTCAACTGGCCCTACACCCCTTGTTTTTTTTTTTTTAACTCTAGTGAGTTCTGGGGGAGCCAAGTTCCCTGTGGATTCCCCCAACTGCACCCCCTATTTGCTATCAGCTCTAGACTGAGTCTGAGGCCACGATGAAAGCAACAGAGCTCTGAAGAGGCAGCATTAGAGACACCTAACACAGAAGTAAATATCAACAGCAAGAACCAGAGAAGTAAGGAGGAAGGCAGGAGATGGAGGAGAGACTGACAGGATGCGGGTCTTGATCTCTCTCTGAGTGTGTGTGTGTGTGTGTGTGTGTGTGTGTGTGTGTGTGTGTGTTAGGGTGGGAGGAAGAAGAGAGTTTAGTTCACTGAGTGCAGAGACCTCATCATCTCTGTGCCAGAACCCTCTACAGTATCTGACATACAATTGTCAGAAATTAATTCATCTAAATGAATTCTTATTTGAATAAGAAATTAACTCATCTAAGTACCAATGTCTAGTACTTTGGAAACATGGAATGGATAGGTTAGACATAATGTTATACTTTTTAAGGTGTGACAGCTTGCAAGTCAATTACAAACTAAAAAATTCCAGCTTCATAGAAAATTACCCAATTACCTTTGCAGCTTTGGCATTCCGAATGGTGATGAGCTGTTGTGCAATGACTGATAAAACTTCAATGTCAATTCGATTAAATTCATCAAAGCAGCACCAGGCTCCAGACTGTGCCAGACCACTAAAGAAGCGCCCCATCATCTGAAATCAAAATAATGCCATTCGACTGAGTATTTCATGTGTGAACTCCTTCAGAAGTTAAAATTTCAGCTGAACTATTAACATGCAAAGAGGTGGTATCTGCAAATAATCCAGAATTTCATGCAGTATTGTGCTGCGTCAGAAGTTAACTCCTTTCTGTAAGAGGAAATATCTTTTTTCCCTTTTCTAAATGATTTAACTTATTTTGATATTTAAATAAAATGACAAATTAATTTTCCTGCTTTTTCGTAACACCCAATCATTGATGTAAATACCCAATATAGGTCCTCAAAGTTACTATACTTGATCTTAAACAAAGGGTGAGAAGGAGGGAGAGAAGGATTCTCAAAGAAACAATATGGAATAGACACACTTGGGATTTTTAAAAATCCTTGAAAATTTTTACTAATGGAAAAGCTTTGTCTTTGCAAGGGATTATAGATGACAGACAACATACGGGAGATACTGAGTAGAAGCATGCTGTACTGGTTAATGTACTGGTTCATAATTTCTCCTACAGCAGAACTGTGGTGGAACAGAATGAACATGTACTCACGATCGTCAAAAGTATAAAATTTCTTTAGAGTTTTGAATATTGGGTTAAGCATTTGAAGAAATATTACATTACTATCTTTTAAAAATAATGACTTTTCAGTCTCGAGGTGGTCAGCCTCAAAATTCCCATAATAGCAGAAGGACAGAACTTGCTCCATTTCTGTATTGACACTTATACCTGTATTATACTCATTAAAATAATAATAATAGAAAGGGAAATCAGTAGCAGGAAAAAAGCTTTGAAAAAAATGCTGTAAGATGGAAAGTACATACATAGGACTCAAGTGAGAGGGGCAAACAGCAGGCCCAAAACAGAAGGAAGGAAACACTGCTCTACAGCAGTGTCTCCAAGAGATTCCAAACTCAACATTGGTATATGCAAGAAAAGCAGACATAGGTCCTGGGAAAACAATAGAATAATATTCAGTCATAGAAAAGAAGGAAATTTGCCATTTTGACAACATGTTTATGCTAATTGAAGCCTTGTGCTAAGGGACATAAGTCAAACAAATTCAAGTACTTCATGATCTCCCTTATATGTGGAATTTAAAAGTCTTGAACCTATAGATACAGAGAACAAACTGGTGATTTCCGGAACTGGAATTGGAGTGAGTGAAATGGGTGAAGCTTCACAAAAGGTATAAACTTCCAGTGATAGGATAAATAATGTAATAAATGTAATGTAAATCATGAAATAATATAATAAATTGATGACTATAGCTAACAGGACTACATTGCATATTTGAAAGTAAAGTGAGTAAATCTTAAAAGTTCTCATAACAGGGTCCTCCCTAGTGGCGCAGCAGGTCGGAGTGCTGCACTATGAAGCTGAGTCAAGCCAATGGCTGCTTCAGTGCGAGTTAGATCCCTGACCTGGAGGTGACCCACATGGTGCAGCAGACCTCTCTTGTCTTGCCTGCTGCTCTCCTGAGCAGTGTACTTTGTTGATCTGCCTTCTCAGCTCTCCACTCCCCTTCTGGTGAATCCTCTCACCACCCCTGAACCTCTGGCCTGTACCCCAGCTCTGTATGCATAAATAAACAAACAAAAAAACTAAAAAAAAAAAAAAAGTTCTCAGAACTAAAAAGAAAAACATTGTAATTATTGGTGATGAGTGTTAACTAAACTGATTGTAATTATTACTATATAAATATACATACACTATAAATATACACCAAATCATTTTGTCTTACACATAAAACTGTCAAATGCCAGTTATAACTCAATTTAAAAATATTCCTCTTTTTCTGCAATAGGGCTCTTTGCCACAATCTCCTTAAAGCATGTCTGTGGTCATGCTGGGTCCTCATTTTCATCTGTCCAGCCCCTCACATTTTCTAACATATTTTATTTTTAACATACAACTTTGAATTGCTTATCTCTTCCTCTAAGTTTATTCCTTGTTCCCAGATGTTCCAGATCTTCTGCCTTGTATCTCATCTCACTTCTTTCTATTTACTGACATGTACAGATTTTGAATGTACCAACATTTGACAAATCTTCCCCTGTTTCTATCTGAACCACAAATCTTCCTTGTTTCTGCCTGAACCACCCAGACCAATTTGTGTTGATTTTTCTCCCTTGCTCTTCCCACTTTACTCCACTTTAGCCACCCCTTGCCCTACTGGTTTTCCCTTGCTTGGAATCACCCCATTCTCTTCTTTTTTTATGTCACATTTCAAGTAAAGATGTTCACAAGTTGAGAAGCTGGAACTATACCTTGTAGTCCAAACCATCAGAACAATTAAAGACCACACACTGAATGGCAAGAGCTTTTGCTAAGTCTTTGGTGGTCTCTGTCTTCCCAGTGCCAGCAGGACCGGCTGGTGCACCTCCCAGGTCAAGCTGCAAAGCCCCCATGAGGCAAAGGTAGCAGCGATCCTGAAGAAATGGGAAACACTGATATTATTGAAGGGAATTGACAAAGGTCCTTAAGTTCTTTCATTTCAATAGAGGGAGGACCATAATTTTCTATGAAAGTTTTTATAGCAATTGAAATATACTCAAAGATTCATGCACATAATTAAGTAATACAAATCTCTGCTTCACCATCATGTATTCATGGCAAATGCTTTCAAGAAGTAACATTTGGTGAAATTTTTCAAGACTATTTTGATAAAAAGTACTCTTGTGTTAACATTAACCTAAGTGATCAGTAACTTACCGTGAGTGGAGTGATAACTAATCTAGGGCATGCACCCAAATATTCATAGCCATAGGTGTACTGAGAAAGCGCCATTCTGGCCACACAATTATCCAGGTCTATGTCCCAGTAGTAGCGCAACTGTCTCTGCCAGTCAAAGGAATCGACTTGTTCTACCTACATCAGTGATAACAATGACGTACACATTAGATCACCAATTTCATAAAGAAACACATGCTTTTGCTTAAATGAAAGTTACCTTGGCTTGAACAAGTTCGGTGACTATATCTCTTGCATGTACATCAATAGTAATTAAGGCAGTTATGATATTTCTGTGCAATTTAGGAAGACTGCCTCGAACTAGTGCAGCCAGGGCGTTCAATCTCTAAAATTAAAAAAATAAATAAATGAATTATCAAATGTTAGCTAATATGTGTCTTTTTACTACTGCATTTTGAGTAGGCATTTACCAAAAGTATTTAAATGAAAATATCTATAATTCTGTGACCAGCCAGGATACAGTTGAACTTATTTCCTATTAAGACATTTATGAAGTACATACTATCTTTACCCTACCTATACCTTACATTAGAAAAAAACAGGGTCAGCAAGGGCATCCACATAGTTTTGATGCAGCAAAATGAGACTCGAGTAGATATTTGTCTCAGGGAAAGCCCATGCTCTTAAGTAGCATGTAGTGATGTCTCTACAGAAGACCATTCTTAAAAATTAAACGTGGTTAAGGAAGTACACCTCATTTTCAGGGTTAGTTTTTCCTCTAATAGTCAGAAAAATGAGCATTTTAACCAAGCTTATGAGTGATTAAATGAAAACATTTTTGATATACTCAGTTCCTGATTTCCTCCTAAATGGTTAAATCTTCATAGAGGTCAATGGGATATTCCTTCTCTCCTCTGGGATTCTTTGAGATGAAATACTAGGGAGGACCTTCATGTGAGCGTTTTCTCTTACTTCAAGAAAGTAATTTTCTCACTTTCTGTTTTAAGGTGATTCTTTAAAAAACCCAACACTACTTGGGAGTAGAATTGAATTCAAATTTAGAAAAATAGAGCTATTAAGTGGCATTTTCCAATTATAGTTGGGAATATCATAGACTGGTATTTAGATTCAACTAATTCATTATTATATTATTGCCTCGGGGGTCTACAAAAGAGTAGAAAGCACATCTTGAGTATAAGAATAGCTATGGCACCAGCTCAATGATTTTCCTGGATTCAATAAACTTTACCAAGCCACTTCCGTGTGAGATATCTAGGACATATGTAATAAAATGTCTCCTTAAATGTTGCAAACTATAACATTTCTTTTTGAATTGTTTGAATCTTCTATTTTTATAAGTATCCATATAAATACCACAGAAAACAAGTTAGTCTCCCTAAGAAAACTTTAAAAGATTTTACTGAGAACCCCAAAACTTGGCGAGATGAGTATTAAAATTCTGAGATGCAGTGAATATGCATTAATCATGCCAATGAAAACCATGGAGACCATCTTGTACAGCAATCTGTTCATTATCACTCTGTTCAATATCTCACCTCAAAGTTTACTTTTTCAAAATCTTCCAGGGCCTCCAACTGATCAGAATCTCTTTCCAAACACTCTGTCAAGTCACGGCACCACATAATTTGGGAAATGGTCAAGATCACCTGCAGGGAAATATCTTCCTTAAGTGTGTGATGCATCTATCCCCAGACTCCCGCTCCAAAAAAAAAAAAAGCAGAAGGGAATTTAAGCGATGGAAGTTACTTGAGAAGGGTGACCAGAAATCACCCACGTTGTCCTCGGTTTCCCTTGATAGTCAGCGATGGCAGCTTTGCACAGGCGACGCAGAGAGGTGAACATGGCTTCTTCTACCTTACCAAGCCATTCTTCCACATTGCCTCGGGCTTTAAGGCCTTTCCCCAAACTAACCTAGATCAGCAGAGCAAAGACAGCATGGGTGGCGGTTCGGGACTCAACAGGCTAGCCAGCCTGTGTATTTCCATAATAGAACCCTGAGTTGTTGCTGAAACAAGTACTGGAACTTTCTATTGATAGCCCGTGCTAAACCTCTCCCCACACCCCACCTTAGTGTTTTATTTTACTATTTCCTTTTGGAGTCAACTTATTAAAAAAGAAAAATTTACACGTGCAAAACATATTCCTTGTCTTTTCCTGTTTGCTGTCATCTGGTTTTTGGCGCCAGCTTAAAATAGAGATTTACCTTTCAATTTTAACTCATGAAGGCTCCCGATTGTCAGGTACAATTGACAGTTTTCAGTGCTTTTCCTATGATTTCTTGGGTTTTCAATGACCTCACTGGCCCTGCTCATCTTGGTTTCCTACATGAACTCTTCCTCTTCTATCCTCCATTTAATGTCATGTTTTCCCTAAATCCTAGTCTTGGTCCACTCCCGTATCTTCAGTGCTAGTGATAAGCATATTCTTTTATAAACAGGCTAATTAAGGATAAGTAAAATGTTTATAGGCTCCTATCATTCCTGTAGACACACCACTGTGCTCTTATTGGGCTGAAAGACTTGGCATTTTCCCCACACAGTTCCTCTGTATGAAATACTCTCCCTCTCTATCTCCTTCCATCTTCCTTGGCTCCCTGTGTGAGAATGTATGAATGTCTGTGCATGTGTATTAATGTATGTTTGTGTACATGTGTGCATCCTCTGTGGAGTCACTTGTTTGCCCCACAGCTTGGTATTCACGATCTGCCAGGAGATGCCACTGCTGACAATAACAACTAACACTTCAGTGGCCCACTGTGGGGACTGTTTAAGTAATTTACATGTGATCCTTGTGCCTCAGTGTTTCAGTAACTGGTTTTACTACTAATCCCATTCTATAGGTGAGATTAAGAGGGTGGGACCTGAACCCAGGTGGCCTGGCAGTAGAACACTTGTAGCTCACAGTCCATTCTTACTGCCTCTTGTCAAGATTTAAGACATGGCTCCAGTTTTCCCCACCCTGTTCCCAAGAATAGGGCATGTGCCTCTGTCATTGCATTTAACATGTTAGTTTTCAACTGTGTGTTTGACTATGTCTCCACTAGACTTTGTATTCTTTGAAAGTAAGCATTTTATTTTAGTAATCTGTGAAACTGAGCCAATAAATTACCAGTACATAGTAGCACTTGATGAGTGCTTAGAGTGAGAATGAATAAAGCTCTAACCTCAACTCTGTAGGAGTAAAAGAGTTTACTGGTGAAGAATTATAAACAAAAAGCATCTTACCCTTTCTCCCTCTGGTGACAGCATCGCTAAAATATCATTTGTAAAAACCTTTTCTGGTTCTCCATCAACACCAGGAATTTTTCCTTCTGCAGGAGGCATGAGAGCAAATTCGAGCTTTGAAATGGAGTCAAAGCATTTCCTTAAGTGTGGCTGCACAGCTTGGGGATTCCTTGTCTGGGCCAAAATCTCCAGAAGTTCATCATTTGATAGGAAGTAAAATCTGGATTAAAGAAAATACTTGAAATATAACTTGAAATTGAAGCAAAGCCTCACACGAATGCTGTAATTCTTAGCCATAGCTCTTTCCAGTGTACTATTTTCCTGAACCCATAACCCACTGGTACTTGGTTTCTGGAGAGAGGGGAATACAGTTTTCTAAATAGATTGTTATAAAGATCAGTGCAGATGCATCCTGAACATGTAGAATTATTGCCTGATAAATAAAACACAGATGTGTTTTTATAGAAATTGTAAAAATTGCTAGTGCTTGTTATGATAATGATTTGTTCATATGTCTATTATTTGGCTATGGTGAACATATAGTACTGTTTTGCCTAGAATTTAGCCAGGTACCTCAGATACACTTGGTATTCGATACTATTCAAGTATATGGATGGGTAGTTGCAGCAGCCTAATTTGATCCCATGATTAGACATATGTGGGCCATGCTGGCATGATCCTGTATGGGGTGTTCTTAGATCTTGCCCAAGAGGTCATTTGGAGGCATGAAGAGGTAAAGTATGGAGAAAGGGCACACTTGGAAGCTCAGGGAAGACAGAGAATGATGAATGCCCAGTCAGAGAAGACACATAATCTATGTGAAGCAAGTGGCCTATGACAAATGCCTTGGGGTTGGAGGAGTGAGAAAGAGTTCTTGGTGGCCCCCCCACTGAGGGAGATGGGGCCAGAAGGGTCAGTCATGTCAAGCTTCTCACACCATCTTCCTGCTCCTCCCTTTCCTGCCCCAAACCTGGAAACCTCAGAAACCTTACAGGAAAGGGTTGGTTACCACATACCTTCATCACTACTAACCCAATTAGCCCTGTCACAAGGTTGGGCTAGAGAAGGGGAGAGTTTTATTGAAACAAGTTCAGAGTTATGGTTACTACAGATCATTTACTGAATTAAAGTAACAAGATTTTTACAGATCATTTACTGAATTAAAGTAACAAGATTTTTTTTTTTGTATTATTATCTAGAATGACCATAACATGAGTGTGACTCCATCTAGATTTTTATTTTTGCCCAGTGGACAGGAAGAAACCAGCCTATTACAGAAGGGTATACAAAAGGCAATGATTAGGTAGAAATTAAGATATAGAAATTAATACAATAAAGTCAGGATGTAACAGGTTTTTTTATAAGCTTACCTTGGAAAGATAACTCTTTTTGATTCTAAATATGTCTCTAGACACTTCTGAATTTGGTCAAGGAGTGCATTATTATTTTGAAAAGTCTCCAGGAGTCCTGTTTATTGAAAAATGATATTAATAAAATTGTGTTCACATACATAGAGAATATAATTTTATGTGGATATAAAATGTGATACTAATATTTTAGAAGGTTTGGCTTTATTTGATAAAAGAATGATCAAATAAATGAAAAATCAGGGGACAATTTGGCCAAAAAAGTTAACTACTACATTTAATAGTAATTTCAGCATTAATGTATTTATTTTGCAATAATTTTAGCTGACATCCTTCACTTTAGGGATTGGAGAGTACACAAATCAGAGCTAAATGATTGCCTTCTCCCTAACCTTCCAAGCAAAGTCATTCTCCAAAAACTATATTCTTTGTCACTTTCTTACTCATAGCTTCTATTTCTTCTGCCATATTCAGATGCTGAAAGTGTGGCATTGGGGTCCTTTTCCTTTTTCGCTAAGATACATGTTTCACTTAACTTTGTAACTCTGGTGCCTATCACAGTTCATGGCTCCCCAGCTGTCCAAGAATCAAATCCAGTCTTTATCATGGTCTTGAAGGTTCTATGTGATCAATGACCCAATCTAACTCTCAACTGTACATCCTAAGTAAAAGAAACTGTGAGCCGACAGAGTTACCTCAGACTTGTTTGAACAAGTAAATGAAAGCATGGACTGGAAAGCCCTATCCAAACAATCTGGCCACAGGTGCCATGGTAGACAAAAAAACATTCGATCCTGACTGAGTAGCTCATAATTTCTTGGAAGGAGGTGGCCCAGTGCCCACATGCACAGGTGTATGTCATTCACCTGCACATGCCTGGGCATAGGCCAACCCACAACTAGCTAAAACATTGTTCTTCTCTGCCCTACCTTGTGGACCTCCCTGTCAATGTTCCCTTCTAAATTCCACTGAGGAGCAAGGTGAAACTCCTCATGTATGAATCTTTAGTAGAGACTTGCTTGGTTCAGTTATACCCAGTGCTTCCTGGTGCATTATTTCCCTAGAGAGCAAAGGAGCCCCCCTTTTGGGTTGGGGTCTTTTATACAACCCCACACTAAACCCTACTTGCCTTTCTGGCCTCACTTCTAAGCCTTTCTCCTTGTGCATTCTACCCTCTCTGTGACTTCCTTACTCATATCTCCTGTTTCCTCTGCCATATTTAGGTGCTGAAAGTGTGGCAGTGGGGTCCTGCTCCTTTTCCACTAAACTACAGTACCTTGAGCACTAAGATTCATATTTCACTTAACTTTTCAGCTCTGGTGCCTATCACATTCTGTCACAGCCCTCTCTGGCTTCTTGCTTAGAGTCTAACATTTGGGTTTTTACCGTTGCACTCTCAACTTTTAAAAGTTCCTCCTTCAAATCCACATAAATGTCACAATTTCTCCTTCCTTAAGATTTCTGCTTAAAGAATACTTTATCAAAAGTCTTCCATTACACACATACACTCACCAGTCCCTAGGAACTCCTAGCCCCTTGGCAATGTCTAATTTTACTCCAGCTCTTAAAATGATAAACACAGGTCCACATTAGTTTTTTGAAATCTTTAGGACCAGTTATACTTTGGAATAAATCTTTAAAATTTCACTAAATCTAGTAAAGGTTGGGGCAGCACTCTGAAATAAAATGTATTAATATCTTTGCAGCAAAAGATTTGGATATGCACATTAAATTGTGTGGTAGGGAGAATAAAGCCTTTCAGAGATGTCTACATTTAATCCTCAAATCTGTGGATATATTAGTTCATCTGCATGAAGGAACTTGGTATATGTGATGAAGTTAAAGGTAATGAGATATGGAGATTATCTTGGACCATCCATTATATTCACAGGGGTCCTTATAAATGAGAGCCAGAGGTGGGGAAGGAGATGTGATGATAAAAGCAGAGGTTGGATTGTTGTAACTATGGCTGGATGGGACCAAGAAGCAAGGAATGTGGGCATATCCAGAAATCCCAAAGTTTTCAAGTTTTTAATTCCATCATTTTATGCTGTAATATTGTTATTTATAAGAAACACATATTTTGTTTAATTAGATAAAGAAGATATATTTCACATACATATTTGGTTTTCATTAACAGCTGTTGCCTAACAGTTCCTAAAAGTCTTGGATTTCCTAAGTGTTCTGAGTATTAAAGATATCTTTTGTTATGTGAAGGAGGTGACTATTTGGGTAACACCTAAACCAACTTGAATAGAGAGTAGAACCTCTAACCTTATTTCCTCTCCCCTGGGGGTGGGGAGCTGGAAATTGACTACTGGAATGCATGTAATGTAGACTCCGGAAAACCCAAGAGGAGGCAGCTATGGAGACCTTCTATGTTGGTGAAGAACTGAAGAGCTGAGAAGAACAGCACACCTGGAGAGGCTAAGCTAAGTGCCTTTTCTACATACATTGCCCTATGCAGCTCTTCCATCTGACTGTTGATTTTTATCCTTGGAAATAAATCAGTGATACTGTGAGTAAATAGGATTTCTGAGTTTGTGTGCCCTCTAGCAAATGTGAGGAGGGTTTGGAAACTCTTGTTTTATAGCCAGTCAGAATCACTACTAATAATCTGAGCTTGTGATTGGCACCTGAAGTATGAAGACAAGGTTGTAGGTTGGATAGAAACCAACGGAGGCAGCCCTGCGCTTTGTGTCTGAAGTGGAGTGTACCCCCAAGTTAGCACCAAAGCAATGAACTAACTAAAAGTTAATACTGTTAAAAGATAATGATGTTAAAACTATTACTAAATACGATTAGATTATTATATATAATAAAATAGTAGTACTAATACTATTACTATTATTAAGTACTATTAACAGATAATGATGTTAATACTACTATTACTACTAGATGCCAACAATAAAAAGAATGATGTTCAATTCACATAGCTTCGCATGAGTGTCAACTGTATTACAAATATTCCCGGTCATCATTGCTAACTAGAATTAAGGGGTGATTGTTCCACATACCATATGTCTCTTACTAGTAATAAACATTGTACATGATTTTAAAGTCTTAATTTTTGTCTGTTTTAAAAAATGATTGTTTTATACCTGGTTGAGTTGCCGCTCGTAAAGCATTAGGCAGCCGGTTCACCTTCCTCATGATTTCTTTCCATGACTTATCCACTTGAAGGAACATTTTGGCCTCTGCAGGCAATTGTCTCTGAATATCTGGAGCATTAAAAATACTTTCTAGATAGAGCCAGTTTCTCTGACATGTCAGCCACTCTTCCTAGAAGAAAATATGGATATTGCTAAATTTTAAACATCAAACTGAAAAATATAATTACTCTGAAAATGATTACATGGGCCCTCACTGTATCTGTTTTTGTTTCGGAACTTCTCCAAAACTTAACCCCAATCTGATTCAAGCCACTTTCACCTGAGTAGAGTTATAATGAAACTAGTATGTGGTAACTAGAATGGACTCAGAGAAATAAAATTAACATTCCCAGCAGATATTCTAGAGGTAAGCCACATGCTTACTTGGAGAAATATGAACAATTGGGAAGTAGTAAGTTTATCTCCAAATATAGACATGATTATGGAAAAAAAGATGCTTCTTTTTCGCTTCAATTGTTTCTATATTCTTCACTCCTTAAAAAATTTAAATAAAAAAGTAAAAGCTGTTTGTGACAAAATGTGATAATACAGGAGACTGAGAAAAGATAATCACTCTTCACCTCTCCTCATAGAGATAATCACTGCCAGTTGAAGAAACCAGAAATGCAGTATTAGAACTGGTCTGCAGACCTCACCCTTCCTCTCTGCCTCCTGTCAATGCACATGAAGGCCGAAATCTGTGTCTCACTTGTTACTCCAGATATGGGGGTTCTGACTAACCCCTTGTCACAACCACCCCGTGGCTTACGGCAGGCCTTACACCTTTGCTAACTCCGTGGAGGGGCCCCACTGAGCCCTGGCTTCTACTGAGGATTCTCTGTGAAAACATGCTTTGTTCTTTGATCTGTACTCCCCTTCATAGGGCTCAGCCATCAGTACAGAAGGCTGGAAAGAGGGCAGATTTTTTTTTTTAAAGATTTATTTATTTGTGCATACAGAACTGGGGTACAGGCCAGAGGCTCAGGGACGGCGAGAGGCTTCACCAGAGACAGAGTGGGAAACAGAACAGGCAGATCGACGAAGTACACTGCTGAGGGGAGCAGTGGGCGGGTCAGGAGAGGTCTGCCTCGCCATGTGGTCACCTCCGGGGCAGGTGGGAATCGAACTCATGCGGAAGCGGCTTTAGATTCTCAGTGCTGTGCTTTAACCCGCTGCGCCACCAAGGAGGGCCAAGAGGGCAGATTTTAAGGAGTTCATTGATGAGGATATGTGCCTGAAAAGATCTCTATGAACTAAAGTTGGAAAACGTTCTCTTTTCCTATTTAGTGCATTCATTACTTCAGAGATACCTTTTGATATTACAACATATAGCCACCTAAATATAATTAAAGGCAAACTAAAATGTGAAAAATCTAGGAAAGAGAATGGGTAGGATCAAAGTGAAATCTTTGTAAGTGGGTTCTTTGGCTTATTATGGGATGATCCAAGGAAGAATAAAACAACAGAGGAGACCTCAAACAACAGTGATTATTTTCCAATAAATAGGAGGTTGTTGTGGCAAGACTTTTTAGGTAGCCTACACAATCTGGTGGTCATACCCTTGTGTGATCCTCGATCCTTGAAGGTGGATGACACTTGCAACTTGCTTCTAGGGATACAGAATATGACAGAAGTAACAAGATGTATAAGGTGGTGATATTTGTCTTGCCAGGAGACTTTCTCTTATTTGTAAGTTGCCATGTTGGGGAAGTCTACAGGGCAAAAAACTTTTCCATGCAGTAGCTAAGGATGATCTCTGGCTGACATCCAGCCAGCAGTTGAAGACCTTTCTCCTAAGGTACAAGGAAATGACTTTTTCCATGAAGTTGAATGAACTTGAAGTGTATCTTTTCTTAAGAACCTCTGATGAGAACCTGGTCTTGGTCCACATCTTGATGAAATATGTGAAACCCTCAGTGAGAAAGCCAGTTAAGTCATGCCCAAACTTCTGACTCACAGAACTGTTACTGTTTTATGACATTTTTTTTTGTTTAAACAGCAATGATAACTATTAAAAAGGGTGATGGTAATAACACTGAGATAGAAAATTATATGGAGAAGAGCTTAAAGTTTGCATTTTCCTTATCTACTAAACATCATAAGTTGTCAAAATTAAATCTTCCATCTAAACTACATAGTATTATTGATTGATTAAACAGATAATTTCTAAAATTGTATGGTGCTCCAATTATCTGAATTCATAAATTAAATTCTCCTTACCAGAGTCTGATTAAATAAAGCAAGGTGTTTATACCAGTCATCCACTCGACTTTTCAGTGGGCCAACATAACGTGAAGAGGCAATGGTGGCAATGTTGATGGTGCTGTCATCAAGAAGGACCTTCAAAGGAGGAGAATACATATACAACAGCATATGTTTCTGCCAACACAGATAATTATAACTATTGAAGCCCAAGAGTTCATTTAAAAGCCAACTATTTAAATGAGAAGTTTAAACTCTTTCCTATTCATCCACTTCTTACTCTTCCTCATGGCCTACAGTCCACTATGATGGTCTTTCAGAGGTCATCAAGGGAAATTTCTGTAGTTATTAATGACACAAGTTTTCTTCTTCTTCTTCTTTTTGGTTCAACTCTCTTTTCTCTACCTACTTTTTGGTAGACACACACACTCACACACACATACACCATTTGACCATCCAGGTCTTTATTTCTTAAAATAGTCAAAACTTGCAAAATTAGCCATCTTCTCTATCAAATGAAACATCTCTTTCCCTCAATTATTTTAAGCAAGAGGAAAACTGAACTGATTCATGTCAAGTTTTGAATGTTCACATTTTTCCCTTTCCCTCTTTACCCTTCTTTTCCTTATGCAACTAAAAAACATATCTGTTAATATAAAATATTTTAATTGCTCTATTTAAGTTATAAACTTCTTGAGAGCATAGACTCCAACACCTGGCATCACTTGACCTCATATTGACTGAGAATCTGCTCTCCCAGCCACTGCATGGAGTTGAGTTCTGGTTTTGCTCTTTCAACATACACCTGAAAAGTCATTCCAACTCCAGTTATGACCTGGGTACACCCTAGTGGACCAGGATCTGCTTTTTAAATTAGTCCATAAGAACCAGATTCCTTGGTTAAACAAATGTGTCTTTGGATTTTAAGTCACTAAGAATATAATGTGTGTTAGATTTAGCTTCTTAAGTTCACAAAGCAAGGTCATCTTCTTCCTAATCGAAAGATCCCAGTGAAATTAGTTTCTTAGTGTGTTGTAAAACTGAAGTGCTCATTTATATTTCTTTGATTCACTCATTTAAATGGTTTGACTGAAGAGAATAAAGAAGCAAAACACTAAGAATAATTATAAGATTCAGTGAATAATATTCTGCTTACCAGAGCAAAAGGGAGGGGGGTTAAGGGGTGAGTAGAAGGAGGAAGGGGTGGTGAGAAGGGTTGTGACAGGGTTGTGGCACTGGATTTTTGGAGGATGGTAAGTGAGGCACATTCATATATGGCAGTGTGAAGTTATGTAAACTACAGGTGAGTCAATAAAACTTAGGGAGAAAAAAGAGCATGATCAGACCCTCAGATTAAAAAAATGAATGGTGGGTGATTTGGTGATGGGAAGCTCAAGGGAATTACAACTGAACTGAGATGAAAAAATGCACAAAATGATGTAAAAATAAACTATTATATTATTTAAAAAATTCACACAGTACAAAAAAAAAAGTCTAAGTCTAAGTCTATCAAATCACCTCTTTAAGGTCCAGGATTGGTCTAAGAAGAATTCTATGGTGACTTCAATGATAACTGATTTCTGGGATTTTCAAAATGCTTCAGGAGTTATCAACTGTAAGATTACAACTCATAGACACACACACACACACACAACACACATACACACATGTGTATTTTTATTATTTTGCTAAATATTTCATATACACTCATGTAATTTTTTTACATGCATTCCCAATCATATTTTTCCTACTTAGTAACTCTCATCTAATTCTTTCATCATAATCTTTCATAGAATACTTTGAACTAGGTCTAGTTAGAATCTTTATCATAACCATAACAATAACCTAGTAACCCACCTGTATGTCATCTGTGCCTCCTAGGATAAAAACATCTTTGGAATCACGATGAGGGAGAACGACAAACTCGGTTGTTTTCCAAGAATCCTCCACCTTAGAAATAATTTAAATCTTAGTGTATCTAAATTTCACTCGTGTTTAGGCACTCAGTAAATGCATGTGAAATAAAATAGTGAAAACTCCACACAACTGTCCCACTCTCCTACTCCCTTTAAAATTCTTACATCTTCTTTATGGATTTTATGGTATCAATTTGTTGAATTTTATTGACTAATGTTAATGCATGAGAATGATTTGTGGTATTTTAATATGTATTCTTTACCACTTTATGCTTTCATTAAGAGAAAAAAATGTATTTTTATACAGATAACTACTAGGCATGTAAGCAGGTGAGGGTAAGGAAGAAAGTTTTGCAACGAGGGAAGTTTTCTACGTGTCTTTTGGAAGTATTTTACAGAGTCTTTGGTTTTAATGATAACATACTTTGGTATAACAGAGCTTCCTTGGTATGTGGTTATTTAAATAAGCATGCATATTTCAAACCTTGTTGCTGTCAAGTTCTTAATGGCCTATTAGCCAAGTAGAAAGAAGATATTTATAGAATTATGACAACAACAATGATAATAAAGTTAGGAAATAACAGGGTGACTGATATTGAGATAATGCAATGTTGAAAATCCATTTAGGCAAAAGCCAAAATTGCTGATCTTTAAATGATCAAGTGAATATGAATATTAAAACTTCCACATGCTTCAGAATGCATATCTTTTCAGATTTACCTTTTTAAGAATTGTTTCTAAGGCGGCTTCTCCAGAAGCTTGCCCAGAAATGTCTTGGATTTCTTGGCCAAAGTGGAAAACATGCAACTCAACAAGTCTCTCCAAAGTTAATGGAACTTCAAGGTCCACTAATGTAGCATCAACTGTCTGTTCAATAGCTGCCCAATGTCTAGCCTTCAAAGTTGGGTTCCTCAAGTCAATGATAACTGGAAGCTGGAAAACAAACACTCTCAGAGGCACTTTACATTTATCTTAAAAACACAGCCAAGCCCTCCCTGGTGGCGCAGCGGGTTAAAGCACAGCACTGAGAATCTGAAGCCACTTCCGCATGAGTTTGATCCCCGCCTGCCCCGGAGGAAATCCACATGGCGAGCCAGACCTCTCCTGACCCGCCCGCTGCTCCCCTCAGCAGTGTACTTCGTCAATCTGCCTGTTCTGCTCCCCACTCTGTCTCTGGTGAAGCCTCTCACCGTCCCTGAGCCTCTGGCCTGTACCCCAGTTCTGTATGAATAAATAAATAAATCTTTAAAAAAAAAAAAAAAAAAAACACAGCCCATGGCTGCTGGATTTAAACCAGGAATAGAAAGAGTTGAAAAGAATAACACTTACACTTAAATCAACTTGTTGAACCTATCACAGACTGAGATTGCAAGGCAACCAAGTAACTCAAAGTTTGGGGAGTGACTACCAACACAATTCTCCATAGCAAGAAATATCTGACCTAGAGTCAGATAGAAAATTCAACCAAACTGAACAAATAAATCATTAAAGACTGAGTATAGTGTAGTATGAGAGTGTGAAATCCTTGGAGGTTACAAATACAGAGGTGTTCACATTGGAGCTTGGGAAGAATCCTAAGAAAATCTACCTATGGTTCTGTCTGGGGGTGAGGTGGGTAGAGAACATCAGCAACTATTGTAACTCTAACATTAATCTCTCCCATGCTCTCTATAGAACAAGTATGCATGGAAAAGAGCAATACAAATTCACATTGAAAATAACCCATTGTAGGTCTTTGTATATAACTGGAGAAATGTAACAAGAAAATTAAAAAATAGGGCCCTCCCTGGTGGCACAGCGGGCTAAAGCACTGCACTAAGAAGCTTAAGCCACTTCCGCATGAGTTTGATCCCCGCCTGCCCCGGAGGAAATCCACATGGCGTGGCAGACCTCTCCTGACCCGCCCGCTGCTCCCCTCAGCAGTGTACTTCGTTGATCTGCCTATTCTACTCCCCGCTCTGTCTCTGGCGAAGCCTCTCGCTGCCCCTGAGCCTCTGGCCTGTACCCCAGTTCTGTATGAATAAATAAATAAATCTTTTTTAAAAATTAAAAAAAAAATAAAAAAATAAAAATTCCGCATGAGGGAGAGACAAAAATAATTCTAGGTCCACTACTGCAGCTGGAGGAAAGAGAGCAATACTTGCAAAGAACGGAATTCTGAGAATTAGGATGCAATTAAGAAATATGCTTAATAAGAACATAAAAGATGTTCCTCCTTATCTTTCCCCCCAGGTATTGAGTAATGGGCCATCCCTGGTGGCACAGCAGGGTAAAGCACAGCACTAAGAACTAGAGCCATTTCAGCATGAGTTCAATTTCTGTCCCTAGGTGATCCACAAGGTGCGGCAGACCTCTTCTGACCGGCCCACTGCTCCCGTAAGCAGTACTTAGTCAGTTGGCCTGTTCTGCTCCCCACTCTGTCTCTGGTGGATCCTCTCACCACCCCTGCACCTCTGGCCTGTACCCTAGTTCTGCATGTATAAATAAATAAATCTAAAAAAAAAAGTATTGAGTAAAATGACAGTCGAATACCGAGTGAAAAGCTGCAAGAAGTAGTCTGTCTAGGCACAACACAAAGGAAGGACCCAAAATTAGAATGAAATAGAAATTGAAAAAAAAAAAAGAAAGAAAATTTTGACCAACCAAATATAACCCTAAACCTAAAGTATCATTATAACAATTTAACGGATATGGTATATGAATGGTAATTATAGCAACATCAAATCTCAACTCCAACTCAAATCCCAACTAGATTTAGTGTACTCTGCCATACAGAAAATTAAAATCACTCTTTTCAAGGGTGGGGTGGGGTGGAAATTTGCTTTTCACTGTGTCTAAAACATTGCTTACTTTTCCCAGCCACTTCTGCTTTTAGTCCTTTCATCTTTTTGAAAAATCGAAAACTGCTTAAAAGGATAAAATCAGTTCCCCTTTCTCTTTCATTTCAAGAACTGATTTAGCAGTTACAGGTTTCAAAGAGGTAGCCCTACACACCAACTAGGGTCCTGAACATTCTTTGTATCATGGCACACCTGGAAGATGGCACATGGTGTAAATGGACACCTTTGGCTTCATCTGACTGTATAAGATCTGAGTGGGTCAGGAGCTTGGCATCCTCACAACTTATCTCTGTACTCATTCCCCTAATACTTGGAAGACCCTAAGATTGAGAATTTTTTGTAGACATGGTATTCAGTGACATGATTTGATCAGATGAAGAAAAGGCTGCAGCCTGTGACTTTCTGCAAAACTTGAATGTGTCTGTCCTCTCTCCTCTCTCTGCAAGGAAGATTAAACAGAAATTCCTAACTTGTTCTTGTTCACAGGAAATTGTACCTGTTTAAACTGAAGATTTGGAAATAACCTTTACTGAATTTACCTTTTCTTTCATGCTTTCCACCTTGCTTTTTAGCTGGGGTACTACACTGTTGGGTGGCAACCCTTTTTCCAATTGAGTCACAAATTTGGCATATTTAGAAACTTGACTGTTGAGGAGTTCTGGATCCAGGCAGTCAAATTTGGACTGTGAAAATTAGAAGTTAAAAAAGAAAAATAGAAGCTAAGACATCATAAAAGGAAAGCTTAAAATAATTTTTCCCCCTTTACTCAGAATTTCTCAGTAGTGAATGCCTATCCAAGTGAATTCTATATTACAAATGGCTTTATTTATTAAAATTGAATAGTATAACAAACATCTCTTGGTGAGTTCTTTATATCCTTATCTCCCATCAAATACAGTACTACAGTCCTTATAATTTATTCTTGAGGCAAAACTTTTGTAAAGAGAAAGTTTGCTAAAGCCAATCTTATAATAATGCAGTCTGCTCTATGGTATATAATGACAGAAAAAAAGACCTTCAAGCAATTTCTATAAAATTATAGCATTACATGTCTTAACTAAAATTAAGATTACATCATATTATTTTAAAATTACAATTTATATTGAACTTTTAAATTTAATTAATACAAAATGATTTAAGAATTAAAGTTTTCTTTTTGTTGTTTTTTTATTTTTTATTATTATTTTTTTACCTTTGACCATTCTTCATGGAGTTGATCCCATTCATATAAAGAATCCCAGAGCAATTGTTTGAGCTTCAATTCAGCACTAACTTCTTCCAAAGCATCAAACTTGGACACTTCCACCTTTAAAATATGATAAGTAAAATGCACTCACTATTTAGTTTTCAGATATAAAGATCTTATATTATTTTCCTAATAATAATTCTAGATATAATAACTACTTATCAGAAAATGGATGAGTCCTAAATGGGAGAGAAAAGATGAGGTAGAAACAAATGAAAAAGAAAATAAATCACAAAATTCCACGTATATTCAAATTTCCACTTGGATGCAAAATATAACTCTTTACCTTTCCTTAGAACTTAAATATTCCCCAAATACATTAAATATTACAAGGTAATATGGAGAGGACAACCCATTTTTTCTCTTTTTTCAAACTTCTTTTTAACCTGGTAGGGTATCTATGCACCCTTAGAAAGGAAAACCTGAAGAACTATTTTCATGAGAAGATTTTGAGATTGCCTGGGCTCAAAGGTGGAAAAATTGCCACAGGTTTGGTTGCATAAAAGTCGTGGCCCTGTGATTAGCTATGGTTTTGAGCATTCTATCCAATAGCAGAACATTCTTTATTTAAAAAAAAAACACATGGATTACCTAGGAGAGGTAACAATAGATAGAAAAGACACAAAACAAGTCTTAGCAAATTTAAGATGATGGAAATCCTACCAATTATCTTTTCTGATCTCAGTATGAAGCTAGAAATCAACAACAAAAGTGAATCCAAAAGAGGATTCACCAGAGACAGAGCGGGGAGCAGAACAGGCAGATCGACAAAGTACGCTGCTGAGGGGAGCAACGGGCGGGCCAGGAGAGGTCTGCCGCGCCATGTGGTCACCTCCGGGGCAGGCGGGAATCGAACGCATGCAGAATTGGCTTTAGCTTCTTTGTGCTGTGCTTTAACCCGCCACGTCGCCAGAGAGGGCCAACATAGCTATTTTTTAATAAGCAAGATATCTTGTCTCATGTGTACTAATCTTTAAATTTCAAAGGCAAGGAACAAAAACATGCTTTATATTTCAGACTTTTTCAGGACAATCACTAACAAATTGTGTTCAAACACTGAATGTATACAGTCACATTGTATCAAAGTCAAGTATATCCACGTTTTATAAAGAGATGTATAGATCTGTAATTACCTTAAAATTCTTTTGATAGGATTTATATTGAAATGCACGTTTTTGGAGATCATCTAAAACTACTTGTAGTTCTTTCAATATGACCTTTATTTTGTCTGGATCAGCATTAATATCCAAAATCTGTGGATCCTGTAAAATTAACATAGTTTTGATTATGTTTGATAGTTTGTACATTCCTACTTTTTGATGTAAACCATTAAATAAAGCAAATCAATAATCATTTTTTAAAAATGTATTTTAAAGTTCTTTTCACTCTGATTTTTAGAAGAAATGTTAAAATGGTAGACCAAGAAGTCTACATATCTGCTTTGCTTCCAATAATTAAGAATTCATCTGGATTTTAAAAAGAGATTTAGAAATACTTTCAGTTTTAAATAGCACCTCAAAGCCACTGTTAATTTAGTTAGAACAAAATCTTAAAATACGAAAGTCAGATTAAATTGCAACAGGAGCTCTAAATGATTTAATTACAATTAAATTTCATACCTTTTAAAATTCTACTTTCGCTTACCTGTGCTTGCAACTTTATTTCATTCACTTCATTGCTTAAATCTTCAAGATCTCTACCCAAATGCAGACAAAATTGTTTAATACATGCTTCTCTGTCACCCACGGCTTTATCAATAGCATTCCGAACAGCAACAATAGAGGGCTTCATTGTTGCAAAAACAGCAAAGTCTTCAGGAGGTGTGGGAACCTGATACTGTTCAATGAGTTTGTACATCTGAATCACTATGTTCCCTTCATCTTCAAGGCTTTCAATCTGAATAAAAACATTGGCTGCTCATTTAATAAATCAGAGTTCTGTCTACCCTTTCAGTTTTGTCTAACGAGAGATAGCCTCTGTGTACCATGAATGCCACACTGAACCACACAGTGGAAGAGAGTATGTTGGATGTCACATATTGTCATTGCTACAATATAGGTAAGCAGGCCCAGGAATGAAATGTTCAGGCTGAAATGAGTAAGTACTCTAGTCAATGTTTATCTTCCTGTTCTCTTCTGTCCTCTAGTAGTATTAAGTGCCAATACTTAAAGTTTACAGAGACAACATGTTTCAAGAGGATGCTCAGTTGTCATATCTGAACTTCGAAGCATGCGTGCTCAGCAGTGATTTTCCCAAAGCATCTCCTGAGGTAGACAGGCCGTGTTTCTGGTTGGCTGCCCATGCCCTATTATCCTTTAATAAGTACTTTTACTACCTCTAACTGAATACTAAACATCCATTTTTATTAGACTGAATTCCTATCTTTAGGGGGACAGTGTTTTTCCTACTTTCTTGTCAAGAGACTCTCCAATTGGGGGAACCCTTTTCCCCAAACACAACCTCTGCTATATGATTATAGAAGGAGCACAAACACAAGGAGCAGCCATGTTCATACAGATGATTCAAACTTCTGGCCACAAGCTGAACCCAGCAGCATGAAATCAGGACCTTGCAAAACCATTCCAGTATGACCTCTTGCTTGAACATGGGAACGCAAAGACATTAGTTGTTGGCAGAGAGGCCTTTTGCTTTCATGTGGAATCAGAAAAGAGGCCCTTCATCTGAGAAGATAACTGCAGGGAGGCTCTTAGAGCAATGCCTCTCAACCTTTAGCTCATATCACAACCACTTTGGACAGCTGGCTAAAACACAGGCTGAGGTGCCCCAAAATTTCTGATTCAGAAGGTCTAGGTGAGGCCCAAGAATACATATTTCTAACAAGTCCCCACTGATGCAGATGAGCAGATTTGGGCACCACCTTTCAAAACCACTGATTTAGAAAGAAAGAGAGTGAGAGGTGGAGAGAGAGGGGCATTTTTTGGTTTCCTTTTGCTACTTTGGTCCCTGGTTTCTATCCTTTTAAAAAGTTAGGTTTTATACAGATTTTTGGATTCCAGAAACTATTCCTGAAAACTTAAAATAAACTTTATCATTTTTCTAAGTTATATGAAATTTTGTTATAATCCTTTCAATAAAAGTATCTAATACGTTAAATAAGTTATAATAGAGCTGAGCGCCTGCACATCAAGTTATCCATGTATTGCTTAAACAAATGCCCAAGATCTAGAATATCAGGAACCTTGAAATATATGAGATCATTAACTCACCCTTTCTTGAATTTCATCGAGAAATACTAAACTGTTAACATATTCTATGGTGGTAGTTGGAACAAACTCAAGTTTGTACTCTGCATCTTGTGCCTCAGAGATAATGGCATCTACTTTTTTCTTGCTTTGAAAAGGAAGCATACTATTTAGCACCTAGGAAAGAAAAAAATACTAATCATAAATATTTGAGTATTTCCATTTGATTACAGATTTCAGATAAACCCTAATAGAATATCTGTTATATCAGCAGATACTGGAAGTGGTAGTGTATTGGAGAGGCTTTTGTTCATATTAAAATATTACTAGTAGAGGAACCAATACAAAGGCCAGGTTTTGAAGATCATTTTCAGAACAAAATAGATGGAGTAGCTTATGAAAAAGTTTGCCCAAATACTCAGGTATCTTGCAAGCACTCCTGCTACTCTGCCATATGTATTGGCATTGTGGTGCCCTCTCTATTATCAATTTACTTTTTCATGTTGGGTGTGGTAGTCACATGGTTTGGGGAAGATCAATCTCTTCTTTTGTAATAAAGAGAATCTCATCACTAGGAACATAGCAAAGTAATCTGGCTTTCTCTAGCCAACATGATGGCTGGGGGTACACCTGTAACTTTAGTTGATGCATGTTGAGAATATCAATCTTTCTCTATACATAACCAAGGAAATAATTAGCTTATAGGAGCTTTTTATTTTTTAATATTTACTCTTTTTTTCATCATTCTTCATTTTGTACATTTTCCCATTTAATTTGCAGTGCCCATGGGCTTCTCACCACCAATTCACCCATGTGCCATTGCCATAGTCCCGTGCCCTCTAACAACCATTTCACAAATGTGAGGGAAAGTTAGCTTTAGGATGAAGCTGGCACACTAGGAGGCTCATTAAGCAGAATGAAAAAAAGAAATAGGTCCTTAGTAACACCAGCAATGGAATCTCTCTGATGTCTACCCAACTGCTGGGCTTTTTGGATCTACAGCCTTTAAGTTTTCTGACTGTTTAATACATTTGAATTCAGTTTTCTTTGGCTTGGTAGGTCATATTGGTCAAAAGTATTTGCTGAAATTAAATTGAACTTGTTCCAATTAAATATTTTTATGTTTTTAAAAGATGAAGCAAAGCTCTAGAAAAAAGAGCTTTTGGTTTGCTACACAAACCATTAATGACAGAAAAGACAGTAGCACTCAAGTCTGCAGGCTACAGTGCTCTGTCATCCGCCATCGATACTGGGGTCAGCAAAGGGCCAGGTAGAAATTTCAGACTCTGCAGATGTAGTGTAAGCCCTAACAAACTATGCTTTGATGGGCTGGGTATCCACCTCAAAGAGGGCTTTCTCAAATAAACACATTGTCAATCATACACCTAGTAAAAACACAAGCTGACTTCCTTCACTGAGACTCCCTTGTTTTAGAAAACTTAAGTTGATTTCACCAACTGACCATTTGGGCTGCTTGTTCTTTTTTCCAGTGTTTTAAATTTCCACTTTGTGTTTTAAGTTCACAGTAAGTGCTGGGCTTCCAGTCCCCTCTTGACCCCAATAAAAGCAGAATTCCAGGTTCACATACTCTCTCTCTTTGAATCTACTATGTGGCCATAGGTCTGTTGTGTAACTGCCAAGTCCTGTAAGTAATAGACTCTTACTTTTTTCAAAGTTTCCTGATGACAATTGCTGACAGACATGTTGTAATCATAGTAAGAACCACAAACGCTGGCTCATTATTTGCCAAGGGGAGATGTCTCTGCAAAGCTCACTGGGCCCAGGTGAATGCCCCCAGTCAATTCTACCTGATAGTAGTGCTATCAGTAGATTGAGACCAGCACAGAACAGTGGATGTAAATTATCTGTCCCAACTATGCACTTCTGCCCTTGTAGTGACAAAGCACCCATAGGCAATACATAAACAAATCATCATTGTTATGTTCCCAAAAAGCTGTGTTTACCAAATAGGCTGGAATGACTTTGTGAGTTATAGTTTCCAGTTCCTGTTTCACACTGTTAGAGATGTTGGAGTCATTTAAAGATGTCCAGGTATACTCTGGCTCCAAAGGAAGACTGGGAAGTTACTGCAGAACCATACAAATATCTGTGGTTCTACAACTCACCAAAATGTAATCAGAATTCTAGAGATCATTTAAGATCAGGAATGATCCTATGAAATTGACCTCAGTATCTCAGAATCAATCAGTATTTCTAGTAAGGCACTGAGCTGATAGAGTGGAATCACTTATGCAGGGAGTCTTAAGATGCTCTAACAAAGGAAAAAGAATAATCTGAGGCCTGCAATTCCCTCATCTGAAAGCTTACTGTGCTTGGTACAGAAAGAATATGGGACTTTCCCTAGAAATAAAAGATGGCTAGTAAGCTTAAATTACTTTCAAATATTGCAATATAAAGAAAGTTTATTTTTAGTAGGAACATAATTAATAACAAAGAAGACAACTCAAGTTTGTCTGAGTTCATAGTTACCTCCAAGCATCGCAAAGGTGACGGAATGAGTTTTTCCTTTAACTGCTTAGTGTCAATGAGCAGTAATCCCACATTTCTGGTGGGTCTTAGAGCAACTGCATCCTTGTGCTGTCTGTGATATTTTTCCAGTTGCTCACTAAAAAACTTAACATCTACATAAAATAATTCAGATAAAGCATAACATGCATTACATTAGATTTTAAAGAATGATTACAAAGTACATTGAAGTCATTGCATTATAATTTTTACATGTACATTTATCATGTGGTTCTTTATACAAAAAATACTTGGTAGACATTTTAAATGTCTGGAAATGCTTGATATTTTATTCCTGCAATAAGGAAACTGCTATTTTATGACATAAATATGTCTTCCAATTCTATTTAGAGATGACACATGAAAATAGCTTGCATACCTGAGCAGTAGACAGAGGGATTTTGTCTGGCCTTTCTCCACTAACATAGGTAACAATAAGTGTGATTAGGTTTGTTCCCCTCATTTCAGGACCTCCGGACCTCTGCTTGTGATGCAGGAAGGTAGGAAGACTAGAAGAACTGGAGGTGAAGAACACTTTTCTCTAGTTCCAGAGGACAGACTAAATCTCCCTTTGTGAAGACCCAGGGAGGAAAATCAGCATAAAAAAATATAACACCATGGAGAGTGGCAAGATGGTGGCACAAAGAATGCTGGGCTCACCTCTATCTACTTGCAGCTAGACTGCAGAAGAACAAACCCAAGAATTCCTAAAGGAAAACCAGAAAATAACAGCATACACTAGGTGCGACATCTGGGGGGAGGGTGACCCAGGGAGCAGTGGGACAAGTCAAAGGGGAGCCTGGGGGGCAAGATGAGTCCCAGTGGTCTGGTGGGCCCCACAAGCAGCAGAATGGCACTGATAATATGTAGCGTCAGATATGAGCAAGCTTTGGTGTGGGCTCTAGAAGCAGCCCTGCCATGGCAGTGCTGCAGATCCCAGTAAACTTGAGGCAGGACCAGAACGTAGCCTAGACCTAGTGAGCCCAGGCAAACAATGGAACAGGTGCTGCTAAGGGGGCAGATGTGATACACCTCCACAGAGGTTTAGCCTGGTTGAAGTTGTTGCACCAGAGAACAGTGTTTGGAGAGATGATCTGACAGACATGAGCGGGAGTGAATTCCTTGCACAGCAAAGACTAATGCAGATGTCAACAGATTGACCTGAGGAGATTCATGCTACATTGAATAGGAGGTGGCTGGAGAGAAGAACTTAGGGTTTGTGGTCTAAAGTAGGGGACACCGATGGCAGGGCTGTGAGCTCAACCAGGGAATCTGAGGGGGAAAGTGTTGGTTGTGGGGAGGCACACTCCCTTGAAAAGGGAACCCAGAGAAGCTGAGTGCTGAACACAGGCTGGGCCCCTAATAGCAAAGCAGGCATTCTGATGCGAATTCCCTCTTTGCACTCTGTGGGACTGGTCTTACCTTGTGAGGTCCATGCATATATATATATATATATATATATATATATGCACACACATATATATAGCATATATACACACACAAAAATAGTGTATAATTACATGAAAGGATCTAGTCTGGAATGGATTCTATTCTGGTGTCAGGTTGATTTGAAGTTAGGTTTAATCTAAGGGTACGCCTATATGGTACCTTAAAGGAAAGCATTTTGAGGACGTTAACAACAAAAGTTTGACATACAAGAGATAAAGCATAGCTAAAATTATCATTTCCATTTTTTTCCTAAAACCTCTCTGTCATCCTGGCTTACACAGTATGGTAAAAAAAGCCTTTGCAAATTTGCATTGGCTATGTAATACTTTGCATTTGAAAAATTTCCTGCCCCCATTTCCCCCTGTCTTCAATCTATCTAAAACCAGTGGAAGTATGATTATCCTTGAATACACTTATATCATACTGTTGGCCAAGACCAACTCTTTCTAATACACATCCAATACTAAACTTTCGTTTTTTTTTTTTCAAAATTCTGTACTCTCAAGCCCTTTACAACTTTAGCTACCTTTACTTCCAATTCCTCCACTTGAGTCAGATTGATTTCCTTACTGTATCCTGTTCTCCTTATTTAACCTCCCTCCACTCTCCTAGAGGGTGTTGATTCATGCTTTTATTTGTGTCACTTCTTCTCCATAATACAAAGGAGAGTCTGACATAGTGTAAAGAATACACAAGACAGGGTGTTAGTGGACCAGGGTACAAGTCTGTATGTCCATACGTGAACATCATTTTCTTCAAAATACCATAAAAGATACATGGGCCAATGGAGGTCAATGACTCACTCTATTCACGTGAGAAGGTTTTCATAGGAGTATTTTGTAGAACTAACAGAGGGCATCAAATGGTCTGAGAAGTTCTCTGGTAGGGAAACCTGTATGACACTGCTTGACCTCGTATATTCCAAATTTATTGAACAGTCTCTTCTCATAATAGCATGTCACTATTCTTTAGAAGAGTAGTCCAAGAATACCAACTTGGGAAGCACTAATTTGGCCCAGTACTCTAATTTTATACAAAAAGAATTGAGATCAATAGAGGGTAAATGACTTGCCATGGTCACACGACCAAAGAGAAGAAGAAAAGCAAAGCTGACAGCAGAAAAAGAATCTATTTTCTCTTTTTAAGACAGAGGAGAGGCAGTATGGATAATGGTTAGTTTTTGAGTCAGAGAAATGTTTCTAAATTATATACAAACTGTGTAATCTTGAAGTTGACTTATCGCTATACTTTCATTTCTCAATTAAAAAAATGAGAATACTAAAATATTTGTGCACAAGAAAAAAAGCGATAAATCTACAAACTAAAAGTCTGATTGTTATATTCCACATTTTTAATAATAATTAATCACCTGCTTTTAATATTTTTAATAACATGGCAATGCCAAAATTTCATGTGGGATTAAACATATTTTTCTTTTGTTGAAGATAGTAAATCTTATAAATCATTTCCTCTTCATGCCTAAGAACTGTTGATTCACATCCAACCAGGTTGCAGTACACCCCCAGATATAAAGAGAAACTTGAATTCCTCAGATAGAAAAACATCTACATGAAATTATTTAAAGATAGTTGCAGAGATAAATATTCCTCTCAACTCCTTTCCTATATATAGATTACAAAACCTCAGTACCAACGCAGCTTCATACTCAAAGATGAGTCATTAGGGAGGAAATGATTTCCATAATATAGTGAAATAAAAACAGCAACATTGGTAAACTAAAGAAAAAAGTAATTCTACAGAAAGAACAAATTCTACAGAAATAAACAAATTCTTACTTTTATTCAGGCTACCTCTTCTGAGCTACCATTCTGTCATCATACTTTACCAATAGAAACCCAGAAAAATATTCACCTTCGTACCTCTATCAGAAATAGTTAAGTGGAAAAGTTACCAGGTTCTTGAAGTTTAAGAGCTTGCAAATCAAGACTTTCATTTTCCTTGAAGAATATCTGAAACTTTTCAAATGTAGCTGCATATAATTGGGCAGATTCAAATGCTGCCCTTATGGTCTCCTAAATATTACAAACAGAAAAAATTACATTTTTTCTAAGTAGAAATCAACTCAATATCACCAAACAAACAGGCAAACAAAAGCCTTCTCTGTACCTAACAGTGAGTTTTGAGTTGGCATACACAAGTGTGGGATAAGTCATTGAATTCTCTTATGAAATAGAGAAAAAAAAATACATCCTAAAATCTGAAGTTTGAGGAATTGTTCCTTATAAATGAAAAGAAGCATTGCAACTTTTTAGCTTCATGGTAAATTTATACATCATTAATAAACATATGGCAAGAGACAATATCTAATAACTACTGCCAATTTTATTAATCTGTAGTTGAGAAATGTACTTTAATTTTGTTTTAATTTGCATTTCTCTTACGACAAATCTATTTTATCATAAAATATATATTTTATATATTAAGATGGTAAAATATATTTCATAGGTTTAGAGTTTCTTTTTTGGGAAATATTCTATCATATTTTTATCCCTGGTGAGGATGTGTAGAAAAGGGAGTCCTTCTACTCTGTTGGAAGGAATGTAAATTGCTATAGTAACTATAGAAAACTGTATGAAGTTTTATTAAGCAGTTATTAAGTAGAACAGCCATATGAGCCAGGCCCAATTCTTTGTATATATGCATAGGAAATAAAATTAGCATCTCAAAAAGAGATTTCTGAATTTCCATAATCAATGCATAACAATCTAAATGACTGTTGATGGATGAATGGAGATAGAAAATGTGTATACAATGTGGTCTCTGTATACACATTCAGCCTCAAAATAGAAGGGGGTCCTGTTACTTAGGACAACCTGGATGAACTTGAAAGGCAATAAGTTAAGTGAAATAAGCTAGATATTGATAGAAAAAGACAACTACTCCCTGGTATCACTTATATGTGGAAACTGAAAAAAGGAGGACGTGGAAAGGAGGAACAGAGAAGGAGAAAAGAAAAAATTCAAGTTTGCAGAAACAGTGGGAAGTATTTTCTTGGGACTGAATTTGGGAGAATTAGGAAAAAGTGATAAAAGTACACACACTTTCAGTTTTAAGTAAGTAAGATCTGAGGATCTACGGTATAACAAGGTGACTGTAACTGATAACACTGTTGTGCAACTCAAACTTGCTATGGATAACTTAAATGTTCTCATCAAAGGTGGGACAGGAAGTATATATGTTAGGTGCTGGTATGTTAATTAGTTCAATAGGCAATCTTGTCACATGGTGAACATATATTGTCATCACATTGTATTGTATACTTTAAGTCTCTTACAATTTTGTCAGCTTTACCTTGAGACACTCTCATGGTTTACAGAATAATTTTGAAAGGATAAACACTATTTTCAATTTTTAGCATATGGAGATTTAGCAGTATTCTATATAAATGTAAGAAAGGAAGAAAATAATTACTCAATTTCTTAAAAATTAAGATCATTCTAAAGTAATTTTAGTAAAAACAAATGTACCTTTATTTTAAAAATAATTGTGTGAAAATTCCTATCATCATCAAATACCGCTGATAAACTTGGACCAGAGCCACAGGTTTTTTCTTCAAGTTTGTTGTTAATGTAAGGACTGGTGAAAGCATCAAAATAAGCATCAGGCACAAGATTAGGAATCGATAACACAGTGCTTTGAAAATGGTTGATAGCACCTGAAATACCATCCTGTTAGAGAGAAAAGCACAAATAAAAAAGCAAGCACATATATGGCAATTTATGAATATCTTCAAGTGTTAAAATGAGTAAGAGCTCCTTCAACCATACCAGATACTGTATTGATTTTGAATATAAAGCAAATCAAAAGACACAGTCTCTGTCTTTAGGTAATATGTTATCTAATAGAATAAGACACAGGTAAACATCAAATCACAACACATTGTGATGAGTGTATAGAACAAGTACCAATAAAACACAGAGGACCATTCATAAAGGAAACCTAGCCTACGAGAAATGGGGAAGTTTAAAGGATGGGTTAAAGGTCTATATTCTTTGAAAAGCAATCTTCATTCCAGAAATCTAACCTAATACAAAAGTTATACATGTAAACAAAGATTCATGTGCAAGGATAATCACTACAGCATTCCTTAAAATAATAATGAATTAGAGAAACATCTAATTGTCAGAAAGAGGAGTATTGCCTAGTTGTGGTGTACTTATACAGTGAAAAATTATGCATCCCTTCAAGATGGGGAATCTAGACTCTTCTTGGCTTACATATGCACATCATTCCCTCTCCCTGGTGTACATGCCTTGCCTACTCCCATCCTTGTGAATATGGAAAGGATCTGTGCATACTGTGAAATGTACCTGTCAAAAAAAAAAGTTAGATTTTATGGGAATGTCAGAGGTTTTGCAGAAATAATTAAGGCACCAAATCAACTGGCTTTATCAAAAAGGAGATTACCTTGGGTAAACTTAATGGAATCAAGTGAAAGCACTTAAAAGAACGTGTGGGTGCTTCCCAAAGGAGACTCTCCACTGGCCTTGAAGAAGCAAACAGCCATACTATAAATTTCTTATAGAGTAGCCATGTGGCAAGGACCTAGAGCTGGTTTCTAGGATCTGGGGGTGGTCCTCAGCTGATATCTTGTAAACAAACAGGGACCACACTCATATAGCTGTGTAGGGAAGAATTCTTCCAACAAGATGAGGGAACTTGGAAGTAATTCCGCCTGTTTGGAGATCTCTTCCCAATCAATACCTGAAAGGCTGTCTGAAGAGGCCCTGAAACAGAGGTTGAGCAGTGCCTGACTGCTTGTCCACAGACACTATGAGATGACAAATGGTTCTTTTAAGCTGTCAAATTTGTGATAATTTGTTGCACAGCAATACACAACTAAAACAGAAATAATTTTCAAATGGGGCACTCTTAAAAAGATTTACACAATGGCATTTATAACAGAGTGATTTCTGGACTTATCATTTAGAGGGTGCCTATGGTCAATTTTATATTTTATGCATAATATATCCTTTTGACGTTGCATCCTACTAAGTCCTTAATGTGTATCAAATTAAAGAAAATGACTAATTTCAGATAGTATTTATGTAGCTGCAGTACTGTGCAGAGAACAATGGTTTTGTCTTATCATTCTGCTCATATTTCTAGAGCAGTCCCTCCAATTATCTAATAGCAAAACAGTGGCTTCATTTTCCAAAAAGGTGTTTGTCCATGGAAAAGAAACATATACCAGAAAGTCTTCAAAGGAAGGCTCAAAGAGTAGTGACTGGACCGTCAAGATCAGTTCTGTGAGAAACATGGGGATGAGAGACTCGTCTTCTTCCTGCTTTTCCAACACAGAGGCTCCCTGAAATGAGCAGTGTTACACAGCAGTGTTATTGAGATATAACTATTAAGTTGTGAAATAAATAGCTCTTTATCGCTAGAGGCATAACTTAATTAGTTGATTTTTTTAATGTTGGCATATCTTTTGAAGAATGTTACCATAGAAATTAAAAACAGGGCCCTCCATTATGGTGCAACAGGTTAAAGCACAGGACTATGAACCCACTGCAGCACGAGTTCGATCCCCCACCAGGGAGCTGACCCACATGTTGTAGCAGACCTCTCCTGATGCACCTGATGCTCCCCTCAGCAGTGTGTTTCAGTCGATCTGCATGTTCTCATCCCCACTCTTGTCTCTGGTGAATTCTCTCACCCCTCGCACCTCTGGCTTGTAGCCCAGTTCTCATATACATAACTAAATCTTTAAAAATAAAAACTAGTAGTGAAAGAGTATTAAAAGTAAAGCTTTTCTTTCTTCTCTCTATCAAAAAAAAAAAACAGAAAGGCAAACAAACTGGAAAAAAAATACTAGTAATGTATAAGGCAGATAGAAGTTTGATAATACTGAAATAGAAATAGACATGATATACGTAATAGAATACATGCTAATAAAATAATAGCTGACACTTAAATAGATATATACGTATATAGAAAAGTAGTTAAAGGCCATAATCTGACAATTCCAATCAACTTCCTCCTCTCATCTACCATAGATATACTGACTATTGACTGTTTGCCAAGTAATGCTAAGTACACATGCAATCCCCACAGAATCACATAGAGCAGGTGTCATTATTACCCCAAGATACAGAGAAGGTGAGACATTTCATCTAGGGAACACTGGTTTGTGAGGGCAGAGCAGAACTCAAACCCAGGTCTTGTGCTCACCAGATCTATGCACTTGTCCTTGTGCTGGGTTTATGTACTCCTTTCAAATGACATTTAGAAAACAGTGATCTACTACTTCATGCCCATCAAACTGCCAGAGATTAAAGTGAATGGCAATAGCCAGTGGGTCTGTGAGTAAATACGCACTCTCCAACATTGCTAGTAAGGCTGTAAATTGGCACCAAATTTTCTAGAAAGTTACACATCAGTATTGAAAGCTGTAACAAGTAATCATATTTCTAAACGAACATTCTATGTGTAGGAATTTCTCCCAAAGGGAAAAACAAAAACAAACAAACAAATCAGAATTATGTGAAAAATATGTAGACCATGATGTAACTTAAGGTATTATTTGAAGTTAGTGAAAAAGTGATTGAACAATACGAAATTATTTGCAAGCGTTAAAGAAAATTTGTACTCCAGAATATCATATGGTGAACTAAATATACACTTGGAAAGTTTTCACAGTACACTGTTAAGCAGAAAAAACAAGTGAAAAGCAGTAAATCCCCCATAGAAAAAGTTATCTTTGGGTAGCAGAGGAAGCTTTTCTTTGTGTATGTCTGTGTTTCTGAAATTTTCTGCAGTTATCATATATTACTTTTATAATTATTCAGAAAAAAAGTATTCAGAAAAAAGGATGAATTGAAAACAGGGGAGAGAAGAAAGCAATAAAAAAGAGGATGGAGGACTCTCCCTGGTGGCGCAGCAGGTTAAAGCACAGCACTAAGAAGCTAAAGCCACTTCTGCATGAGTTTGATCCTCGCCCATCCCGGAGGTGACCCATGTGGCACGGCAGACCTCTCCTGACCCGCCCACTGCTCCCCTCAGCAGTGTGCTTCCTCAGTCGGCCTGTTCTGTTCCCCACTCTCTCTCTGGTGAATCCTCTTACCGCCCTTGCACCTCTGGCCTGTACCCCAGTTCTGTATACATAAATAAATCTTTTTTTTTTTTTAAAGAGTATGCAATTAAAATTTAACTTTTGGAGAAAAGTAAAACTATGGCAAAGAACATCAGGCCTTGAAATGTCATAGCTGTGTTTCCTGGGGAGGAAGGTGAGCTACAGAAGTAGGAAACCTGATGAAATCACATAAGCAAGTTTTGCAAATGTTTAGGTGCTGTGAGGCCAATATCCAAGTTGGAGCTAGAGAAACGCTTACTAGGGAATGTGGATAGGAGGGAACATGATTTTTCTCTTGCTGTGCTAGGAATGCACAAACAGATCAACATACTCTCAAAATAGTATCCACTATGGCACAACATTTTGCTTTGAGTTGCTGCTCATGTCTACACCACTGTTTATATCTTTCACTTATACTACCTTCCCTGCTTCCCTTTGCCAGGTCATATCTGCAGTGAATCTCAAATGATAAGCTTCTTGGAGGCAATGATCCTACCTAAGCTTTTTGCCACTACATGGCAACACTTAGCATAGGACTGGGTACACAAAGACACTCAAGTATTTGTTGAATGAACACAAAAATAGCCTTTAGCAAATTCCTGTGAGAGACCTAGCAACGTCCAGCATAGTGGATCCTTTCTCTGTCCTTAGATTCTTAAAAATATACTGATTTTTATTCTACCATTTCATGTGTATAGTAGGTTCTACTTATGTTGTGAAGTCCTTTAAGCATGTCTCCCATTTTTTCAATACACAGAAAAGAGCATAATCAGTAAATCTGGACCTGTAAATTTTTTAAAATTTTCTATGACTATACCTTTTTATCACTGACTTCAGTCTTCTCTTCAGTAATCCATCTCTGAATGACACTTGCTGAAGGTGTTCGTTTTAGTTTGTCAGTGAGATAATTCAAAAGAGAGTTAACAGAATTCACTGTTAAGACGTGCATTGTGTTCTCAATTAGATAGTCATTTAGACGGATAAAACTTGGAAAGAAAAAACACAGCTTCAGTTTTCTAGGTTCACTACATAATTGTAAAAGTGACTCTAAAGCAAGTTTTCTTAAGTTAAACATGTCATAATTTCTTCTCCAATTTCCATTTTATTACAACATTAGAGATTTTTATGTCCCCAAAAGTTTTCTTAGATATTCTTCATTTTGAAACACAAATTTATTCAAATACATAGCATCAGTTCAGCTAAGGGTTCTGACTATAGAACAGTATATTTAAAGAGCAATAGTTATGAAAAAGCACCTGACTCATTGAGCCAAAAGAGCAGAAGACACTTCTTAAGATAGTTTAAAGAAGAAATCAGTAAATATACAATAGCTATCACTTATATTCTAATGGTAAAGATGTGAAATATCTGCTAGCAAATAATGTTGTTGGACAGCATTTGCTCACCCAAAGATGCAGATTCTAGGTTTCTCGCTTGAGTGCTTAGGATACAAACTGACAAGTCAAGGCATTGGAATATCTTTTTATTCTGTGTAAGTGGAGCCCAAGGGCCATGTAGCACCTGTAGGCCTATGATGCTGGATTCAGAGACTGCATCACTGACTCCTGTTGCAACACAGACATATAGGTCATGTGATCTGATCGACAAATTGGTGCAGTTAAGAGCGAGTGGACACTTACAAAAGCTGCATAGTGAGTGAGCACTGAGCAATTATAATCAGTGCTTTCTAGTTCCATGCATATCTTTTAAATAACATTTGGTGACGTTGTTTCCGAGAATTAGAACAGTGTTACAATCCAGTTAGGTAAGTAGGTGGCGGGGCTAATCCTAATGAGTAGAAGTCCCAGGTCTCCAAGTCACGAAACCCATCTCACAGAGAGAGCAGTACTATGCATGGCACTGCACCTGTGGTAGCCCTCTGGTGACCAAATAGAGCAGGTCCTCCAGATGTCCTTCAGGACGTCATAAACTCTGTGCACCTAACTCCTCACCACACGTCTTTGCCTGCTCCATGCTCCATGATGGGCTAGCGGCAAACAGGCTTTGAGAACTAAGAGGAGTTCTTGGCCTAAAATACCCTCTACTCTCAATCAGCTCACCAAGCCCAACAGATGCTTTGCTAAGCGGCTGCTGGAGAAAAAGATTTTTGGGTCATCCCTTCAAGTTATTATAACCCCCAAATTCCTCATCATTGTTAAAGGCTTTACATTTTAATGAAACTTCTGAAGGATGTTCTGATTTTCCTTGAAAGAATATAATCATTACCATGTCAGCCTCATACAGTGATGCCTTTTGCTGGCTTGCTCTGTGTATGTCATTTTTTCAGATTCTCCATAAGCAGGCAAATCAAAACCCTCAGATGTTTTATAATATTCTACGAACAACAAAAAACACAACATCAACAAAGCTTGTGTAAAAAGTTCATTTCTTTCAAGCAATATTCAAAAACAGCAAAATACTTTGGTTAATGGGATACTTCAAACTTCAGAAAACAGTCTATTTATCCAAAAGAATTCCACATCAAATCTCTTGATGTGGACTGTAGATAATTATCCACATTATCTTTATTAGGATTTGATCTGTGTACCATGCCAGCTATTTTGTTTTTTCTTAAAATATATATATATATATTTGTGATGTAAATTGTCTTTATTAGGATTTGATTTGTGTACCATGCCAGCTATTTTGTTTTTGTATTTGTTCATTTAATACAATGAACAATTTTGTATTTGTTCATTTAATACAATGTTTATTTCCCCTCCTCAGGTGTAGACCCCATAAAATTTCCTCCCCCAATTCACCCATGCACCATCACCACAGTTCCCTGTACTCCTCCTTCCTTCCAAACCCTCTCCCTCCCCCTCCCCTTCAGGTGTCTCTGGTTTATAATTGTTTGCTTTTGTTGTGCTTTTTATTATTATTTTCTCCCTATGTCTTATTTGGTTCCCCAATATTTCTCCTGTAAGTGAAACCATCCAATATTCTTCTTTTTCCTTCTGACTTATTTCACTGAACATGATCCCATCTAGCTCCATCTGTGTTGCTGTGAATGGCATGAGTTATCTTTTTGAGTGCTGAGTAGTATTCCACGACAGCTTTCCCCCAAAACACCATTACTCTTCTTTTCTACATTCATTTTAGTTATCTTTGAGTCCACATCATCTCGGGCCTCATCGAGATTGAACCAGTCCCTCATTTTTTACAGACCTCTTGTCTGGACTGGTCAGTTGGACATACTTTTAAACATAAAGACACTGAGTTTACCATAAAAGGCTTGTGAAACAAAGGTTTGTTACCAGTTTAGAATACTGTCGACAAGCAGGAGTAATACAAGGCACACAAATTTACTGCTGTTTCCTACCCCCACATTATACATTGATTTCTAATATATTAGGTAAAAATTTAGAAGAAATGACAGATAGGGTCATAATTTAAACTTAAAAATACTTGAATAGAAAATTAATATTTTAAAAAGTTACCACGTAGGGTATTTTGGAATCCTTTTGACTTCATACCTGCATTTGGGTCATATGGACTGTCATCAGGAACAAATCCTTCAGCACGTAGAGCAATTTGACAAGCCTTCCTGACCACCTCTTTAGCCTCATCTCGAAATTCTTCTAAGCGCTCTGTCACCTACACATAGGCAAATGTGGATAATTGTGGTACCAAAGTAGCAATCATAAGAAAAAAAAATATTGGAAATTACAAATAAGATGCTTTACCTCTGCTAGCCGCACAAGTTGGCCCAACTTAAATTCTTGCAAGGTGTAGGTATGACCTTTTTCAATATTACAAAGTGCCATAAAACTCAATTGATAACACATTTCATTTACTTTAAGGAGAGCTGGTCGCAAATGCTGAATAAAAATTGGAGTTAAAAGATAGGAGCTAGTTAAAAAAAATCCCATCTTTTTAAAATCTAAAAATATTGGAAAAGCAAGAATAGCTAAGGAAAATAAATAGCTCAATCTGCTAACTTTAGCTACAACTGCAGAGTATATATACACTTGACATAGACACACTGAAAGTTTGTGCTAAAGGTATTAGAATAATTAGATTTAATTTGTGTAAATTGCTCTTTTTCATTTTGAACACATCTTTCAGTATCCCAGGAAGGGAAAGTAACAGAATACTTGGAAACATCTTAAATTTCACTAGGTTTGGTTAATAGCTACTAAAAAATCCTTTGTGTTAACTTAAGGACTTTATAATGATAGTAACCATGATAATGGAGTCCCCCCCCCCAACACATTCATATAGGAGACAATAGCACAGAACAAAGACAAGTTAACTTTAAATTTTCAGTAAGCAATTATTAAGCCCTATTGTATTTTGCAGTATTGGCTGGGAGAATGAGTGGAAGTGCTTGTGAAATTATAATATGTAAAATTAATCTTTATCTGGTCCAAGATAAGTTGCAGGCTGTTGGTTTCCAAGGCACTTGCCCTAAAAATGTTCCAAGGCCATTTACCTTCACTTCTAATCTAACCAAGGGAGAGGAATTAACATTAACATTAATTTATTTGCATGTGGTAAATGGTTTATGTGTTTTGTATAGCTCACTATTGGATTCTTTTCTAGGAATTTCCAAGATAGGAAAAATAACAGTTACTCAACTCCACATGAAATATTGCTTTAATTACTTATTCTAATTAAAATGAAGGAAAGTTAAAATGAATCAGTAGGATCCTAAATGAAAGAGTTTTGTGAGAAAACATTAGGAAGTCGTATAGTCCTTAAAGATCATTTCATGGTGAATCTGCATGATTAAAAACAACAACAAAAAAAAAAAACAACAAAAGTTTAAAGACTAAATTTATTCATTGAGATAGAGCACGAAGTAAATTAACATGAATATAGGAACAGAGATGGGGATATAATCAAAGCAAGGGTAGTGAAATCAAGGAACCCTTACTTCAGAGTACTCAGAAGAAAGTACTCTTGAGAGGGAGGGGAGAGGGGTGCAAAGAGCAGTGGGGGGTGAGGGGTGGGGGGGGACAATGGACAATGGTGGAGGGGTTTGAGTATGTTGGTGGAGGACACAGTATTGTAACACATTGGGAAAGGCGACCCTAAACCTCCAATTCACATACAGTGTTGGCAACCATTGTCACATCAGTAAAAATAGCACAGTTGAAAAAAAAGAGAAAGTACTTCCTGAACCAAAAAATACAAGTTCTGTTCAGTACAGAGACAAGCTGCAAGGATCAAGGAGAGCAAAACTGGTCAGCTTTATCAAAGCTGCATGGCAATGGGTTTCCCAAAAGATAGAGGGAAATCCCAGAAGAACTGGACACAGAGAAAATATCTTGAAAAGATAAAAGTGAAAGCTAATCTCAGTCTTTTACACATTGAAATCCACCATCAAAGTGACAAATTCTTCATGATCCTACTAATAATTTTAAATAATATTTGATACTTACCACCTTAAGTGATGACCTACCAACAGGTAAGAGCTTGACAGTGGACATTATTTTGGAGAAATAATATTTTTTTTTAAGATTTATTTATTTATTCGTACAGAACTGGGGTACAGGTCAGAGATGCGGAGGGTGAGAGGATTCACCAGAGACAGAGTGAGGTACAGAACAGGCAGATCGACCAAGTACACTGTTGAGGGAAGCAGTGGGCGGGTCAGGAGAGGTCTGCCATGCCATGTGGGTCACCTCCGGGGCAGGTGGGAATCGAACTCATGTGGAAGTGGTTTAAGCTTCTTTGTGCTGTGCCTTAACCCGCTGTGCCACCAGGGAAGGCCCAATTTTGGAGAAATAATCTAAAAAATTACTTTGACTTAATCTAAATACCTGGCTGTCAATATAAGGGAGAGCTGTGAAAGCTGTTGTGAATATTAACATGAGACACTGGGGGTATCTCCCCCCATTATTGCTGTTTCTGCCTATAGTAAATTTCAGATGGAATCTGAGCTAGGTGGACCATTCTTAGGCTATTAATTATATCAATAGTGCTGCTTACGGTGGTAAGTATCAAATATTATTTAAAATTATTAGTAGGATCATGAAGAATTTGTCACTTTGATGGTGGATTTCAATGTGTAAAAGACTGAGATTAGCTTTCACTTTAATCTTTTCAAGATATTTTCTCTGTGTCCAGTTCTTCTGGGATTTCCCTCTATCTTTTGGGAAACCCATTGCCATGCAGCTTTGATAAAGCTGACTCTTCACTTTCCCCAGCACAGGAATGGGGACTAAACAAATGCCCAGCCCTGGCTTATCAGAGCATCCCTGGCTGTGCATGGTTTAGGATCAGGCATGTGGCCATGGTGAGTCAGTCTGTATTCTCTACAGCATCCTCAGCAAGAGGGCCCCTTGTCTTTAAAAGAACCAGCCCTCACTACAGGCTGCAAGTGGTGCTCAAGCCAAAGCCCAGCAGAGAATGAAACAGACACAGAGAAATACAAAACTGAAAGATGGAAAGAGGAAACGTTAAAGATGATACCATTGAATTTCTGAATTCAGCCATTATAAAGGTATTTCTATCCCTTGAACTTATTACCTGAGCTTTTTGAAATTATTGCTGAAATTCACTGACATTGAGTTTTGCTAGCTGCACTGAAATGAGTGTTGCTATTTTCAGAGGTGGAAAATTATCATTAACCTGGAGATTGGTTATTAGGTCAGAAAGTCTATAGGGAACTATCGGAGACTTTAGAAGACAGAATCAGAAAAGCTATGTTTACTGTAAAATCTGAGAAAACCAGGGTGATGCTAAATCAGAGTATGCTTGGTTGGAGTCAAAGGGGTTAGAACCCTTTGGACTTGCTAGTCTTGCTTCATCATAACGTCATACTTTGCTCTAATCTGGGTCACCAGACATCTGGCTGATCTGATGTTTTGGCATTTAAGAAAACTCACTGGATCTGCCATGGGCTAGCCAGAGGCTCTAGACTCAAGTGTGCTCTTGTCTGTTTCTAATCCAGTGTAGAAAAGTCTTCATCAAAAAGCACATCCTTCTATAAGAAACAGTTAAATAAAGTGATGAAATTGAGTGGTCTATCTGAAAAACACTGGCTGACTAAACAAAAACAAACAAACAAAAAAACAACACTAAAAGGATTTTAAGTACCAAGATATTTTTAAATGAAAATGTGTAAAATAACAGAAAATTGTCTGAAAGTATCATGTAAAATATATATTTTAGAAAACCAGCAAAATTATCAAATACCTGGCATGTTAAGATCATGTACGATATTAAATACTATTGAAAAATTAATACTAAGTGCAACTTACGTGCAGCGAAAAGTAAAACATGGAAATATAGGAGACTGAAAGGCACTTATATAAAAAGTAGATATTGTCCCAGATACCTTCACTGATAAGTTTTGCCAACATTTAAAGAAAAACTAATACCCATGCTTCATAACCATTTTCAGAAAATAGAAGTGGAATATATCCCAATTCATTCTATGATGCCAGTTTTATACTTATATGAAAAACAGAAGCACATCATTAGGATGAAAAGACTCACATAGATCTGTTTTGTGTGTGTGTGTGTGTGTGTGTATGTATAGTTATACACACTCAAATATACATATGAAAATACATATACACACTCATATATACATATATACATATGTAACAGAATATTTGCAAACCAGATCTAGCAATATATAAATATGATTTTTTCCAGATACAAGACTCATTTAATGTCTTAAATAAAGGGAAAAAACTTCTAATCTTGGTAGATACAGAAAAAGCATTTGACAGAATTATCACAACTTCACAATAAAAACATTTAATAAATTAGAATAGAAAGTATAATATTATACTTAGTGGTGAAACACTAAAAGATCAGTAACAAGACAAAGATTTCTGCTCTTACCACTTCTTACAGTTTCTTAACTGAAACTTCCAGTAAGCAAACGTAAGTAAGCAAATTAAAGTATCCAGATAAGAGAGAGTAAAATTACATCTATTTACAGACGATATATTCTTTTTCATAGACTATTCTGAGGACTACACACTGCCCTCCCTCCCCAAACTTCAGAGCAAACAGTAAGTTCTGCAAGATCAGAGGACAAGTTCAATAGAAAAATCAGTCGTATCACCATATAGAATGTGTCGATATACATATTATACCCATGTATACATGTACATATTCAGTGAGTGGGGAGATGTTTAAACATGGCATATGCCTTTAAATAGTTCTCCCACGATTACCCCATTGTCCACGTTAAATAATAAAATTTCCACTATATTCTGAAAACTTAGTAGAGGAACACATCACTCAGTGGCAGGTATTGACCCATGAAAATTATCCCCTAGATTATTGTGGATCATAAATAGAATATCTCAATGATGAGAGGAGGTAGGTAAAGAGACGTTGCAAACCTACTCTGCTTAAAAGGATACACAACTTTCCCAGTCAATGATAAAGGGTATCAATGAATTCAAACTTCAGAGGCTGCTTCTAATTAAGGGGGGGTTGGGGGGAAGGGAAGGCTAGTGAAATTCTCTTCTTGTATTTTAGTATTTGTAACCCTAGTTTAAATGTAGGAACACCACTAGATTGTTAAATTCTTAAAAGACAAAGCATAATAAAAATCATAAATTCTTACAACAAATGTAATGTTCCATTTTCAGAACAGTTTATACCAACATCTGTAAGAGAGTCACACTTTTTCTGAGTATTTCTTTGTTAAATAATATGATTCATAAATACGTACTTGATTAACGATGAACAAATTTTTTTGTAAAGATTTTCGAGATCCACTGATTTTCTTGGAGCGGACATTCTTCTTCCACACATTAAAAGCCTTCCATTTTCGGAAAAGTGAAAATATGGGAATCTTAGTGAGTTCTCTGTGATATAGATATTCCTGTTCCCATCTTTCCATTTCAATAAATTCAATATCATCTTTACAAATATGTGTTACTGCCTTCTTGCTAATAGTGTAGTAGTCACTTTTATTGATGTTCTCATAACTTACAACTCTATGAACAGATAAAAATTAGGGTAAGTGAATAAACCATTCAACATAAAATTAAGCAATTGCCTTATATTTTTGTTTTAAAGAAAGAAAACATTTCTTGAAAATGAGTCATTTAAAAATTTAAACATGTAAAAAAATTAACAAATTAACAAACTACTTTTAGATTGGATACATTACCCAAGAAAACAAGAGGAAGCAGCTTTTTATTTTTTACTATAGCACTTCAAAATCTTATAATTTTGCCTCTATATTTGATAATTTCAGTTACATGATTTTTATAAGAGTGAAATTACAGCTTTTTCAAACATAATAACCTTATGTGAAAACTACTTGGAAATAAGCTTTTTATTTCCAACATTTTGCAAACTATTCAATAATAGGGCAACACTATGAAGTGTTAATAGAATTATGAGAAAGAACAAAGGAAATGTGAATCAGATAAGATTTTTAAAAATTATCACATAATGAAATGATTATCACTGAGAAAATTTTAAAAGATATTCTTTTTACAGTAGTCATCAAGGGTAGTCCTTAATCGTACACATATAAGGAAACAGGTCATATGAGGCAGAAAAGGAATAATGGGATAAAAATAAGAGAAAGGATAGGAAAACTTATTCTGTGGGTCTGCTACTAAAGCCCTTTTCAGAAAGTGGCAAGGTCCATGATGTTGAATTTAAGTTATTGGTGCTCAATGTCACTTAGAAATCATTTTTTTTTCTATTTTCCAACCTATCCAAGATCCTCATTCTGAAGTTCCTAAGCTTTCATTAATAACATTTTACAAACTATTTTTCTCCTCTACATCTCTCTACTCTGTGGAATAAATGAATAAACCATAAGTGTATATTTTCTACTCCTCCTCTTCTGTCTCCTCCATATTACGTAATTTAAACATCTCGTTCTGTTACTTTATAATCCCATTAGGGTTTCTATCACATGCAGCTTGCTAGTGGTAAATTCTATTAGTTTTTGCTTTTCAGTGAAGTTCCTTATACTTCCTTTGCTCTTGACTGTTAATTTTCCTGGGTGAAGAATTTTGAGCCCTATGTATTTTTCCTTCAAGTATCTTAAACATCACTTTCCAATCCCTTCGCGCTTGTGATATTTCTGCTGAAAATTCTGCTGACAGTCTGTTGTGTTCCCTTATAGGTTATCCTTTGTTCTCTTGAGATTTTTAATATCTTGTCCTTGTCATTGATTTTCTAAAGCTTCATTTTGTATCCTGGTATATGACTATTGGTATTCTTTTGCTTGGAACTCTGGGCTTCATGGATTATAACTTCTGGCTCATTTCCCAGATTGTGATAGGTTTTAATGATATTCTCTTTAAGTAGGTTTTCTATGGTTTTCTCCCTTCTGGAATCTCTGTGCTACAGACATTATTTTTCTTGTCCCAAAGAGCTCCTACATGGTTTCCTGTTTTTACATTCTTTTTTCTTTACCTTGTTCTAGTCTTATATCTCCATCATTTTCTTTTCAGGCTCATTCTCTCCATTGTTTCTGTTTGTTTTCCAGTGAGGACCTGAATTGTACTTTTTAAATCAGCTACAGTATTTCTTAAATACACTATTTCTGAATGTAGCTACCTCATTATTTTCATTATTTACTTTCTCTTGCTGCTGCCCATTCTCCATTAAAAAAAAAAAAAAGTTCCAGCAGCATTGTCAGGGTTGGTCTCTTAATTCCCTTTCTGTCATGCCCCACAACTTTACTGAGTCAGGGGATTTTTTCAGGATTTTGTTGTGTTGTTTTGCTATTTGTAATGTGTCACCTCATTTTTGACTTTGTATGGTTTTTAATAGAGCTATATTTCAACTGTTGCTTCTGAACTTTCAGTAATCAGGAACCCGGTGCTGGTGAGGAACAGGAACTACAAAAAAAGGACTGAGGCAACAGGCATCAGTGGATATTTTAGTTAACTCAAGAATTTGAATTTACTGTATGAAGTATTTCTTTGAGGGGAATGGCACATATTTTGGATATCTCAGCCTGGGCTTCAGCAGTAGCCTTTTTGATAGGTTAGTTCAAGTAATCTGACCCAATTTGAGCTACAGTTATTATGTATTATGAACCTCAGATTTAAACCAGTCCTTGCTCTGTGCCCACCTCTGCAGATGCCATAAATGCACCCTCTATCTTGAGTGCTTGTCCGTGTACCACCTTATCCAGTGCAGTGGTGGGGTTTTAAGAGACCCAATGTTAATGTGTGTCTGGGTCGATTGTTGTAGGGGGCTCTGCACCATTGCCCTCCTTCCTCTTGGGGGTTGTATGCCTCAAGTTTGAGATTCCTCTATGTTGGCAATTCTAATCTATCTCTCTCTCTCTCTTTTTTTTTTATGCCATTGTGTGTATCTTTTTAATGTAGGCTTGATTTTCCAGTCTTGGTTAAAAAAATAACAACTATTGAAGAGACACAAATAGAGATATTCCATGCCAATGGACTAAAGGAAATAAGATGGTTAATATGCTCAAGGCAATTTATAGATTTGAAGTAATCCCCATCAAAATTATAATGTCTTTGTTCATAGAACTAGAGAACACAATGTTTAAGGTAATTGGAATCACAAGAAATATTGAGAAAGAATAAAGCTGTATGCATCACACTTCCTGATTTCAAACTATATTACAAAGCTATCGTAATCAACACAGGATCACTTTGGCATAACCAACAAATAGATCAATGGAATAGAATAGAAGTCCTAGAAATAAACACACAAATAGATGACCAATTAATTTACTCCAAAGGAGCCATAAATATAAAACATTAAAAAAGGAGGGTCACGTCAATAAATGATGCTAGGAAAACTGTACAATCATACAATATGGTGTTAGTAAAACTGAAAAGGACAAAATGGATCACCTTCTTATACCATATATACACACACACACAAACACATCAATTCAAGGGGCTCTCCCTGGTGGCACAGTGGGTTAAAGCTCTCTGAAGCCACTGCAGCACTAGTTCCATCCCTGCCCAGGGAGCTGAATCACATGGCATGGTCCCTTCAGCAGTCATTCTGCCTGTTCTACTTTGTCATTCTGCCTGTTCTGCTCCCCACTCTGTCTCTGGTGAATCCTCTCACTGCCCCTGTACCGCTGGCCTGTACCCCAGTTCTGTAAGCATAAATTAATTAATCTTTAAAAAAAAAAAACTCAAAAACGGGCCCTCCCTGGTGTCACAGCGGGTTAAAGCACAGCACTGAGAAACTGAAGCCACTTCCACATGAGTTCGATCCCCGCCTGCCCTGGAGGAGATCCACATGGCGCGGCAGACCTCTCCTGACCTGCCCGCTGCTCCCCTCAGCAGTGTACTTCGTCGATCTGCCTGTTCTGCTCCCCGCTCTGTCTCTGGTGAATCCTCTCACCACCCCTGCATCTCTGGCCTGTACCCCAGTTCTGTATGAATAAATAAATAAATCTTTTAAAAAAAAAACTCAAAATGTATCAAAAATGTGAATGTAAGACCCGAAGCCACAAAAAGGCTAGAAGAAAGCATAGGTGTTAAATGCAATATTGGTCATGGCATTATTTTTTGGATCTGACACCAAACGCAACGACAACAAAAGCAAAAATAAATAGCAAAACTATAAAACTTCTGCATAGCAAAGGAAATCATCAACAAACTGAAAAGGAAGTCTACCAAAGGAGAGAAAATATTTAGAAACTACATAGTTGATAAACAGTTAATATATAATATATAAAAAGAACTCTAACATTCAATAACAAAAAGAAAATCTGATTTAAAAATGGGCAGAGGATGAAGAGACATTTTTCCAAAGAAGACATATAGATGAACAACAGGTATATGAAAAGATCAATATCACTATTTATCAGGGAAATGCAAATCAAAATTACAATGATAAATTATCTCAAATCTGTTAGAATGGCTATTACCAAGAAGACAAGAGAAAACAAGTGTTGGTAAGGATGTAGAGAACAGGGTTCTGTTGGTGGGCTCTGTTGGTGAGGATATAAAGTGGCTACATAGTGTAGCCACTATGGAAAACAGTATGGAAGGTCCTCAAAACATATGATCTTGCAATTCTACCTGGCTACTCATGTGAAGGAAACCAATGTGAAGATATCTATATCCGTGTTCATTTCAGCATTTTTTACAATAGCCAAGATATGGAAACAACCTTAGTGTCTCTCAGTGGGTATAAAGTTGTGTATACACTCATAAATCATTTAACAATATTTCAGTTAATGACAGATTACATATATGGTAGGTATTCCAACAGGCTATCAACCATATGTGTAATCATACTCTATAATGTTGGCACAAAAATAAAATTGCCTAATAACACATTTCTCAGCATGTGTGTCATTGAGAAACATGACAGTAGAGCTTAAAAGTTCCCATCACAAGAAAAAAAATGCTTCAAACTTTTTTTTCTATGGTGATGGTTATCTAGATTTATTGTGATGATCAATTTATAATATATATAAATATCAAATATGAAATTAAATGTCATCTATCAGCTATACCACTGTCATTAGATATAACCCAAATTGTATTTGGTTATATTTATCATGCATACACAAACAATTATGGATAATATTTGTAGTCTTTAAATAAATTGCTTTATCAAAGAGAACTCACTTCAGATTGTATGTATCATATTCAATGGAAGACTTTGGCACAGCAGAGATCATATAAAGAAATCCAAGATGTTCATTTTCACGTACTATTTTAATGATCTCTAAGGGATCACGAACATTGGCTTTGATGACTTCTTCCCGGTCTTGGAAAGTGTACTTAGGGTAAATTGAGGAACTGGTTGAGAAGAGACCTCTTCTTCCAATACTGGTGTGTGATGATTTAGTCGGAGAGGGAGAGAATACATCAACAGAGGGCCTGTGGATCTAAACAAAGTGAATTTTTCTTTGAAAGAAATGTTTTTTGCAGACAAAAAGCTACAGAAAGGATCATATACTGACCTCAAGGACTAAATACTGCGCTACTCAAGATATCCTAAGTATTCAAAGGCAAGTACTTTGAACTGAAAAATTACAGACTATTTTTAGGTATTAATATTGAATATTTTTCACCATACTAACATTCAGATATTTCCTCCTTTCCCACAAAAGAGCTCCATCATTGATTCCTGTTTGTCTTCTTCTCTCATTTAACTCATTTTATTACATTAATACAAACATTTCATGTTCATAAAATTCATTACTCTTTTCTGTTCATTTGCAGTGAATCCATGCAGACTGTTGTCTCTGCCCTCAACTTCCTCACCTTTTCTGATAACCTTAATGTTTTTCAATGAGTGAACCATTGGAGAGCTGTGATTAAAACATAATAAATTTTACTTCTTTGCAAATGTGAGAGGTAAGTGCTGGAAATAACTGTATAGTAGCCTTGGGAAGCATTTATCTTATTACTTCATAATTGCCTGTTTTGTAGACCAGTGCTGCCCACATTTAAATGTGCTTGCAAATTACATGGGTTTCCTGTTAAAATGCGTCTTTCAATTCAGTCCATCTGGGATGGACCTAAGATTCTGTATTTCTGACCTGCTCCCAGGAGACGCAGCTGGTGCAAGCATATGGCCCACACTTGGTACACCAAGTATAAATCCCCACCATAGTCACACTCTTGAGCTTTGCTCTGATTCCCAGGTTCTACTGCGTGCACTCTTAGTATCATTCACATTCTTTACTATTAATCCCCAACAAACTTTAGCCCAACATCACTCAAAATGAGGTGATAGTTGTTTTTTTGAAGAAATCTAAACTCAACTCCCAGGGTTACCACATTTTCTCTCTTACAAGGGTAACTGACTTTATTATAGAAGAATAATCTTCTCAGATCTAATTTGTTGAATGGCTAATATAAATAGATAAATGCTATCTTTGTTGTCTGTCTGTGAATATAGTTAACAGAGGCTTTTGCTTCCATAAGAAATGTATCACCACAAGTTCTATGAACAACTTCCCCAGAAAGTTTGTATTCACAGGGATCCCTGTTCTCTGTCTCTGATTAAAGAAATACCTTGTGGAACAGAAGTTTGAGAAGGAATTCTGGATAGACCAGAACTGAATGAAATATATCTTTGACCTCAAAAACTAAATGTGCTTCCTTAACTCACTGACCAGGGTAAAAGACCCATTGTTTTCATTAAACAATGTGTCAAACCAGATACCCAGAAATAGAGGAAATACACATTACTGTTTTGTCCCAATGTCTAAAGGACTGTAGTCAACTTTAATATTTTTATAAGACAACAGTATTAATATTTTCATTGAAAGGTACTTATTTTCTTTATTATAGTTTTTTTAAGGTTTTATTATATTTTAAGTTAAAGATTTCTTCAATACCAAGTCTCCAACTGTTCTCCGACCTTTCCCTTTTTCTTTCCCAGGAAAGTCTCATTTGTTGCATTTTAAACTCCTGATAAGTTAATATCATATTTTCTCCAGTTCCCCGGTGACCCTTTTCACTGAAAAAAAAAAAAATGTACTTTTCCTTTCATATGGAATATCCCCTTTTTCCTTCACTGTACTGAATTATTTACTTAATTGCAACTAAATCCAACCAAGCATAACTATAACTTAATGTTCTTTTCCAGCCCCCTCCTTTCATCCACATACCCATTTAAATTTTCTCATTTTTAAAAATTCAAATTCTTGGAGGTTACTTTATACCAAATGAATTAATTTATGATTAATCAAATCTTTCCTGTCCCTACTTAAAATACGTTGTTCATTCTATTTCACAGAAACTAAATTCACTGAGGCTATATCTTATACAATTTATCATTTCATATCATTCTCTCACCACACTATGTGAGTCTTCCCTCCATTGGCTTCGTAAGTTCCTAACTCTCTCACATTACTGGCTTCACTGACTTTCTACTCATTCCTCCAAGCTTCGTGCATCCCCTAGGGAAGCTTATCCTCTCCTCACTATAAACATCCAACCTGTTTAGTTTTCCATCATTTTGTACCTTGAATGACCAATGAAAACACTTTTCTATCTGATTACTTCCATATCCTGAAAACCCTGAAGACAGAGTTTGTCTTCAATTCTTCATTTATAGTACTGTAGCCTAAAACCCAAGAGACGACTTGCACTGAAATGTTTAACAAGTGAGGAAGGATCCTACAATAAAAAGTTCAGAGATATGTCAGCTCTATTGGTATTTTTATTGTGAGGATGTCTTCCACATTTTCTCCCACTTCTGCTCCAGACTTCAATTGCCTACAAAAGAAATCATATAAATCCATGCGCTGGTGATTTTTTGCCAGAGCTATATTCACTTATACACTAATAGGCAACTTCCCCAACTATACAACTATAGCCAATTACAAAAGTTCTCTTTTTAGCTGGTTCAGTTCTTATTTTATTGTACCTCACTAAGTTATTCAAAACTTGCCATTTTGCAGAATGATTTATTACAACAAAAGTTGTAACATAAATGAAAAACATTTTAACATGTAAGAGATCAGAAGACACCAAGTTGAAGTTTTCCTTTATGATTTTCCTCTACTGTCCAAACTTTGCTTAAATAGGAAGAACTGAGAATTATTATATCCCCCAAATCCATTATACAACCTAATAGAAAGAGGCTGTGCCACTCTAAACCACAGACATTTTGTAGGGGGTGGAAAGGGGAATGGGATCAGAACTGGGGTGGGAAGAGTGCGCTGGACTATGGTGATGGCACACGGGTGAATCTGGTGGTAGGAAGCCCATGGGGATTACAACTAAAATTTAAAAATGCACAAAATGAAGAATGATATAAAAAAATTAAAATATATATAAAAAGAAAAGTTGTGCCACTATTCTTGAGTTTAAAGCATGTTAACAAAGCAATTTAAAATTAAATTTAAAAGATTAATTAAATATGTTAATATCATACCTGTTTAATTCTTTTCACAGCATCTTGGTACTCAGGAAACTGAACAGTTAATTTTGTGGACTGTTTTACTTCAGTGCTGTCTGGAGGTTTTATGATTCCAGCAGCTATTAACTGAGATCGATTCCTTTCATATATGTATTCTGGTCTTTTATGATCTTGGTAGACTTTAAGCACTGGCTTCGGGGAATAGAGAGACATGTTAATTTTTAAAATATTAACATGAATTTGTCTTATTCTTTACTATATTTGGACCCCATCTCTATGGGAAATTGATCATGTACCTGGACTAGTTCCCTATGCCAGCCACAATCACTGTTGCAGCTACCACTAATGTCTGTTCACAACCTATTGCTTGACTAACTCTTTCCTACTTGGTTTTCATTGATGCTGTACTTTAATTAATAACAGATACTTCTAGAAATAAAAGTCTGAGAGAGGCATAGATGCATATACCCATTAATGGTCATGACAAATGTCTGTCTTTCTCTACAACATGCAATCTCCCTATTTGTACCCAAAGTTACTAATCGTTCCTCACAGATATAACTGATTGAAGACATAAGAACAAACAAAAAAGTGTGAACTTATATTAGGCTGATCTAATTTTAAATCAAGGCAGTAAAAATCTACCTTTTAACATATAGACTAAAGCACAGAATACATCACTAGTGGCTTAAAGTTTCTAAGCATCATGCATTTGGAATGATAATCTTTTATATCCTAGAGTGAGGGAAAGAAGGTTGAAAGTAAGTATAGGAAAGAGCTGTTGTTTTCAGGCATGTGTAAGGTACATTTGACTTTTGATAAAATGCCTCTTGAGCCACTCACTGAAGAAAGACTAGATGGAGATACAGATACTGGGGAAGAGGGGCGAAGGTTCAGATATATAACAATGTAGGAAAGGAATGCAGATCAAAATCACAAGCTAGGAAGAGGGAGAAAAACTACTGTAAAACAAAGAAAAACACCAATAAAATGAAAAGGCAATGTAATGAATTACTAAATAGGAGAAAATATTTGGAATCACTTATCTGATAAGGAGTTAATAGCTAAAACATATAAAGAATTCATACAATTCAACAGCAGAAAACAATCCAGTTGAGAAATCGGCAGAGTTCGAACAGACATTTTCCCAAATAAGTTATACAGCAACATGAAAAGGTAATTAACGTCAAAGAAATGCAATCAAACCACAAGATACTATCTCAAGCCTGTTAGAATGGCTACTATGAAGAAGATAAGAAAAGGGGTTCACATAAACCTTAATAGTGATCATTTCTGAGAAAGAGAATATTGAGTCTGGAATAGGGTGTAAAATGTATTTGAACTAAATTTTTTTTTAAAGATTTATTTATTTATTCATACAGAACTGGGTACAGGCCAGAAATGCGGAGGATGAGAGGATTCACCAGAGACAGAGTGGGGTGCAGAACAGGCAGATCGACGAAGTACACTGCTGAGGGGAGCAGCGGGCGGGTCAGGAGAGGTCTGCCACACCATGTGGTCTCCTCCAGGGGCAGGCAGGAATCAAACTCATGCGGAAGTGGCTTAAGCTTCTTTGTGCATTGCTTTAAACTGCTGCGCCACCAGGGAGGGCCATGAACTAAATTTTTAATACTGCATTCCTTTATAAACAGTGACTCAAAATAGGAAAACTTCAGTATTAATCTTGAGTACAAATAATTGTTGATTAGATTTCTACTGCAGTTTTTGGTATATTAAATTTTCATAGTAATAAAACAGAAATAGAGAGAAATTTCTTATTATATAACTAATATTTAGCAAAATCAGCAGCAAATAATTACCTAAGTAATAAAACTCCAGTATTATGAAAATCAGTAACAAGATGATTATTTTCACTATCACTTTTATTTTTGAATTCTCAGTTTGGAACATTTAAAACAACGCTCCGGAAAGTAAAAATATCATGTCTGTGGGTCATAGTTTCTATTACAACTATTCTTTTTGTAGCACCAAAACAGTCTTAGACAAAATGAAAAGAAATGGATTGGACTGTGACCCTATAAAATATGATTTACAAAAACATGTTACAGAACTGAATTTGACCCATGGATTGCATTTGTTGATTGCTGATCTGGAAAATAAAGGAATTGGTGTAAATATTAGGAAAGAAAGGCAAAATTATGACAATAATATTTATTATTATTTACCTGAAAGAAAAAAAGCACAAGTCCTAAAGAAAATATATGAATTTAAAAGGATATTATTGAGGCTCCTGGTAAAACGTAGATAAATAAAATCCATTTGCTTTTCTCCATATTGAAAAATATATATACGGAGGATGGAAATCCATTTATAATAAGAAATCAGTAATAAAATACATAAGATTTATTTTTAAAAAAAAGAATGGGATCAAAAACGGGGGTGGTGGAGGAAGTGCACTGGACTATGGCGATGGCACACGGGTGACTTGGTGATGGGAAGCCCCCAGGGATTATAACTGCGATGGAAAAGACACAAAATAATGTAAAAATAAACTATTAAAAAAAAAAGAACGGGGCATTCTGATAGCAAACCATACCATCTCATGAAAGATGTAACACAAAAACTGCCAAAAAAAAAAAAAAGGCAAAAAAATACCAGTGGTGATTGTGGGGAAAATCACATGATCACCTCAATAGATACTAAAAAGGCATTTGATAAAATTCAACATGTTTTTCATAGAAATAATTAATAAAAAATAGGTAGATAAATCATTAACAACTCAATAGCTATTATTATACTGAATAGAGGAACACTTAGAAACATTTGTATGACAATCAGGAAAAATCCAAGAATGTCCACTGCTTCCACTATCTCTTCTAAATTTCTGGTTTATTAGTCAATGCAATTAGTTAAAAGAGAAATGATTAGTAAAAAATTCAAAAGAAGGTGGTAAAGGTATCACTATTAACAGATGATTTTATTTTTTACCAGAAATAACTGGAAAAATTATTCCAAAATTGATGTAGAGAAACAGTAACCTGTTAATAAACTTAATAAGAACTGTAAAATCCATGAAAAAGAAAACTTCATGATGGTTATGAAGGAAAATAGAATAAATGAAATTCCACATTATTCTTTACTTGGAAAACTAATTATAATAAAATTATTCATTTTAAGTTAACCTATACATTTAATATACTCTTAAGAGAAATATTTAAAGGATGCCTTGGAGATTAGGCAAAATGATGCTTAATTTATACATAAAAATAATTTATACTTTCCCATGAAAGTTCCAGGGAGGAGTGGGGAAGGAGTTATTAGGAAAAATCAGTCTTTTCAGATATTAAAATATATTATAAAACTACAATAATTAAAACCATATTCTAGACATGAATGGAAAACAAATCAATGGACTAGAAGAGAAAGTCCAGTAACAGATCACAAAATATAAAGGGAATTAAGCCTATAATAAAGTTGATAATTTTAGAAAATATATTATTTAATAAATGACAATGAAATAACTGAATAGCTACTAGGAAAAAGCTGGATCCTCTTATATAATAGACTGGGAAAAAATCTGAATAGACCAAAGATATAAATTAAATATAAAATAGCAAAAAGTAATAAAAATAATTCCAAAGTAAATTTTAAAGAAAAGCATGCCTAAGGAGTCATTAAATAATTTTTATTTTTATAATCTTGCTAAAAAGAGGGTCTAAGTACTATATAAAACTTAGAAGAATAAACCACATAAAAATTAGGGGTTAAAAAAAAATTAAAAAAAAAAAAAATTAGGGGTTAAAAAGCATACTTAAAAATGTACAATGGAGCTCTCCCTAGTGGCACAAATGAGTTAAAGCACAGCATTCTGGGGTTCTCAGAAGCCACTGAAGCACGAATTCAATCTCGGACCAAGGAACACATGGCCCAGCAGACCTCTCCTGACCCACCCGCTGCTCCCCTCAGCAGGGTACCCCATCTATCTGCCTGTTCTGCTCCCCACTCTGTCTCTGGTGAATCCTCTCACTGCCCCTGCACCTCTGGCTGTACCCCAGCTCTGTGTGCATAAATAAATAAATCTTTAAAATATGTATAATGCTTATTAAAGATAAGGTGCTTTTTTCCCTAATATATGAAGAATTTATAAAAATCAATAAGAAAAATGTTAACAATGCAATTAGGAAATAATAGAGGCTTGCATATATTATGGAAAGAAGTACAATGATTTTAAACACATGAAAAGATGTTCAACCTTATTAAATCCAAAGACATGCAAATTAAAACTGCTCTGAAGGCCCTCCCTGGTGGCGCAGTGCCGTGGAGCACCTGGAAGCTAAAGCCAAGCTGTGGCCACTTCTGCAAGTTCGATCCCCACCCCGGAGATGATCCACCCTCTCCTGACCCGCCCGCAGCTCCCCTCAGCAGTGTACTTCGTCAATCTGCCTGTTCTGCTCCCCACTCTGTCTCTGGTGAATCCTCTCACCGCCCCTGTAGCTCTGGCTGTATTGCATCTCTGTATACGTAAGTAAATAAATAAATATTTAAAAACAAACAAACAAACAAAACTACTCTGAGAGACCTCTCCTATCATTGTAGCAATATTTACTAACCTAGATGCACCTGTTACTTGACTTAGAATTTTATTTCTAGGAATTCTGTTATAGATAGAATCTCATGTTTATGAAAAGACACTTGCACAAAGATTATTTAATGTAACAGTTACGTTATAAAATTTTTAAAAATTTAATTCCATAAATATCTGCCTTAAAAATAAATTATTTACAAAATAATAATTCTATGACAAATATGATAAGGCATAAAAATAACTGGTGAAAAAGAACTTTTGAACTAATATGAGATGCTCTCCAAGCTATGCATTAAAGAAAGAAAGGGGCAGACTGGTTTATCATGCCGATTTTTTGGCGTATAAAACATATCTCTGAAATCACCCATGAAAAGTGATATCATCAATTGCCTCTATAGAAGGAAAATGGATGAATTATGGATAGTGTAGAAGTGGAACTTAACTGTTTGACATTCATCCAGTTTCTATGGCTCATCATATTTTGTCATGGATGAGTATCATAATTTATTTAAGTACTGAATTTTTAAACCAATTTTTACAATTTCAAAAATATGTCTTCAGGTTTTCATTAATTTTTTGTTAATCAAGAATAAGGAAATAACCCCCCACCCAAACCCTCCAACCCTCACCCCCAAGGAATTTTGCAACTTTCTCCATTACCAGAACTGGCTGAAATGCTGCTTGTTTTCAACCTACCAAAGGCTCTAGTTTCACAGGTTGCTGTCGTTTCCTGGTCCTCTCCTGAGCTTTTGTAATGTGCCTAAATGTCAGGGTTTGCTTATCAGCTTCATTTTCTGTTGGTGTTACAACACTCAGTCTTCCCCTTTCTCTTGTACTATTCAGCCTTGAAAGCATAGGGTGTTCTACATCCTCTTCATTATATTTCAGGTTGAACTCACTCCCTGAGGCATGAAACGCCATCCTCACTCCTGGAAAGCGAGGGATGAGAGGGGGATAAAGTAGAGCAAGAAAACTGGGTAAGAAAGTCATTAAAAAGTAAGAAGATCTAAATTCATTCATCTTGCAAAGAAAATCTGTCAAAGTCATCCCATTTTCAAAATGAGGACTTGAAAATGGAGGAATGAAAATTAGGAACTGTGTCTGGCTTTCAAAAAGCCCTGTAGCTGGGGGCTGGGTTATGGAGCTAACATAGGAATTTGAATTTCTGTAAGTCCTTGGGTGCTCTATAGCTCTCACTGATTTAGGGACCATACTGGTCTAGATTTGGGAGAGTGAAGAGAAATACAATTAGTATTGATATCAATGTATCTCATAATTGAGTATGCAGAATACTTGCTGGGGGCTTGTTCAAATGGTGATTCGAATACATGCAACTTGAGAAACAGCCTAAGCTTGTTTGAAGAAACCAAACAAAGGGTGGGGGTGGGGGGAATAAGAAGAAGGCTAAATCCTCAAGCAGTGATTTTGGAGCATTTATGGACATGAGAACCAGCTGAGGAATTTGTTAAAATAGTTTCTGATTCATATGGTAAAGGAGCAGGATCCTGAAACATAATAACTATGAGCCATTGGTCTTGATTCCTACTAGATGAGTATAGATACTCCCCTTCTGAGCAATATCATAGCACACTTGTTTGTACTAGGTTGTGGAGTAAATGTGCAATGGCCTGGACCTCCCTGGTGGCGCAGCTGGTTAAAGCACAGCAATAAGAAGCTAAAGCCACTTGAACATGAGTTCGATTCCTGGCCAGGAAGATGACCCACATGGCATGGCAGACCTCTCCTGATCCACTGCTCCCCTCAGCAGTGTACTTCGTCATTCAACCGGTTCTGCTCCCCACTCTGTCTCTGGTGAAGACTCTCCCCACTCCTGCACCTCTGGCCTGTACCCCAGTTCTGTATGCATAAATAAATAGCTCTTTAGAAAAATATGCAACTGCCTATCAAAAGGTAATGCAAAAGCCCTCTGCCATTTGAAGTGTTCAAATAATGACATTCAAAAACAAAAAAAATGAGCAGATAAGTTTAATTTTAATAAATGTGACTTATTGAAGTCCAAATATTACTGTTTCGACGTGTCTGAAATGTAAAACTTACTACTGTTTCATTTAACTTTTTGTTACTACATCTTGGCTGTCCAATGTGTACTTCCCAATGAGAGTACATCTGAGTTCTGATGACCCACAGGTGGCTAGTGTCTACCTCGTGGATAGCTCAGGCCTAGAGTACTAATCACTCAGTGTGAGAACTTGGACAAGTCCCTAGTGCTCTCCACCCCCCCACTGAGCTCCCTCTAGAATAAGGAGATAGTAGGTAATCACTGAAAGCCTCTCCAGAGACTTCCTCTGCCTCTCCGAGTTTCTCCCTAAGTACCCTGGAAGCTAGCTGCGTCTTGGCCTAGAAGTCAGAGTGCAATCCAACCCTGGGTCCACAGGACTCACCAAGTTAGACTACAGCAGCGGCCTCCGAGGGTCTCCAGAGACTGCAAAGGCACGTCTGGGACAGAAAGTTGCTCTAGACGGGCATGTTTCCCGTTGCCTGGCAGTCTCCGGGTCTCCAGGGGTGCACGTTTGCGGACTTGTCGCCACGGCAAAGACCCAGCCAATTGCAGCTCTAGGTCCAGGAGCGCGCTGGACAATCCAGCCAATCAACGTCCCTGGAACAATTCCTGCGTCGCTAGTTGGTGGAGAGCCGGCACTCACCCCGCCCAGCTCCTCCTCCTCGCTGGAAACTGCCGTGGCTGGCAGCTAAAAGGTGAGTAGCGTTTTCGGCCCTTGGTTTATCAAACACCCACGCTCAGTCCCTCTCTCTTCCTTTGGCATCCTTTTTTTTTTTTTTTTTTCTGTGTTCAACCTACAGGCTGAAGACTGACTTAATGTAACTTAGAGGAATCAAGTTTCTCTGTAGAGGAAGATGCGTTTTGTAGACATTTCTGGCCAGGCTCTGGAAGGGAGCAACTGTCCGGCATTTCTGCCCCACCCACCCACCAACTCCCTGGAGTATCGGCACCCTGAGGTGCTAAACATGCGGACTCTTCTCAAACTGCAACGTGTCCATCCCACTAATGTACTTTTTCACTTGCCACTGCAGGAACCCATGTTACTAACGCCGACCCTTCTTTACCAAAGCTGACCCTGGACTTTGTTTTGCTGGTGAAGTCCCCAAAACGACAGCTGCTAATGCGGCATAGATGCAACCCCTCTGAAGCCCTCTGCTGTTTTCTTATTGAAGAGTCCTTTTTCCTATTGGTTTCCTTTCCATCAGGGAGAGGGAAAGCAACAGTTTCGCCTCTGCGAGGAAATATTACACCAGATGGTAGTCCTAGCTTTCAGTTCTGGAACTGCTGGAACTCTTTATCTTTGTTTGCTCTTTTTGATCTCTCTCTCTTTTTTTTTTACTTTGATATTTGTTTCTTGCCCCGATGTTAAGCCCTATATGAAGTGCTTTTCACATCACACTCACAGCCTCTAATTTCTCAATCTTAGTATATATGTCAGTATTATTTTACATGCTGATTATGACACCACATACAGAGAATCATGTCATAACAGAACTGGGATGGAGATTATTTTATTAGTAAGGGAACTGAGGTGATGAGAGGGAACTGAGATAATGAGAGATTTTCTGTTAGATCAACTAGTTGTGACAAAAACCAGAATACAGGTCTCCTAATCTCTAACTAGAAACTGGAAACAGCAAGACATAAAAAATACTATTTTCTCAACAATCCAGTGGTACACAAAGTTAGTCAATCAGAATCAATGAAATATGAACCAACAACATATATTTATATAATCCAGTGATTAAAAGTGAAAATCAAAGCCAACTAATTACCTCAGAGCATAAAACTATAATTTGTAATGTTAGACATATAAAAAATAGATTAATTTCAGGTGTTCAATGACATTTTTAATGTTTCCATAACATTAAAACATTTGCGGAGATAAAGCCACTTACTCCTCAGTTCTAAAATCTGTAAGTACATGAAAGGCCTAGTGGTACAGGGTTTAAGTCTCATTGCTATCAAGTATTGCCAGCCACTGTGGCGTGAGTTCGATTCGAGGCCAGGGAACTAACCCACATGGTATAGCAGACCTCTCCTGTCTTCCCTTAGCAGAGTATTTCAGTACATCTGCCTGTTCCACTCCATACTCTGTCTTTGGTGAATACTCTCACCCCACCTACACCTTTGGCCTATACCCCAGTTCTTGTATGCAAAAAAATAAAATATATTTTTAAAAAGATACAGAAAGTAAGTCTTGCTTAATTTACATAAAATGGAGAAGCTAAATTTCAAATTATCACACATAATTGCTTTAGACTCATGGAAAAACCAATCCCTCACAATAGGTTAGGAAAAAATGGCAGTGAAGAAAGCTCACAAGAAAACTAGGATGGACCTACCTGCAAATCCAGATGGAAGCATACAACTGCCCCCTTAGAATCTGAAACCATAAACTCGGTATCACCAACCCTGGGTTTTCAATATATATATATATATTTATTATATAATCTGAAAAAAATGCAAGCTACTAGAGAATGTGCATCAAGAAAAAGGCATCATCAACTCTGACCTCTGAGAATTCTTGAAGTCAGTTTCAGCTAAATAAAAATTTACAATAAAATTAATCAAATACAGAAGAAATAAGACTCTCCTAACAAGAATTAGCAGAACAAACAACAGTTCTAAAAGGCAAATATACTAATTATAGGACCTAGTAGATACAGAGTAATCATAAATGTTTAGAAAATATTCAAAGATAGTAAAAAAGACAAAATTAAAAAGTATAAGAGAATATCAGCAAAAATGATAGAGTAGAGCACCTCAAAAGTCTATCCTTCCACAAAAGCAATAAATGACACTTTTCCAACTATATGAATCTCTAAAAAATCTAAATCTAAATCTGTAGTGTAGATCAGTTGTTGCCTGGGGTGGTATTGCTAAGCACAATGGGCTTAGTAGTAAGAATCTCTAGAATTGGCATATATGCTTAAAACTTTCTACAGATAAATCAAATGCTCATCTCCAATTAAGAACCACATCTGTGGGTTAAAATATATGAAGATGAAAACTTGTTAACTTAAATAGAAAAGTCATGAGACAGTTTGTACAACATGATTGGTTATATTTTTGTAAGCTCAGAATGTACATTATATTCAGCAACTAACAATATATGGAAGAGAGACATAAGTGTTTATAAGATTTATGGCTATTTTATGTTATGCCCTTCGCCTTTCTGTATGTTTAAAAACAAAAACCATAGAAGCCTTTTGCATTGAGAAAAATGAGTCGTTTTAAAATTAATGTAAGAAAATATGAGACCACAGAGTGAAGCATCATGAGCTTGGTGGTAACCAGTGCAAATGGTGGGAACACTGGTGGGGTCTGTAGCCTTCAGTAAAAAGGAGACACCTGTTTCATGTAGACGATGGGAAGGTGGGAGATCAGGTAAATTGGCTGATCTGGGGCCTAATTTCTTCTATTACTTCTGTGAAGTGCAAGGTAAAGTCAGCTGCTGAGAAGGCTGAAGTGGGAGTAGTAGAGGTTCTGTATAATTTACTAAGGATTGTGGGGTGTGTGTGTGTGTGTGTGTGTGTGTGAGTATATGTGTGTGTGTGTGAGTATGTGTGTGTGTGTGTAACTCATCTTTGGCCTTACCTGTATACACTTTAATGCCAGAGTCTGTGAACTGCTTAAAATATCCACGTTTGTAGTTCCACATTCTTTATTCACAACTATTAGATTCTCAAAGAAGCCTACTACCCGTTCTTCCTCAGAATTGGGAACTCGCATACTTGACTGCTTACTGCATGTTGCTGGACAGGCCTGACTGTGAGCCCCTCTACTTTCTGAGGCCTTTGTGGGATGGCATTTTTGTTGCTTTGTCACCACCTTGTGGTTAAAGCAATGTACTGCAAAAGGAAGCTTTTAACCAGACGTTTTGAATCAGGGCAAAAAT